CCTTTTCAAAAAAGCCCTAAAGATTAAGAATCAAAAAGATTAAAGCAGTACATAAAAAGAACACGTTTGAGACAGAGGTGTTGATCAAATGATTCTTAAAATTAAGCATTACCGTGGTTAAGAAAAATGTTGTAAATATGACCATTCTATGCGTGTACTTAAAACTGCTATTGGAGGTTGCACAAAGCAGGTGGAGTAATAATCAGACAAAGAGAAGCTCCGACTGATTTAGTTTTGTTCAAATTGCTCTTTTTTTGGACCGAAAATTAATCTTGTATTAATCAAAATTGTTCTAAATGTGCAATGTTGCCAAGATATGCATGCAGTTAAGAAAGGTTTATCTTATTGAATCTAAAATGGTCACGATATCTTGCAGATTTTGGGGAAAAGGTCCTAGTCAAAGCTGTGGTATTCAAGTCTCAAACGATACGATTCGTCAGTTGAGGTTTAGTGGTAAATATCGTTCCGAATGGCGGGCATGAACTGTATGCAATTCCTTAGATAAAAATCGATTTACACCGCATTCGCTTTTAAAACAAAACTGTGGAATTTTTTCTTTAAATCCCCTTTGCTAAGCTATTACGAGCGCAATCCTCTTTTAGGATCATGTTGTAAAGGTACTCACGGCTTCGTTTCATCTCGGGAATAATTATACATATACCTGACGAATTACTTTAGTGTCTGAGAGCAAATAGACTCCGAGTAGAAAGTCGAAAAAAGACAACTTTTCGTCCCAGGATTTTATTAGTCAGAGATCCTGCTAGGATGCCAGCCAAAGATAGCGTCCATAAATTCTATAAGATTGAGTCTCCCTTGTTTCAGGAGAGTAAGCGTCCGATGCACCAGTGAAACCCCATAGTGATATGGCTGACATGGTCCTCTTTTCCGATAGCATCACACCTTGGATGATTATAAGCCGTCTTCAAAGTCTTGAAATCCAAAGAAATTTTCCGTATTCGTCAGCACGTCTCGCATAATGCAACTTGTTCCTTGCGATATGAACGACACGGGCAAACACGGACTACTCTGGGCCAGGCTGCTCGGCAGCTGAACAACAATGGTTGAGTCTGTAGTACACAGCTGCTGTCTGTTGTGTTTATTGACGGTACCCAGATACTCTCTTGGTGAAATGTTGACTTACAATCACATCCAGAACTAAAGAATGGTGAAAAATTCTTACATCAAAAAAAATTCATTCAATCAGAACCTTAATTTGCATCAAATTTCGACGGAATATGTATTGGTAATCACTTTTTCAAAGACTAACAAAATTGCACCAGATTATAGGGTGAGCACAATTTGGGGTCTTTGAAAACATTAACAAGTTCTCATTTATTTTAATTGCACGAGAAAAATCATGTGATTACGTATTAATAATGTACATGGAAAAAATACGAGATAGCTTATCATAATTGTGCAGAAGCAAAGCGCGCATCAAATGCAAAAATAATTTATTCAAATCGTGTGTTCGGTCAAAACAACCGCAAACGATCAAAACAATAATACACAATGATATTTGCTCATCCTTAAAGGGCAAAAAAGTTCAGAGTCCGGCTTAACAGTTCAAGGATTTGTTCAGTCCGTGTCCGAATCACTTTCGATGAAATGGAATCGTTGTTTGCGAGGTTACCATGTTTGTTTTTAATTTCGTCGTAGAATCGCTCGAGCAGAGTGTTAAGCTGAGACGGCTCGTAAATCTTCGATTTGCTTGGCAATCCCCTTCTCTGAACACTACTTTTTCCAAACCGATAACCAAAAAAACAGTGCTTTTTATGGTGTTTTCGTTGTTAGAGCTGTTTTTCAGTCGCGGTGGCGATAGAAAACCTACTTAAAAGGCCGGCCATTGTTTCGCTCGCAAATTTTCAGCGTAGCCAAATGTTGCGACATCCAAGATTGACATTTGATTGGCTATCTATGAGTTTCTTTGATTATTGACCTATCAGAATGTCCGGTTTGTTACTTCTTTGCACTGAATCAACCCTCTTCCACATTGAATTACCTGAAAACTGCATTTATCTTAACCAATCAGAACTGAGTAATTTTCATCCAATTCGTAGGCTTGCAAAACTCCCAGTTAAAAATAGAAAGAAGGGAACGTATTTACACATCATTCTTCATATCTGGTGATCATTTTGCCACTTTCTATGAAACAGATTAGATGCCATAGTGTTACTTGATTTTCAACATATGCATTTACTCTTTCCAACATACCAACATGAGTAAATTCGTAAGGTACATGAGGCTCACCCTAAAATAGAAAAGAAATATGTTAGCAATATAGATTCCTCGTTATATTTCCAGTCTACCTCGTATATCCGTCTGGTGATGTCTGTCTCAACCTCTTCAATTTGATAAAAGGGGTAAGTTTCTAAAAAAACTGTGGTATTGCGTCGAAGACGTGAATTACGAGACGATTTGGTCTTGTCAACTGAGTTGATAACGTAATTTGGCCATTGTCATTAGACATAGCTTTAGAAACCCTTTTCGATTTAAATGAACTTCCAGAGTTGTAAACAACGTGATTTCAAGAAGTGCGAAGGGGTTGGTAACCTCTGACGACTTTTATCGTGTTCCAACATTTGAAACCGTCAAAATACACAGAGGATATTACATAGCCGCTTGGGGATACGAATTTTTATCTTCTCGTGCTGATAGTATCTCTCACGAGTGAGCTTCGCTTACTCGTTAGAGATACTTTCAGCACGAGAAGATAAAATTCATATCCCCAAGCGGCCATGTAATGTTCTGTTTATTTTATAGATACTGATGAAATTTCATGTTAGTAACCATGGCAACACCAATATCCTTACACGTAAAATGTAAAAATAGTATCTTCACTGCGCACCGTGAAGATATGATTTTTAAGTAAAAGGAAAAATCCTGGTATTTCATCAGTATCTAAATAATAAAATGTGTTCTCCAATATGGATTAATTAGGCATTCGAGTCAGGCTACCGGTGGCCATGTCTAAGAGAGGATAGTCCTCTTGTCAAGACGTGATGGAATTTTTTCGCCCCAAGCATGGACTCCTATTCCATCCCATTTCCAGTATCTGTTGAATCATTTCCTTAAATTTTCAAATATTTAACAATTATTCGCCGAAGGCGAAGTAAATATTGTTGAATAATTCCCTCGAATTCTTCTCAATAGTATGCACTTCCCCTTCGGCGAATAATTTTCTTATCATGCTTGCTCAGGTGCTTTCGAATTCTACCGAAAAAATCTTTTAGTTCTTGAGATCATTCTGTTAAAATTGTTTTTAATCTAGTTATCATTTTTAATCGAGCTCTCGTTTTTATTAAAAATGATTGCTCGTATCGGGATAAGCAGCCAGTTTCCACAAAAAATCAAAAGGTTTACCTAATTCAATTAGCAAAAGCATCATATATTCCTTTTGAAAAGTTTTTCGCCAAACTTAGTACAATTTTTTTTGCTCCTCAAAAGTAAATTTTCCTCCATCGCATTTATCACTTCCTCGGTAACTTTCACCTCGCGCGAGGTGATTATAGATGACGCAATCCTCGAACAACCAGAGCCCGTGCGTATCGTACTTTGTAGGATAAGATATCTTTGTTGCATCAAATTCTCACTTGAAAATCAGACTTCCGTAATTTATAAAAAATATAAACCATACGTTATTCCTCCTCTAATGACTCTCGGTCGGATCGGATAAAAAATTCCAACATTTCTTCTCTAACTTCCATTTCCAATCCTCGGGTTTTAAATTTTGCATCGGAGTTTTTGTGTTGAGCAAATTTCCCTCGGTTAGTAGAGGATGTAAAAAAAAAAATAATAATAATAATAATAATTACCTCAGAGTTGATTATATCTCGGAGAGCTTCTTCAACTTCAGTCAAGTTTTTACGGTCGTACGAACGGCTTACCGACAAACACCTCAGCGTAAGGATCGGAATACAAATTACTAAAATACTAAAATACAATTATATGCAATAAGCAGCTTGGTGTCTCCATGAATCTTTTGATCAAAAGTGGTTTTCCTGCCATCACATAGTTGTTTGGAATACACCTTCGCTTAACAAAATAAACAAAACAAAAACAGCTAATATTATTCTTTTATAGATTGTTACTACCCTATCATTTCGATTCTTAACTCGTTATTTAAAATAGTTTGATGAAATATGTCAACTCACCAGAATTTAGAGTCATTTCAACAAGTCTCAATTACCTTTCTATCGATCGGTTTACCAGCGAATAGGGTGCGTTTGTTCGGTCAAACGGTGGGTCATTCTTACGATAATAAAGAATAAAGAAATAAATACGTAAACAGATAGAAATTAAATCAGTGGCCATTACTCTTCTGATGTTGGCTCGGTAACCCGAGAGACATGAATTAGATCCCAAAGAGTAATTTGTATTAATTTGTATCTGTAAGAGTGACTGAATTCGATGTTTAACCTGTAGTTAAAAGATGCAAGTCAGCTCTATGCATGTAACATGCACAGATGCGCAGCAAAACAATTTCATTTGTTTTTTCTTCCTTTTTTCCACGGCTACATGACTCATATTACCTTTGGATTATGTAAAAAAAAACAACCACTAGCCAAGGCCTCAAGGGCTGCTAGTCCTTCGAACGGTGCACAAAGACCTACAAATACCTAAACGGGAAAATCGAAAAAAGAAAAGGAAAAATAAATGAAAAATAAAATTAATTTGAGTTTATATGTTTGAATAATTTTTTCAATTGTTGGTTATAAAAATTATGTCAAAACTGAAAATCTGTCGGAAAAAAACGCTAAAAAAGGTCGACAAACTGGCAAAGATAGTTTTCTACAACGAGGCGACATGATGACGAGATATCCATCCTGTAAGAAAAAAAGGGAAACCTGAAAACTACGACCGAAAAAAAATGTAACAGGACAGAACAAAAACCTTAGTTGACCACATTTTGTTCTATAAAAAGAATAAGATTGCATAGAAGAAATGCAAAAAAATCTTAATCCGTTTGCATTGTAACAAATAATAACATCTACCTTAATAGTCTACAAAAGATTAAAGAACGATGTATAATTAAGTTTCACATGGTCAATCACATATTCGGGGACATCATTCTTCCGCTGTGTTTTCTGCGAAATATCACAAGCAGGAATAAGATAGGCTAGTGGACAGATGTTTTTGAGTGTATAAGTTGGTGTATCCAATTTCATCCCCTGAGCTTTCCTTTAAAGGAGCAACATAGTAAAATTTAATAGGCAATTTTTCCAAAAGAATTGAGATTAAAAGATCAGAGTATCCACGTGAAAACGACAGAAAGGTGGCTAAGGTTTGAGATACTTTTTCTGTAAACGTGACTTGGCGGCCAGTGAATGAGGTTTCATGGGTAATACAGTCATTGTGTGTAGAAAGTAGAGTCGGGATCACACTAATATTTGCTTTACTTCTCTGTGTGATTAACCAGTTATGAGACTAAAACCATAGAGTTGGTTTTTAAGAGACCCTGGAGCTGCGCCGGTGCAGGTTGTCGCAAGACAATTTGGAAACTCTTTACGGTGGCTAATCTGCACTATCAACTCAGTTGATAAAACCAACTTATCTTGTTATTAAACCAATCATGACTTGGCCACAAGCCTTTTCCTTGATCCCCAGGCTCAATCCCTACTGAGGATGTCTCGCAGCGACCGCGATCCACATCAGCTGGGGCCTAAGCTTACTAATATCATGACCCACTGGTATCACTTACGCTTGTTCCACCCAAAGTAGCGTGAACTTGTCTGAAGTGTTTTTTCATTGTGTCGATATAATCAGCATGATCCTGACAATAAAAAAAGAAGCCTGACGTGAGTATCTAAAAACCTCTTTGATGAATATCTTAAATGGTTGAAACTCGTAGCAGTAACTTTTGGCCAACGGTAAAAGAGTGAAAGAACTCTTTGGAATCGACTCGAAATTATGAGTTTCAGTCGAAAAATTTTTCAGCGCTACCCGTTGGACTCACATAGATATAAAACGCGCTAGGGCATCCTCGCTGCCTTTGTTGATATTTAATAATCGGCCACAGCTCGCAGCAACAGTTAATTGTCAGTTAAAATGTCAGCAATACTCACCCTCCAAAACTCTGGATCCTTTCCATAAACTAATGCTACCATTCGATCGTTAGATTTCCTAAGACGAATAGGGGTTGTCTTGAGATTTCCGCGGAACGACAAAACCGAGGAAGGAGTTGTCAGGACTGTGTGTTGAAAAAGAATAAAAGAGACACAATACAGTTCCTGCAACTTGAAAAATGATGCATAAGCTTTCCAAGTTTGTCTTTTCCTTGGCCATCCTCTTCCTCTCATGAATATTTTTACAACTTCTAAGTGATATTCTTCTATCCTATTAAACAAAATGATAGTATTTGGTTCCCATCACTTTAAAAGTAACTTTAGGTTCAGTGACTCCTTTGGGTTTTTCGTATGCAACCAGAATAACAACGCCTCTTTTTCATTTTTTTTTTTTTTTTTTTTTCGATTTAGGCTAAAATCCACCGAACATTGTAGACTTTTTTTTTTTTTTTTTTTTTTTCTGACTAAATTTGACGGAAAAAATAAAATCCACCGAACATTGCAGACTTTTATTTTAAATTTCCCCACCAATTTCATTTGACAAATTTTTATCTTCTTTTGAACTGGAAAATGATTCGTTCTTTTCTTATCTTCAGTAAAAATTTGGAAGTCCGTCATTTACCCATCAAGATATCGTCAATCATTAAACCGTTCTTTCCACCTTTTTTGTTGTTGTTGATGTGGTGAGTTTTCCATTGGCCTTTTTACCGTTTATATATATATATATATATGCCTTATTGCCTTATACAGATCACACACTGTGATTACAAGTTAATAATATACGAGCAAAAATATAACTATTTTCCTTTTTAGTTGTCTTTATTTCGTGTCATGGCTCAGCAATTCGGCCGTCTGCCTTGGCCTTGTTGCCGGAGTGGCTATGTTTTTTCCTCAAGAAATGTTTCTTCCAAGAAATGAGGATTCTTGTACGTAATATAGATTCCGTGTTAGGAAAATGTTTGGAAACTCTTGTACCTTTTTCCTTCTACGACCATGTAAGTTCCTCCTCGATCCTAGTTCTTTAACAGCCTTTATTTAGTGCGGCCAAATTCCTTTAATTCTCTGGCTTATCCAAGAAAATCGCTCTCCTTTAGATTTTTCAATAAGTACTTTTTGATTCGTTTGAATAATTGCCTGATAGTAAAAAATCTCTCTCAAAAAAAAGCTGTAAACAGGAAATATTCAGCCTGTTCAACACTTCCAACCCGAAGGAAAGCCTCTTCAAAAGTTCACAATAAGTCTCAATAGCAGGATGTTATCCTCGCTCTAAGACTTAAACCCATAAAGTAGACCACAACCTATTTAGCGCATATATCCCCTGTTTGTCTAGACCAAATAAAGGAGGGCCTCCCAACATTTGATTGACTACAAGTATATGAGCCATTATAACAGAGCTTTACCGGTTGTAAAGCGTATATTTTCTTTTCATCCGGCGCTCAGGTTTTACACGCAAACATTATCTCTGATAAAGTATAGTTTTTATCTTTAGAAAGTTGTTTAATTTTAGACAGCAATGCAAACATCCAAACTAACTACGAGAAGTATATTACTGACAGATTAAATCATTCTGTGTCAAGTACAGATCAAAACAACACATTTCAACATCTAACGGATGACCCTTCTTCTGAACTCAGTAATGGAGATGATGTGACTGGTGTTCAGGTAACAAATAAAGATTTTCACTTAGTCAAAACAGATCAGATAGCTCAGGCTGTTATCATAACAAAAATCTATTTGCAGCTGCCTCTAACGTTAATGCATGCGCTGGAATCAAGGTGATAAGGTAAGATGAAAAAGTTGCATGCACCTTTTAAGAGCGTGCAAACTCTTAGTTTGATCGAATTCAGAACTAAACTTTCATGCTGTTTCTGTTTGTTATAGAAAGTAGTATTTCAGAGCCGACACAAACGAAGGAGATCAAAATCTTTTGATAATATACTGCAGGAATATAATTTTCCTCTCGACCCTCAGAACATCGTATGCCGTCGACCCCCTGCTTAAAGGCAGATTAAAACGCATTTTTACTAAACTTCAATAATTTACATCTTAATACTATAAGCACAGTACATGTAGCGAATGAATGCTTACCTTTCTCAACTGAAGAATTCTGGGAGAAGTCAAGTAGGTTTATTTACCTACTGTGTAGACCTTTTGTTGTCTCTTCTTTAGAATCGTTATAAATATAATTCTCATTTTAACATTTTCATGATGAGTGGAATGTGGTAGTAGAGGGAGGAGCATACACTGAGTTTACCTGGTGACATCTGTATTAGTATGACAGGTATTGATAGATCAGTTATTCTAACCAAGATACTAGCATACTTCCTTTTCTTATTCTCAAGATATGATTTTTCTGAACCACAATCTGGCAAGGATGTTTGCGATCGCATCATCAGTCCAATGAAAGGGGCAATTCGTAGATATTGCAATGATCCCATCAATAATTTTAACTTTTCCACAATGTTTTTGAGGATGGCGGCTCAAAAGAAATCGGCAAGGACAAATTAACACTAGGGTCAAAGCCATTGAAAGTGAGACCCGTTGTGAAGGGATGAGAATCATGGTTGCTGTTTGCATAGATAAGCCATAAAACAGAATCCCAGTCACAGCGATAATAAAGAAGCTGTTTCATGCCCAGAACAAGGAGAGAAGCATCAGAGAACCCAAGATCTCGGGGAGCACAACGGGAGAGAAGCATCAGAGAGCCTCTACGACGACCTTAGAAAATATTGGCGAGACCTTGACTGGGCCATGAATTTTCCTCCCTTACACTTCAATCAAAGATAGCAACACTCGAAGTAACCGGCGAAGTTAAAAGTGAAGTGTGCAAGATGGGCTGGGCTCTTCACTGAGAAACCGCGAGGCAGTGGAACAAGATTCACCGAGAAAGTGAAAGAATATCTTTCAAGCAAGTTTCAAACCGATGAAAAACCAGGCAGAAAAGCCCATCCCGCGTAAGTTGCAGCAGAATTGAGAAAGACCAGAGAGGCCGTTGGGGCAAGAAAATTCATCAGAAATGAATGGCTGAGGAAGAACCAGGTTCAAAGCTACTTCTCGAGGCTTTTTGCTACGAAACGAAGAAAAGCCGCAATCTCAAAACATCTAGAGCAGGATGCAAACGACGACGACGACGACGACGACGACGAAAGTCTCATCGAAGAAGGAAGCGGTTACCCTGAACGCTGAGAAACAAGGACAATGGATGTAGCAGATGTTATTTCATAAATCTGTTATTTAGTCATTCAATATCATACGATGGGTACAATATATGCGATCATGTAAGCCACAACCCGTTAGGGAAGTTTAAAGTCACCTTGCTGAGGGAAATGTGAGCTTTTTATGAAATTGCTTTCAAAGCCAGAGATTTGGTGGCCTTTAAAAAGACCATCTTTACCCAAGAAACTAAATGACATGGTGACAGAATGCACATGTCTCCAGGAAATTTAAGATGACTCTTCCTAACTCTGTGCTTCGTTCCATTTCATGACTTTCGGTACCAATTCGCTATCAGAAGTGTATTTTGTGTGTTTGTTTTTGCTACTAATAGTTGCAGGACGTGCCGGTCAATAATTAGCATAATCAAGTAACGCAATATCTGCTTAGCTGGTTTTGATGGTCGCAAGAGAAGGTTAAATTTGTCGCGAACAACCTTGCAGACTGTAACAGCATAAAATATTTAATGATGGCAGCAAATTTTCGGAGAGGAGGGCCTGTTGATAGCATTTCGTGCGCTAAGCCCTAGTCGAAACTGCAAGAATTCATGCAGAGTGTAAACGTGTTGTTTGGTAAATAACACTGTACACATCACGAACATGCATTTTAACTTGTTTGTGTGTCCCTTTAAGCTACTCAGAATGTCTACAATGACCAGAATGACTAATCGTATTCTTTAATTTCAATCTTCTCCACTCTGTGTGTGGTTCATTACCTGATTCAAGGAAAATTATCAAGGAGGAATTTTTTTATTGCTTTTGTCCTGCAAGCGTTACGACTGATCACGTTTATGTAACGTTTTAGGACAACTTGAGATTTATTTTCCATCTAATTGTTATAAAAACCTAAAATAATATACGTAGAGGCTAAACAAACAAATTTTGAACGTGCAAAGAGATATTTTGGTCAATTTTCGGAATTATGCAAATAAGCTTTGACACCTGCGCGATTGAGGAAACGCCTGGATTTGGGTTATTTCCAAGATATTGGTGGATGAAAACTAGAGAGATACCCGCGGGTAGGAGGCAAGCAGTGACCTCATTGGTGCATAAAATATTCACTGATATACTTTTTTAGCCCGGTTTACGGCTGCATTTCGAGAATTCTTTCTACTAAACTGGTGAATTTTTGATATGCAAATTAAGGTCGAAGGAAATGGTCTCTTCTGATCACGCTGGTATGAATAAGATTTCAAGTAAAGTTTCCATGTTTTGTCTGCGAACTAACTGAATATATCTTGCAACTTGTAGCAAGAGAATTCCGTGAGCGATACCATTGCAATCGCAGCACGCTCGGCAAAAGCTGTGAAATTTGCTCTTTTGATCATTTTGCTGTTTTTGCCATCAAGGCTCCAAGGCTTCAGTGGAGAGTGAATAACCTGTGTTCAGTATTGTAAGGATCGTGTCTTGGTGTAACACTATCGTGATGTCGCGGACAGTCTTCTTTCGTTATAGCATCGCAGTTTAGATCGTTGCTTATCAACGAGCTCGGCAGTTTTAACATCCAATGATGTAGATTGTTTCTTCAGCACGTTTCGCATAGTGCAACTTGTTCTTTGCGATATGAGCGGCATGGGCAAATACGAACAACACCAGGCAAGGCTGCTCGGCAGCTGAACAACATTGGCTGAGTCTGTAGCACACAGATGCTGTCTGTTGTGTTTATTGACGGGGCCAAGATGCTCTCGTGGAAAAACGTTGATTTACACTCAAATCCGGAACTAAGAATAATCAAAACTGCAAATTATTATCACAAAATTTCATTCAATGAAGACGCGTATATTAAATTCAAAGAGATATTGCCGACACAAAAGACACGAAGAAAGTGAGCCAAACATGATATCTCTTGATGCGGTATCAAATCCCACCTTTCAAAGGCTTCCTCCACGTTTAAAGACACGAAGAACTTCGGTTCACAGATCAGTTGTTTTCTAAGGCAGGTCGCTATGCAGGACTCGCCCTCTCCTCCCACGAGAGTCCTTAATTCACTCAGAGGTGGCCAGTTCGTCGGCTTGCAAAAATCCTGGAACAACAGGTAAATGGTTTGCTCAATACTGTGAGATTCATATCCTTCAGTCATACATGGTGGAAATTTTTCGTATCGTCAAGGTCAATCAGATCAAATGACGTAGTATTACCTGATTTTCCACATATGCATTTACTCTCTCTAACATACCAACATGAGTAAATTCGTAAGGTAAGTGAGGCTCTTCCTAACATAAAATAAAAAAAAAATGGATTAATTCATTGCTAAAGTCCACATGGCAACCAGGTGGACAATCAGACATGGTTTGATGCTACTCTGGTTTAAAGATTTAATGAAAGTAACCGAGAACTGTAACTTCTCGGTTTCTTTCATTGAATCTTTAATCAGAGTAGCATCAAACCATGTCCTATATATTCCTGTTTACATCATACCCAACTAGTGATGTTCGTGTTAACTTCTTTCATTCCAAACATATGTTCAGGGTGATTGACACCAGCTTTTCTTCAGCGTCAAGACAAAAGTAATAGGCTATGCAGTATATCAGGCCATAGTGGCCAAAACATATTTGGGGATCAGTTTTTTCGTTTCTTGAATAGACCTCTTGTTCCTTCCAAACCCCAATATCTGTTGAATAACTTTCCTCAGATTCTTAAAATTAAAACGTCATTTTGCAATGATATAGGAATTGAATATTTTCTAATAAATTCTAACTTCAAACTTAAACCACCCCATACGTTATTCCCTCCGTAAAGAAATCGAAAGTAGAATATTTACCTTTGTGCTGATAATTTCTCGGAGAGCTTCTTCAACTTCAGTCAAGTTATTGATGTTCACGGTTTGTACGAAAGGTTCACCAACGAATACTTCGGCGTAAGGATTTTGAGAAGTTATCTAAAATGCAATAGAATGAAATAAGCAGGAATTAATTGTCTCACGACTGATGTTTAAAGAGCAGATTTTTTCCAGATACAATTACGCAGTCAAAAACGTGTGTGATGTAAAAAACTTCCCGGGCAAAGTTTGACAGAGATGTTCCTGTTGCAGAGTGTTTTTCAATTCTCAAATAATCAGTCAACGTTGCGAGCCCGCAATATCACCCGACGTGCATGCTGGCAGTTGGTTTGAGGCCATTATCTCTCTTGTACGAGCTTAAATACCCACAATGGATTTCAATTTTCCTGCAGGCTGCTAAAAAGAGTCCCATATGGGTCGCCTCATTCTGGGTGATATAAAGCTTAAAAAGATATATGCGAACTACCTGTGAATTTCTGAATTACCTTTCTATTTAGCGGTTTACCAGCAAAAAAGCCTGCGTTTGTTCGGTCCAGCGGCGGGATATACTGTTGATGAAACAATAATAAGTGAATTAACAAATAATTAAATTAAGATTGAAAACACGATCATAATTCTGCGAAATTTTGCCCTGAAACCTGTGGTTCATGGGTCTGTTCACAAAGGTAAGTGGCTTCGAACCTAGACTTGCAGTGTGAACTTTATCTGAACACAGGACTAGTAAAATATTTTCGAGAATGATGATCTAACAAAGGAAATTGAGGAATGAATACTTTAGGAGGCAATGTCATTCACGTGCTATACAAAGGTGCGACATAGCAATCATAATTTCATTTATATTTTTTACCTTTTTCGGCTTGAGCGAAATATTCTGTTCTACTCTCACCTTCAAGCAACATAGTCATGCGCATTACCTTGGGATTAAGGAAGAAACATCCATTAGCCAAGGCTTCAAGGGCTGCTGGTCCTTCGAAAGGTTGACCAAGACCTACAAATACCTAAGAGGAAAAATACAGCTATGTATTAAAAAATATTACAATTTGGTCGGAGTAAGAGAAATCTCAAAGGCTTTGTTAGTCCTTTTTTGCGAAAATTGTATTGAACTATAATTCGCTATAATTAATCAAGAGAATATCAACAGTTGATATGTTCTTGTCAATAAATAGCTGTAGAACCGCTAAAGATAATTTTCCAACCTGAAGAGACGTAATGACGAGATAAAGAAGCAAAATAAACTAATATGAAAACCCGAGAAAATTCTTTTTTTTTTCTTTATCATTTATGTCGGTTAAGACCAAAAAAAACATTGAAAAAGAAAGACTAAGCAAGCGATCTATATAAAGGCCAAAACCGGAAAAATTAATTTTAGTTGATCACATTTTGCTCTTATTGAAGGGTTAAGGATGCATGGGAGAAGTCTTGCAGTACATCTTTCATATTAGCTCTACATATTTAAAACACCTACCTTACTAGTTTGCAACAGATTCACAAGTGATGTAATATTAATTATCCCATGGTTGATCACATATTCAGGAACACCAAACTCTCGCTGCTTCTCCTGTAATAAATTACGGGCAAATATAGGATAAACGGATTAACAAAGGCTAATGGGTGTTTTTAAAAGTCGGTATATCCAATTTTATCCTCCAAGCTTCGTTTTAAAGGCGCGGAGTCGCAAAATTTGATGAGAACTTATTCTATAAATTTCCAATTCAGAAACATCAAGAAGTTGGTGAAGGTTCGAAATAAGTTTAGTGTAAACAAGACTAAGGAACAAGTTTAAGTAAATGGAGTTATCATGCATAAAAGCTATCGTATGGCGAAAAAAGATTTGGGATTCACAGAAATATGCTTCACTGTATTCTGTGTGATAAATCGCTGGATACGAAACTTAAACCAAACACGACTTGGGTGAATGACCGCTGAAACTACCTCAAGGTTCTCAGACGTCTTCCTTACCAAGGATGTTTAGGGGCGCCTGCGATCCACATCGGCTGCGGCTTAAACTTTCTAAGTTCTTGATCTACATATTACTTACACTCGCTCTTCCCAAAGTGGCGTGAACTTCGTTAAAATATCTTTTCACTGTGTCGATATAATCAGCGTGACCCTGATGGTAAAAGGAGAGGCGTGGCGTGAGTATTGAAGAAGTCTTAGAAGAACTTCTTAAATGGTTAACCTACTCTGTCCTAATGGAAAACAAGTTTGCAAAGAAAAAAGAAACTTTTTAGTGAATCAAACTAATCGAGGTCAATCAAACCGATGAGTAACGACTCGAAGAACTCGTGGAATCACTCCGATTGAATCCATTGAGAGTTTTGATGGATAAATCCGATTTCAAGCGTAATCAAAACTATAACAAAATTCTCAAACGCTATTGGTCATCACCAGCCCGATTTAAGCACTAATAGGACAGTGTAGGCGTCATGTTTGTAATTGGATAGTGTAATAGGACAACTTAAGGAACAGTTCACACGTCATGCCTGTGTAAAAGGACAGAACGCGTCATCTGCGCGCGCTATTGTCTCGTATTTCGCAAAGTTAATTGATGTTTTTTTTAAATGAAAACGCATAACCGATTTCTAGTTTCTTTCTCAAATTTTGTTATAGTTTTGATTAATTGGAACAACAAACCGCAATCCCGCTTAACATTCGTCCTATTTTTTTTAAACACTCTTATGATTACAGACCAAATTAGACTCCACTCGGTGCTATTACCATTATATAGATCAGCCAGCGCAAGCCATCGGACTTTCAAGGATCAATGCCTCACGCGGTTTGCGTGAGGGATCTACGCCTCACCCCTACGTTTTCAAGCTTGTAAACATTCGTCACCACTACTGCGTCGTTGACTAAATAATATTAGTTGTTCCTTTTCAGGTGAACACGGTGATCGACGGTTGATTAATAATTGATTATTATGTGATTAACAGTGTATGGCGTAGCTGTTTAGGCCAAAAAAATAAACTTTTTATTTATAAGTGAAACAGTTTTGACCAAGCGTTCGGTTTACAGGCACGCTTTCTAACCTAGCCTGTTTGACTGTTTACTTAACTGCTTCTTGTTCTCTGATAGGAAAACAATTTGGCTGGATGACGCTACAGAACTAGGTCATGTCGTTTACCAACTGAACTTCAAGTATTTTCATTTTAGTTCTCTTCAATGAAAATTTTTATGAATCTCTGGTAATTACATTTCTTACGTATATCATATAATTCCTTTTTGTTAGTTCGAACAAAGACGTTAAACGATTTGTCGTCCAGGCAATTGTTGAGGGTGAACCATTTTCAACTATTAAATTAAGATCATTTTAATTTGCTTGTTAGTGCATCAGGTATGCTAACCTTCCAAAACTCTGGATCCTTCCCATAAACAAGTGCTGCCATTCGGTCATTTGAATGAACTACGTTTTCCCGAGACTTTCGCGGAACAGCGAAACCAAGGAAGGAGTTGTCAGGGCTATGCGCTACAAAAAGGAACAGGCAAATCATTGTTTATGCAGATTGAAAAATTAAGCCTGAGTCTTCCAAATTTACCATTTACAATCCATGTAAATTTTCACTTCCCTAAGCCTGCATCCTTTAGTCTCCTTGGATTTTCCTCATCACTTTCAAATGGTATTTTGCTCGAGTTCCATCACCAAACTGTTTACATCACGCTTTATGTTCACTAAATCCCTTTTTCGTTTAGAATAGCTCAATAATGCACAATAGTTTCGTTTACCCCCCAAGCGCCGTTGGCATAAAAATTTCCACGAATCATTAACACTTCCTTGTTATTTTCATAAGGCCATTCTTTTGATGTCAGTGTTTTTTAAATACTTTCCAAAAGTCTGCACCTTGACAACCAGGACTGGGTAAGGGTGAGATTTAGGAGTATTCCGACTTTTAATTTAAAAATATGCATGATGTCTGGTGCAATTCTCTGATATTTTTTTAGAAAATCTGTGCGGAATCAGAGTCACTTAACTGATCCTAACTTGCAAAGCGTTATTTAACTTCTTTGGCCTAATTTTATTATATTTGCAGCCAGTGTAAGTCATCACTATGATATGGTTTCCCTCGTGTTGAGGATAACTTTTCTTCTACTGCGGGCATAGCTTAAGTTATGATGACCTAACTATAAAAAAAAATTAAATTCTAAATAAATTGATACTCACGGTACATCGTCATAAATTGCGCTAGGTGAAGGTCCAGATCTCCCCAAGGAGATCTCCCTCCAGGAATTTCCCCCTTGTAACGTTTATAGTTAAATTCCGCGTCCGTACCAAATGAATCTAAGACACGAAATTTGCACCTGTAGAACGAAAAGCAAGTTAACCCGTCATCCTTTAAAACTGAGTTATGACATCTTTTAGCGAAAAAAAAAATCACATATGAAAGGTACAGAATTCAATCAACTGTAGTTTACCTGAATTGGGCATCTATTCATTAATTTGGGTAATTTAGTGCTAACACCTGAGTTGAAAACGTGAACTGGCGACCGTAAAGAGTAAAAACGGTGACGTTCGAACGTTAGTCCTTCGTCAGAGCGATGAGAAGGGCGAAGGACGAAAGGCTAACGCTCGAAACGTCAGCTTTTTTACTCTTTACGGTGGCCAATTTACTTTTTCAACTCAGTTGTTAACACTAAATTACCTCCTATACTCTCCCACCGACGCAGCCCCACAGTTTCTTTAGAAACTTGCTCCTCTATTTATTCGTTAATTTGACCAAGATTTCTTATGACGAAATTCGTATTTACTAAGTGACAAACAAACGACTGAGCCCTTTTTTGCCCTCTCCCTGCCCTTCATCTCAGATTTAAACAACGGACGAGGACCTTAATTGTGTATCTGGCTAAATGTCGGACTCTCTGCCTGTCATTCTGTCGGTCTGTCTTCTTTGTGTCTGTCTCCCTTTTCGCTTGACATCTCTCTGTTTGTCTCCAGTCTTTTTAGGTGTCTCTCTCTTTTTGTCTGTCTATCGGCCTTTCTCTCCTCTATCTGTCTCTCTCGCTGTCTGACTTACCGTCTATCTGCCTGTCAGTCTGTCTAGCTCTCCGTTTGTCTGCCTATCTGTCTCAATATTCATCCTCAGATCGTTCGGTCAGACTGTCTAGCTATCCAGCTATCTATATGTCCACTTTGTTGTTGCTGTCTTAGTTTTATCGCAGTGTTGGGTTTTTCAAGCGCTTTGTCACTGTGCATAAAACCTCAACACGTTTCTGTCGAGAAATCACGCACTTGTGTCGCGAGTAATCCTGTCCACTGTGTATAGATATGATCAACACTCCCATTATGTCGGTGAAAATGAGGTCCACTTCATCGTCCATTTTTTGACGTGCACAACCATCTGAGGTCGGGACAACCAAGAACCTGAATCAAAACAACGATTTCAGTAACTATCAGAATTTTTTTGTGCATGAGCAAGTTTAAATTACGTGTGAGAGAAGCTGAGTAGCACTTTTCCAAAGATTTACCGTTTTCCGAGTTCATCTTCTCAATCTGGAGGTATATAAGTGCCCTATTTGCTTCATGAGCCATCTGTTTGATTTTTGTCTTCCGAAAGCTATTAATTAAAGGTCTATGTACCATCAACGACGTTTTACAGAAATCCTATACGCTCCCCCCTCCCCCCAAAAAAAAAAAATAGCGACAACAACAACAGCAATGGATTATGAAACCCAAACTGGTCTTTCTTGGCATTCCTGCAAGCAAGCCAACCCTGTCAATCCTGAAATCTAAAAAAGATTATTCTTGTTGAATGCTGACAATCGAGTAGGGAAATTCATGGGAGAAAGCAGATTCATAGCCCGTAAAAATAGGCTGTCAAAAACCACCCATCGCCCGTTAATCAAGTGCTGCAGTGTATGTTAAAAGTTTTAAATTGTGAAGGGCGCATGACTCAGCTTTACGCGTTCTATTGGTTGCCACCGTAATATAAACCGAAAGTATGATCAGAGGCCTGTAAGAAAGGAAACTTTCCTCACCTCGGTACTTCTTCTTTCATAAAACTGATTACAAGCTCATGGCCTAAAATATATAGGGCACTTATAAGGTCACACCACTGAGCCAGTTCACCAAGAGGCCCTCCCATGAAAGCTCCGTCCAAGAAAAACTTGTGCTCTCCCATTCCAGCCATATAAACCAAAATCTATAAAAAATATAATTATGGGAACTTGTTTCATTCTCAGGATCGATACTGTAAAACTCTCATGAAAAATAAGAGAAATTCAAAAGAAAATCATGACAGACTTCTACGAGGAATTTTTTAGAACTTGAAAGAGGAAAATAAAGAATAACATATCCAGTTTTAGAAGCCAACAATTCGCATCCCCTTTCTTACGCAGTGAAGAGAAGGCTGTGTGTCCTAGCGATTATGAACTGCTTATTATACAGTGTTCTTCAAGGAAATGGAAATTATTGTGTGTCATGATAGATTTCGCGTTTGGCAAATGGTTAGAAATTCTTGTACCTTTTTCCTTCGCCGACCATGTAAGTTCACCCTCGATCCTAGTTCTTCAAAAGCCTCTAACCATTGTGGCCAAATTCCCTGGATCCTCTTCGTCATCCAATAATATCTGTCTCCTTTAAATTTTTCAAGTAGCGCTGACAGATTTGTTTGAACAGTAGCCTAGAGGTAAAAAGATATATTTTTTTAACAAAAAGTCACGGAAAGATTTTATTTCTAGTCAGAAAAAACTCAGTGATCAAAAGCTTTGCCAAAACAAATCTTCGATCCTCTTATTCCACCAGGAAGTGAAGACAATCTGTTAATCTATCATCTGCCGATTTCCCAATCTTCAATCCGTCCATCTATCCATCCATCCATCTATTTATTTATTCATTTATTTATTCATTTATTTATTCATTTATTTATTCATTTATTTATTCATTTATTTATTCATTTATTTATTCATTTATTTATTCATTTATTTATTCATTTATTTATTCATTTATTTATTCATTTATTTATTCATTTATTTATTCATTTATTTATTCATTTATTTATTCATTTATTTATTTATTTATTCATTTATTTATTTATTTATTTATTCATTTATTTATTCATTTATTTATTCATTTATTTATTCATTTATTTATTCATTTATTTATTCATTTATTTATTCATTTATTTATTCATTTATTTATTCATTTATTTATTCATTTATTTATTCATTTATTTATTCATTTATTTATTCATTTACCCGCTCCCTCTCTCATTCATTATTTACGCGTTTACCCATGCACTCATTCATTGATTCACTCTGTTACTCACTTAATTACTTTCTTACTCACTCCTCCATTTATTCATTCACTTATTCAGTCATCTCTTCATTCGTTTACTGTTTCTTGGAAGTGGTGATTAATGATAAAAATTAACACAAGGCAAGTTTGAGAGAGTACACGTATGAGAGAATACACGCATGAACGGGTAAACCATATGGAGGCCAGTTATGCTATTTTTTTCGGGTAATCCATCGCATTTCTTTGCAAAGCCATCATCTTTAAAGAAAAAACTGGTTAATTCAGTTCAATATTCAACACTCCTAATCGAAGTAAGAGCCATTACCTTTTGCCATTCTGTCTCAACATTGTACGGATTTTTGTCTTGTCGCCATGGTAATACTGGACACCAAGCTTGAACCTTTTGCAAATGATAATTGTAATTTTAATGCAACCTTACATACAAGACAGAAAAGAGTTTACAATAGTCTGGCATCCTTCAGACTACCGATGATGAACCTCCAACGGTTATCGACGGTTTCTTTTCTTACGAGTCATGTAGGACGGTTTCCGACATCTTTCTGAAGTTTCTCAAAACTGTTTGAAGGTCAAGGAAACTCTTCCAAATATTTGCGGACATCTGCCGGCGATTCTGATTTAAATCTCCGATAATAAAGGAATTTAAAAAGATTTGAGTAAGGTGCTGTCCTACAACGGACTTAGGTCTCATTAACACTTGAGTGGTTGTTAACCTAGGAATTAAAGTCCAGGCAATGGAAATTCATCGTCTCAAATATTTGTGTAGTACACGTGCATTGCACGTTCCTTATAAGACTCTCCTCACGTTTCAGTCCTGGTCTTACCTCACTTAGATACTGAATAACAGAACACAGACTGCTAGGATCCACCTTATACTTCTCCCCATGGCATTTCTGGTCCCATGTTTTGTTGAATTCCTGTACAGAGTGACAAGAGGGAGCAATAAATATTCTTTAAGAGTTGAACATACCAACACCAGACTAGCATGACAAGAAGTTTAGGGCAAACTGCGTAAATACAGAGCTTTCCGATTAGACAATGTGACATTAAATCGAGAATATGACAACGGTTAGTCAGAATCAAAGTGTATAACAGAGGGAGCCAATCGGATATCTCAGAAAATACATCTGAACGAGCTTAAGCAAAATAGTCATAAATTGTTTCTGATGATTGGCTTAAGATTTCTCTAGTGTACAAAATTGTGTAATAAATGACTTAAAGTACGATTTCTTGTTACATGCCTTTCTGCTGTTAACAGGGAAAATTTAACTGATTTAATTTCACTATATAACAAGCTTATTAAACATGGCATACCTTAATTTTGATGGAGCATAGTGGGAACAAAGGATCATCTGGTATGTAACACTTAGCCTCTTTATCGTTGGGATTATTTAGCACTAGAGATAGGATTTAAAAATTATAGCAATCTTTCAAAACATAATCATTTTATTATGAATTCAAACTTCATATTGGCCTGGTCAAAATAAGTTTATTTGTTCGCCGAAGTCAAGGGGATTTTTCAACATTGTTCTATACCTAGACTTTCACTCAACAAAACGAGCACTGTGGTTGGTTGATTCTTGGTCACGTGCCCCTGACTAATTTTGCCCCTGACTAGTTTCCCTCGCCTTCGCCAAGGGAAACATCAGGACTTGAGGGAAAACAAAACTAACTGTTTCCCTCGGGACCATGCATTAAGTGTATAATATTCACTGAGCCATCGGCAATAATTGTTTCAGTAATAACTAATAATAAATAATAAATAATAATATAATAACTCATTTGCCTTTAAATTATGAATATTCGTTTTGATTTTGAAACCTTTCTGATTCAATTTCATTGTTTGTATCGAGATAAAGAGCCAACTACCGCAAGAATTTCATAGTTTCATTTCATTCAATCAACAAAAACTTCATACTTATCTTTCTTTTGGAAAAGGTTCATTTTGGCTCCTTGTTATTATTTGGCCACCATACCGCTGACAAGGAGCCGAAATGGCTCTGGGCTCGAGATTGATTTGGTGCGCGAAAAATTTGCTTAAGTTTGTGCGCGAACATTTAATTTATCTTAAAGGAGCTAAACGTTTTAATTCCTGAATGTTTTACGAGAAAGATGTCGGCCAAAAGTTTCTTATGCAGCGAGCTAAGCTCTGCATCAACAAACAGCTTGCCATCAAAAAAAATTTAGAAGGAAAAATATATTGTTATGGGTAAGTTGGGAAAGATTTCAAAGCCTAATCCCAAAGGTACTCAATCGTTTTCGTCATTTTATATGTTATCTGAGAATTGTAGGCATTTGAGGTGTGGGACTGTGAGGAAATTTTGCTGTGAGTTTTTCATTATCAAAAAAAGCCTTTACAGGCATTAGCTCTTTGTCTTCTTGATTCCGTTTTCCAAGTCAAACTGAAGATGGTTTTGCACGTTGTTTTGCTTAACACAGGGCTACAAAGATTGAAAAATCGAAGCCTCGAGCTGACTTAATACAATCTCATGCGAGTGAAGTTATAATTATTCAATGGCATAGAAATGTTGATGTATAGTGGTTGTGGTTAATTATAAATAAAATAAATACATCACTTGCATTTTCAGACAAATACAGCACTACAGCTCATTCATATTCCAAGCACGCTTGCTTATTTCCTTTCAATTGCTAGAATTATTTAGATTGCAAATGAACGCGTGATGGAGTTGGTACCCAAGAAGAAATGCCAAAGCTAACAATAAGGTTCGCACTGTTTCACACCGTAGAAATCCAAATACTAACTGAGTAAGAGAGTTCAAATGAAAATGCATTGCTGGAAACTCGTTTTTTTTATGCATCAGTATCACAGCATTTACTTTCAATGAAAAGGCAGAATTCTCCGGCTTCCATTTATCAGAATCTCACCAAACAAAAAATAGCTATTTTTGTCGTCTTTTCAAAGATAGCTGACACATGGAATTAAAGTGATCAAATTGGCAGCTCATTATTAAAACTGGGAAATGTTTTGCTGATATAAAAAATCAGCGATAAACAGGGTCGCAAAGTAGTAAATGTATATAGTTCTCGACCTTTATTCTATCAGCGAAAAGTGTCATATTTTGATGACAGATGTTTTAAAAAATCATTTTAAATTTTTCTTGTTTACATTTCCAACTGGTTGGTAGGTTGTGGCGGTGACAATGATGTTTCAATTTATAAATGACCTGAAAGATGAACCAGTTGGGGATCTAATTTTGACGGCAAGTTTGTGACGAAATCTGATTATTCTCTTAGCAAGGCATGAAGCAGGATGTGTTCCGTTATTTAGCTCCTTGGCATCTCTTTTTTCCCGAATATGTAAACTTCCAGTTCAAATTCAGAAGGGATTTGATACAGTTAGAATGAAATCAAACAGAAAGCCTAAAATATTTAACTATCTAAAATATCCTGCTAACATAACAAGCCAATTCGACTCCTCACTCACCTGTACCATTAGATGTGAGAGACGATCGTTCGAGGAGAAGCTTCTCTGTTGAGTTTGCACCATTGTTCAAAACTGTAACACCAGAGTCATCTATGTCGATATAAAACGTTACATGGAAAATACTGATTTGCGCTGAAAAGAAAAACAGAGTGCATCCCAGCCATATCAAAAGTACAGACCCCTTTGAAAAACAAAGCTTCATTTTCACCATCTATAATAAGTAATGAAAGAACGGTCCTTATCGGCTTACAAGCTCGTTTATCTTAATAGAAGTGTAATTAATTCTTAACGAATATATTTCAGTCTCTATGGATATTAACTCATAAAAATATCTCAAATGATTTGAAATTATTGTCTTGATAAAGGTAGTGAAAATGTTCAGTAGGAGATATCTTTTCATTGCTTACTTGTATATGTTAAAGAAAACAAGAAAGCAACGAATATTAAAAGATCTATCGGGCATGATTAATAGCTGCAAAGATGAAGAATAAAACAGGCCTAAATCGAAAAAGAAAAACTTTATTGCAGGATAGGAATTAAATTAAATTCAAAACTGATCAAATTTACCGACTGATCAGGCGAAAGGTATTGACATGAGGAAAGCTACAAAATTAGAAGTACTGGTATATTGAAAAAAAAAAATTGACCTTTCGTTTCTTTTTGTTTGGCAGACGACAACTTTGAATATAAAGATGGTTGCTCGGTGATCAATCTCACAAAATGAGTCTCCTTTAGCTTCTCCGACGTGATTGGCTCCTGGCAGTGTTACACTTGTCTTGATTAAAACTAATAACAGTGACTATAGTGAAAAAAGACAGGTTAGGCGTCATTCATATGTAACAGGAGAGAACCCGTCATTTGACCGCACAACTGGGGTGCATTTTCCTTAGAAAAAAGTCAACCATCGTGTTTTTATTCATAAATTCGTTCGACTGAGGGGCATTTTGCGATAGTTTACATTTTTTATTTATCTCAAACAGCTTGGCATCGTCCAATCTTTTCTCTGTTAAGGCGGGTGATGACAATTAGACTGCCACATTCGCGGTCGGTCATCTTTGTAATCACTACAGCTATGATCACAAACCGAAAAGGACTCCCTTTCCCCCTTTTTTACCTCAGAATTTAGCGCACCACGAGAAATATGATAGCTTTCTCTATTTCTTTATTTGTAATATAGGATGTTATTCATTTTTTTTTTCTCTTCTTGAGACGAATATTTAGAATTTGACGAAAAAGGTGTTGTTTACTTTTCTTAAAAAGATGAAAGGGATATTTCTGAACGACCATGGGTTACTATGGTAAACGAGGAAGGAAGTAGTCCAGTTCTTCTGTAAATACGTCAATTCTCTATGTGTTCTTCAAAGCATTAGTGGAAGATGTACATAGCAATGAAGGTAGCTTTCAACTAAGAGTTTAAAGAAAGCCCCGATGCAAACTAGTTTTGCATTAGAAAACTCTTCTTATTGCTTAGAAAAAAAGAGACAAAAAAAACAGCAACAACAATTTGCAATTCATTAGATTGAAAACTAAGACCAATTGGAAGGGTACATCCAAGTTAGTTGGCGCTTTTCTCTGACTAACCATTGAGTATTATTTAGAGAAGTTTTCAATTGGGTGTTGATAGTACCCAAGGATTACATTGATGTTACTTTTCTACGCTCTGTGATTGGTTCAAAAAACTCCTGCCATCCTCTATACCAATCAGATTTAAAACCAAAAGCAATCACAACTTTCATCGTCACACGCGTTTTCTCGCGCTTTGAGCAGTACGCTTGCCTTTACTTTTATCCTCATTGGTTTAACTGTCGTGAAATTTTACCTTCCTCCGATTGGTTAACGTTGCTTGATGTGTTTGATTTTATGACACTGAGTTGAATTGTCCTCCATGAAAATTAACTAATAAGCGTGATATCTTCCGGTTGTGCGGTAAGATTTTTGCTCGCGATTGTTGGAAGGCCTGCGCCTCACAAAAAAAAGCGAAAGTTTGATCAATCTTTTTGAAAGCCACATCTATTTTAAAATGATCGCGATATCATGTATGCTTTGCCGAGTTGTGTGCGGCAAAGGTCTTCATTCAAGCTGTACATGCACGAATTTCGACAATACGATTCGACATTTGAGGTTCAATCATGGGTGGATTGCAATAGCAAGCAATGAATGACTATAAGCAAATTCTTACTGCAATTTCAAAATAAAATAACATCTTGGTCGCACAAAGTTTTGTAATAAGCAATGAGAGAAAAACTGTTCCTGTTCACCAGAAACCAAAAAATTAATAGTTTCCATGCAGAGGTAGTCTGTTAGGGTCTCGTTACCGTTTCAGCTCGAGCGGAGGAGCCTACAAGTTTCGAACTGACGGGTGAAGCACGAGTGGGAGAGGTGAGGTACGTGCCAGAAACAGTTGGTATCATTAAACTTTTCGCGTTTGTTGCGATTTTCGTGACCGAGTCATACTATTATTTAGTCAGAGGTGTTTCCAGGAAAAAAAAACAAAAAAAAACCGTCTTATTCATTTAGTTTATTCATTTATTCACTCTTTTATTTTTTTATTACTTCAGAGACTCCAGTGTTTTTAGTGTTCAGCAATCAAGGTTACCTATTCTTCTGCAGCGGTAAAATTCTTATCCCTACTGAACTAACGAATTAAACGTGGGAAAATTCGCTCGGATATTTCTCGGTTTTTTCTGAGGCTTATTTATTCATTTGACACGCTTAGACTAATCGATGATAACCGAGGTCATTAAATGTGTTCAGGAGAGCTTATAGGTTTCTTTACGACAGCCCCGAGTTACTCAAATGTAATATTAATAATTTAGATGTATCATTTAGAGGAAATCATATCGTTTTTGATTATTCAAATGTAATTTTTGGAATAATCGAGTGCTTTAACTGTTTCTTTCAATTCTTCTCTTTCTTTCTCTCTTACTCACTTTTTTCCTCCCAAGGTGATGCGAAACTCACTTCAAGAGGCGTTCACGAGCCAAAGTTTTCAACCAATTGTCAAGTGTCTTTCGCTGTTCATCCCTGAACCAACCACTGGCCAATGCTGTTGCCAAAAGCATGTGGACATCTTGCCAGAACGCTGCGCAGTTATGATAAAAATCAAAACAGCGTTTCAGACAAACAAAAATTCGTTCTTTATCAACGTAAGGTGGCTTGTTAGCCAAAAAACAGGAAATGAAAGTTGAAAGATGAACAATGCTCCGGGGTGAATATCCGTATGAATAATCAGGATCCCACACGGATTCTCGGAAATCTTCGGCGCGTGTCGCCTCCGCTCGGATTCGCCTTTGTACCCGTAATTCAAACAAATTGGATTCCAACCTTCGAACGGTTTCTTCGGAAGTTCGAAGGGACTTCTTTGTCTTGAAGAGCTCGTTTTGAATCGCTACGATCTCGGCATGCACACGGGCATCGAAGCAGCTGGTATCATTCAACTTCGCGCATTTTTTGCGATGATTGTTAAAATCACTTTGACTAAATATTTTATAACAACCACTACACTCTACCAGAGTAAATCCGCATCTTTCCAAATGCTTCTCCAAGTCTCCTAGTTTTAAGACCATTTTACAACCGTTCACTGCATTTTCGCACTTCACGGAAAGTCCCTCAATGAATGCGGTGAGAGCTAAAACTGGTGCGGTGTTGGAAGAAATCACATCGCGCCGACATGTAGGACATGTTTTCTTTACGTTTTTCGCGGATTTAAACCAGTTCTCTAAACACTCTTCGCAATACGTATGTCCACAATGCATGGCGCGTGGGTTCTTCAACACTTCCTTGCAAATTCCGCACAGTAGGTTTTGATCCACCGGTGTAACAAAAATATTTGCGTTGTAACCCATTTTGCGTCGATGACTAAGGTTCTATTACCTTTAGACGCCCACAAAATTTCTAGAGCAATATCGAAGCCGGATCGTATTTTCTATGAATAGCGTATTTGCTATCGGGGTGGCTTGTTTCTAAAACAAACCACGACTCGAAATAAAAGCGACTTGCTTGATAAATGAAACTTTCCCAGCTTGTGGTTCATTAGAAGGCGACGGGTTGTCCAAAGACGTAAAGAGCAGGTGATAGACGAAAGACAAAAAAAATCAACACCGTTTGGCAGTTTCTATGTGTTCGTAGACACCGCGTCTTCGGAAAAGCCTTTTTTCTGGTAAAAATGCAATTTTATTGCTTTAATGCACATATGGTAAAATGATAAATTTTCCATTATCGAAAATTTTTTCTCTTTCTTGGAAGGTTATCTTACATGTCTCTCCTACAATATTTCATTTCAATCAAAGAAAGCAAGGTGCAAAATAAAAGTAAAACAAAAAATGAATACTATTTGAAAACCAAAAAGAAAAGAAGAAAACGCTAATGTCCCTTATCTCCCATCTTGTGGTGTGTTCTGGTGTTCCTTAAGGATCACACAAACGTATTTCATTACAAACCTCTGTAATAAGTAAAAAATAAGGTTCTGTACGTGATTATTACGGACAGCTGCATTCAGTCCTTTGCTTATTTCGGGCAGTAAACCCTTTCACTTTTATGAGTGACCAAGACAGAATTTCTCCTTACCAAATCAATACAATATCAAACAGACAAGTGATGAGAATAGAGAAAAATATCAGCTGGGGGATTATTAGTTGGTTCAATACCAAATTCTCAGAACTAACGTTATAAGAATTGTATGGCAGACAGTAAAGAGAATTACTGATGAGATATTTGGAGTGAAAGGGTTAACAGCCCTTAGATTAAGAGCTATCTCTCGTTCCCGGCTTGATCCGTACACCGAATAGCTTCTTTGCGTGAAACGGTTAGCTTGCATCTCTCATCTCTCTCTCCATTAACAAGAACGCCATAATGTCAGTAAATTTCTCTTCATTTGCAAGTCAAAGTCATAACCCATCACACTGCACGTTTATTTAGCCAACACACGCTGTAGCCAACACTCATCACGATAACAAAATGTTATTTAAAAAAAAGCTTGCTAGTACAATAGGTGAAAAAAACAAGATGCTTTTGTACGACGTTCACTGATGGTCGAACTCCAGAAATTTTTAAGAAAATTGATACAAAAAGTCTTAAGATTACCTTGGTTAAACATGATTAACATTTAATTTTTCGAATCAAAAAATAAAACGTCATTAAGGACCATGGATAGATACAACTTAACGAATCCTTTGTTTTATCAAAAGGCTTGTTTGTATCAGAGGTCGAAAATGACGACATTTGAGCTAAATAAAATAGAAAAGATATCTTCTTGCGTTGAATGTTCTGATGCAAACCTTTTATTTCTTGTACATAATTTGACGTAAGCGCCTTTGAGTAGACTGTGTTGCGTGTTGCATGAGAAGCGGCCAGAAGAGGAAAAAAAAAAAACAGAATGAGAGTTTTCAAGTGGTCTGTACTTACAGTGTAAGATCAAAAATCAGTATATGAATCGCTAAAATCTCTTCGAAATTATGCTTTTGCTTTATGCTTTTTTGGCATTCTGAATTCTACATGAAACAAAATGTATAATTTTTTTTCAACTGTGAATGCTCGATAATATGTTGTAAGAGAAACCGTTTTTTTTTTTTTTAGAGAGTGGTCAGCGGCGAAATGGCGGTCAGTCGTAATTTTCTCGGCTCCGCCATAGTCACTTATCTATATCTGTTCTGTTGTTTAAGTCGCTCTTTAATTTATCTAAATACGCTCATTTTCTGTCCATCTTATGCCCCTGATGATTCTGGAGTTACAAAGACCACTAATGAAGTGGATTTATACCGTGCAAGTTGCTCGTCGTCGATGCGTTTGTTCCGCCATCTTGGATTTTCATCTTCAACAAGATCGCATCGCTACTTCACTGCTCGGATATCTCATACTCCGAACTCCGTTTCCTCCTTTAACCTAACGCGTCTTCGCTTAACAACGAGTGGCGACATCAGCCCGAACCCTGGTCCACTAATTACGTCTTTTACAACAAATCGTCGAGCAGTTAAACATCGAAGCCATCATCATAGCCACCGCTCCAACGTTGTGCAGGTAAACCGCGTATCTGATCTCCATTTGAGTACATCGAACACTCAGCTGACCATGTGCACGTTAAATGCTCGCTCTATTTCAAACAAATCTGCACTGTTTGTTGATTATGTCAGCGAATGCAAAGCCGACCTAGTTGCAATAACTGAAACTTGGTTATCAGACAACGACTCCGCTGTGTGCTACGAGATAACTCCTGCTGGCTATAAACTGTTACACTGCCCTAGGGGTGATCGTAGAGGTGGAGGTACGGCCCTCTTGTTCAGAGATAACATCAATGTTTCCAAGCTCGAAACTGTTTCAAGGATTTCCTTTGAATCTTCTGAATACCTTGTCTGCACTGGCTCCCTACGCTTTCGATTGGCAATCATCTATCGACCGCCGTACTCTGTTAATCATCCTGTGACTGTGAACAGTTTTATTGACGAATTTTCTGAGTACCTTGAATCTGTTATCCTATCTAACGATGTCCTGTGTTTAACTGGCGATTTTAACATCCATGTTGATGATCACAATGATTCAGCTGCTTGTCGCTTTTTGGATTTATTGGAGTCAATGTCTTTAACTCAACATGTGACAGAACCAACGCATGAACTTGGTCATACACTAGATCTGGTAATTACTCGAAAGTCAGACAACCTTATTAGCGGTCGACCAGCGCCTGACATTCTATTTTCGGATCATCTAGCGTTACTTTTCAAATTGAAAACACCTCGACCACCTCTCAAAGTTGGGCGTGTCTCATTTAGGAAGTTGCGATCAATTGATAAGTCTGCTTTTGCGGATGAAATCTGTAACAGCGAGCTTCTTCAAACGGATACTGAAGATCCTGACGAGCTGGCCGCCTTATTCAACAACACATTGCGTTCCCTGCTGGATCGGCACGCTCCTGTTAAGCAAAAAGAATGTTACTATTAGATCTCGTGTTCCATGGATGAATGATGAAATTATATTGGCTAAACGTCAACGGAGGAAAGCTGAAAGGAAATGGAGGGCTTCTAAAGCACACATCGATTTACTATCCTATCGCGCAATGAGAAATCGAGTGACGTTTTTGAGTAACGAGGCTCGTTGTGCATACTATACAAACTTCATAACTGAGAACAGCACGGACCAGAGAAGGTTATTTAGAGCAAGTAAGTCCCTGCTGAATTTATCAAATGGTCCTGGCCTCCCACTGTCGACTAATGATTATCAGTTGGCTAATGATTTTGGAAAATTCTTTGCTCAAAAAAATTGCTGATATCAAGTCTGTTATTGCAAACCAGAGCCGCCTTCCTGTCACCATCGACGCTGCCAGTACTGTGACTGCTTCCTGTTTTTCAGAATTTACTCTCCTGTCCGAATCAGAGGTTTTTGATTTAATCAAAGCTTCATCAAAGAAATCTTGTCTTCTTGATCCTATTCCAACCAAACTTCTTACGGACTTCGCCGATGTGCTACTACCTCCGATCACGAAAATAATAAATCTTTCGCTTGATTCTGGTTATTTTCCACGCACCTGGAAAAGTGCTCTAGTAAGGCCGCTGTTGAAGAAGGATGGATTACCTCTTGTTTTTAAGAACTACAGACCCGTGAGTAATTTGGCATTTATCTCAAAGCTGGTTGAGACTGTTGTTGCCAAGCAGCTACAGCATTATCTGAATGGCAACAATCTGTTCCCAGTGTTTCAATCCGCCTATCGACAGAACCACAGCACAGAAACTGCACTCCTTAAGGTTATGAATGATATTCTCCTTAACATGAACAGTCAACGTGTTACTCTGCTTATTCTGCTCGATTTAAGTGCTGCCTTCGACACAGTTGATCACGACACCATGCTACGTCGACTTGAGTCATCATTTGGTATACATGGGAAAGCCCTCTCCTGGTTTACGTCCTATTTGTCTGGTAGAACTCAACGGATAATGATTAACGATTCGCTGTCGGAACCTTTTAAATTAGAATGCGGTGTGCCTCAAGGTTCCTGTCTGGGTCCGTTATTGTTTTCGTTGTATACGAGCAAGCTTTTTGAGATCATTGAATATCATTTGCCCACGATTCATTGTTACGCTGACGACTCTCAAGTTTACATCTCATTCAGTCCCAACGACAGAGCTGAGCAACTTGCTGTAGTGAGGAGTATGGAGGACTGCATCAGAGACATTCGTCTTTGGATGTTGAATAATGATCTTAAATTAAATGACGACAAGACTGAATTCCTTATCATTGGCACATCACAACAGCTGGGAAAGCTCGACAATATCAGTATACGTGTGGGCGACTCAGACATACATCCCGTGCCAATTGCGAGAAATCTTGGTTCCTGGTTTGATTCAAGGCTCTCCATGGCAACACACATCACGAAAATTTGTGCCTCTTCATTTTACTACATTTATAATATTCGTCGGATCAGAAAGTACCTTTCACAGCAGTCAACGGAAACTCTTGTCCATGCATTTATAACGAGCCGCCTGGACTATTGCAATGGCCTATTATATGGACTACCGGACTGCTTGTTGAATAAGCTGCAACGAGTACAGAATGCTTGTGCCAGATTGATTCTTAAAGAACAGAGATTTTGTCATATTACGCCCTTAATTTTTAAGTTACACTGGTTACCAATTAGATATAGAATTGAGTTTAAAATATTGTTAATTACTTTTAAGATTCTTAATTTTTTAGCCCCCTTCTTATCTATCCTCTCTTATTTCCCTTAGACCCCCTCCAAATATAATTTAAGAAATTCCAGTGATAAGCTTTTACTTAGCCATCCATCATTTAAATCGAAAGCTACACTGGGGACCGTTCTTTTACCTGTGCTGCTCGAAACTATGGAACGAACTACCGCTGGATATTAGGAGCGCAAGAACAGTAAATATTTTTAAAGCTAAACTGAAGACTCACCTTTTTCGTAGTGCATTTCTATAGCTTTTTTTTTTTTTTTTTTTTTTTTTTTTTTTTTTTTTTTTTTTTTTTTTATCTCGTTTCTTAAAATTATTGTAAGTCTATTTTAATGATAATTTTTAATCTTGTAATGCGCATTTGAACATTTTATGGAATTTGCGCACTATAAATTTTTAATATTATTATTATTCCCATTAGCAAAAAACAGGAGTTTGACGAATTTTAGTTGAATTTAAACACAAACTTAAAATTTTTAGATCTGCACCCTTTCTACCCTTAGAATGCTGAAATAACTGATTACATCGGGAAAAGACATTATCAGATAATAAAATAACTTGTATTTAAGAAATATTAATAACAAAATATCAAAATGTAGACCAAAATTCTTGGGCTATTAAGTGTTCTTTGGAGCTGTTTGAATGATACCAATTCTATTCCTTTCGAGGTAATGAAAACGAAAACGGAAACGAAATTTTAATATCCTGGCTGTGTTTCGCTTCAAATAAAGAAAATAAACATCAACAGAGTTCCTAATTCCCACGATTCTTAAAAATCTTTTAAATTGTGCTAATTTATTGCGGACCTATAAATTCTGATCACGTGATCTGCTGTCATGGCGACTCCCCAGTAAGGATCCGTAATGACTTATCCAGCTTGCGTCACAGCGTTCGTTGAAAAGAACCGAAGGAAGTTGGGCTATTCTCTATTAGCAATATTGTGTTGTATTTCTTCCTAGTTACGGCTCCGTAGCTTTGTACTCGGATTATGTAGAACACTGGATAAGGTGCGCATTTTTGCATTGGTTCGATGAGTGGTTTAGCCACAAAAGGTAAAGATCTTTTCATGTTTGCATGTTGTAAGTTGCGAAGGATTTAAACGGCGCGAGATTTTTATCCGTGAATTTGCAGCGATCGCAATGGATACGGCTCCATTAAGGATATTGCCGATATTTGCTAAAGCATTTTATGTTTTTTATTTCAATTCAGGGCAAAGGCTAACTGTGTGTGCGTAATTTTTTTATCGCCATTTGTGACTTCGCTTCACCGATCGATGCTATAACTACAGAGATCGTTAGCTCCTGGTAGTAAGTGACATCTTCGCAAATGGATAAATTTGAAAAATTGGGAAAGATCGGCGAAGGATCATATGGCGTTGTGTTTAAATGCAGAAATAAAGAAACAGGGGAAATTGTTGCCATCAAGAAGTTTGTGGAATCGGAAGACGATCCGCTGATAAAGAAGATTGCAATGAGAGAAGTACGCATGTTGAAGGTCAGTTTAGATTACTACCTGCTTTCGCGATGTGGTCGTGAACTCTCAAAAATTTCTCATCAAAGTTTGAAATTCATAGCATTTAATGCATAGTTCGGTCTGTAAGTAACCTGCAATAAATTTTAAAGTCCTTCAACGAGGGTGGAATGTTAATCTGACTGCAAATCCCAATTGATGCTAGTCGGGCCTATCTTCGTTGATTTCGCCAGGGTTAATAGGAGTCGGTTTCCTTGCGCAAGGATTTTTGTTCCTGCGGGCTGTTTGATATAGGAGAGGTTGTAACTGATAATTTGACCATTTTTGCAAATGATAAGCCTCAAAATTTGTAAGGTATTGGTAAAATATACATTTAACGACCAGAGAAATAACGACAATCTGATAATCCGTTTACTATAGTCCAGAACCAAACCACGAGATTAAGCACGTATCAATTGTGTATGGAAACAAGAGGTTATTCTTGCAAGGGAAATGTTCTGTGGACTATTTAAAAAAAAACAAGGAAACATTAGGGGATTAAAATTTTTGTCTAATGGAAATTAGTGATGGTTTGTTTTGTGAGATGATTATTAAAAGAGCAAAAAGTGGGGCAGTATATGTACTAGGAGAAGTCCATAAATATAGATTATACTGCAACAACACATCCGATGTTCAGGAGTGCAAATGTTTTAGGATATAAGAGTCATATTCTGTACATCATCAGTTCTGAATTTACCACCATAGTGGTAGGTGGCAGCTGGGCCTTCATCAGGGTACCTTCACCAAAATAATACTTTACATGATCATCAATTGGTTGTTGAATCTCAACTGAGAGACAAATGCACCCCAGTTGGAATTTTATTCTCAGACAGTTACAAAGTGTAGATAACTAAGACTGATCTCTACCAGATTGTGTTTACAATTTTTATCCATGGCACTGATAATTTTAAGAGGAAATTTAAGAAAACTCCTTTTTGTTTTTCTTTTTTTGTATTTAAGCATTTAGAGGAGTGATTTTTTTTGTGGGAATATGGAAAGGGAAATAACAAGAAATCCCAATTTAGATCACAGTGGCTCCTACTTTATAAAACCTAGACTACAAGTGGTCCCTCTTTTTCAGCAAAGTCCATTGTTTGAGTCAAGAATAGTCGCTGGAAAAGCACTGATATTAGCAATCAAACTTCTTAGGTTCTTGGATTACACAATTTTTTTTTTGTCTGATGAAGTTATACTGAAGCAGATGATACAACAGATGACAATGAATTTGAATATTATTACCCACATGTGTAACAGTTGTGTATACCATACACTTGTGTATTTTAGCAGCTAGCAATTTTAAAATGGTACTACAAATTGTGGCAAATATCAGTCCCTCATACACTATTTCTTTCATTGGAGGGTCATTTTTCACAAATGTGTCAACAAACTACTGTATGCTAATCACTCCCAAATCAAGCATATAAAATTTTAGCCACAGAGAAAAGTCAATTGAAAGGGTTTTGAATAAGCCCAAATAGTTAATGTTGTTGTTTGCAGGTGTATTTCCTTGGGGTAGCTCACTCAGTGGTATTTGTATATTGCTTCAGAAATGTTGGATTGTAACCCTACTCTCAGTTTTTCAATTTTCTGTAATTTGGCATAAAATGAAGTAGCCACCGCCAAAGACCAAAATGAAATTTAGATGGATGCAGCAATTAATTATAGATAATTTTATTTATCTGTCAACTTTGAATAAGAGGAATGGCTGTTTGGACAAACAGCTGTCACTTATTTTCAATTATTTGCATGATGATAGACTCTAACAAAAGGATCTAGAACTTTCCTTTCATTATCTTTTAATTATTGGGGAGTGAATTTTTTTAAGACCAGACATTAAGAAACTAATAGGAAAAGTTGCACTTGTCATCAAACACTAATATGGTTCACCCTCTTAGCTCTGAGCTACTTAGTACAAGCTAGCACAGTGAAATGAACAGTTCCTCATGAAAGTGTTGCTCAGTCACCTTCATTTTAATACCTTAAACTGCTGATTATAATCCTTGCCTCCCTCCCCCTCCCAAGCAATAAGCCCAAGCACCTGTAAGTTCCTGTCTAGCTTTTCTCATTTTGAGAGATAGGTCCTCTGCTGTGAATCAGTTGGAGCTTTTTTTAACTGAAGGGAAAAGTCAAAACTTTGTTTTGTTCCTTTTTTTTTTTTTGTGTTAATTTTGATTCTGTTCCAAATGTATTGAAATAAATTCAACTTTTCACAACATTGTGAGGCCTACTATAATTGAAAACCAGTGAATGCAAAACATATTTGATTGGCACCCGTATAGCTCATTTGGAAGCCCCTTTTCTGTTCTCATGATAACCCCCCTTGGATATAGGCCCCTCCATTTATAAGCCCTCCTAAAACCCTTTATGGAGTTCTATAGGCCCTGGTTTTATAAGCAGCAATTTACAATTGTCACAAACCTGAGTTTCACTCACAGACTTAAAACTTTGAACCACCTTTTACGACATAATAAACACCTACCATTATGAAGGTACTCTTCCAGAAATAAAGGTTAAGGCTAATTTAGGCTCATTTACATGACCTTCATTTGGTGCTACATGCATTCATGAAATTAAAACTTTTCAGCTGGAATGAGATTACAGTTTTCAATGGCTAGGTTTTCAGAATCAAACCCGAGCTGGCAGCTAGAGGTAGAACAGGGGTTTTCAGTGTCATAAGAGGTGAACTGTGTTAGTGGAGCATTCTCTAACATCTACCCAAAGTCCTAAATAATTCAGCCAAGTTATTTTTAGTTTTCTTCAGTAACTGAAGATTCTTTTAAGATTACTGTTTTCAAAGCTGGGTTTGTCTATTGGGCAGAGGGTCAAATAATATTATATTTTCATGTCACTTCCTAGTCTTTCAATTTCTTTCTGCCTTTGATAAACAGATCTAACTTTGGTTTTTTCTTTCTGCTCTACAGACACTTAAACACCACAATCTAGTAAACCTGCGGGATGTTTTCAGAAGAAAACACAAGATTCATATGGTGTTTGAATATTGTGATCACACAGTTCTAAATGAGTTAGAAGCTCATCCAAGAGGGTATGGAATTTATTTGTACTAATTGCACCAGCTCAATGTCCAGTCATGTATGTTGAAAACAGTGAATACCTAAATGCATGGATGATATTAAAAGTTTCTTGTACATGTCTTTTACACCTCAATGTGTTTCGTTGCAGCAGCAAATGTTTAATTTTGGTTTTCATTAATATTTATGACCCTACACAAGCCACCAATAGTTATGATATGTTATTATAATTTTTAGTTTCTGTATAGTAGAATTGACGAATGTCTCTAAGAATCAGAAGTTGTGGCCAAGGTTTAACCCTTTAACTCCCATGATCTAATAATTCATTCTCCCCTCTGGCTGCTTCACATTTCCGTGTATATTTGTTCGAGAATTTGGTTTTAGATCAAGATAACTTTTATCTGATAAGTTTGAGTATTCTCATTACCTGTATGCTAGATATTGTAAGGGTATTATAGGAAGAAGTTGCATGTTAATCACTTCTGGGAGTTAACGGGTTAAACATCTGAGTTTGTTCATAATTATGTACATTGTACTTACATGTAGCCATAAACGCAGTTTGATTTTACTCATTTACCCTTTACAGTCGCATTGATGTACTTGGATGTATTGGTGCAAGGGTAAAAGTTACTTTCTATCAAAAATTTTGTAATAGCTGCAACTAATCTGAGTTAAATTTTTTTAAAGTTGTTTTCCTTTATTTTTTCTTCTCTCTCAGTGTTGATGAAAAGCTTGTCAAAAGGATCACTTATCAGACACTTCAAGCTGTCAGCTTTTGTCATTCACACAATGTAAGTTAATTGATCATTTAACTTCCAAGATCTGATTGTTAATTCTCCCCTGTAGCTGCTACACATTTCCTTGTAAATTAGTTATGAGAACTTGGTGCTAGATTAAGATAGCAGCTTCTACCTGATAAGTTTGAACATTCTCATAACTTGTTTGCTGAGTAATGTATAGATATTGCAGGGAGAAGTTTTATTTTGATCACTTCTAGAAGTTAAAGGGTTAACAGTACATGGCAACCAGTATCAGCCACGTAGTATACAGACAAGAAGAACCAAATCATTATTCTCTTTACATTGTTTTCTTGAAAATGCTGGAAAGATTTTAGCAATAGATTAAAAGAGAATTATGTTTCTTTGCAGTGTATTCACAGAGATGTTAAACCAGAAAATATTCTCATAACAAAAGATGGGGTTATAAAGCTGTGTGACTTTGGATTTGCCAGAATGTTAAGTAAGTTATGAAAAAGTGTTATACACTAGCAATATTCAGGTTATAATGACGTTATTTTATTACCTTGCACATTGCGATGTGCAGTACAATAACTACATGTAGTGCTGGGAGATACATGCATAATTTCAATTCAGTGATTCAGGATCTTTGCTCGAGACTTCACCCGTCTTATTGATTACCATAACTAGCCGTGCTTTCTTTCTTTCTTTTTGAATAACACTCCTGTTATCGTATGGATTATGAGACTGCCTCTTCCTGCCTTGACCCAAATTCAAGTTATTTAGAAGAATGAAATGTTTTTCCCAATCAGCCTGTATAAGGTCTCTGTAGAGAAAACTTGTCAACTGCTTGAAGAGTGGGAAAACTTGGAAGAACAAGTTGAAATTGGTTTTAATTCTGCATTTGATTGGTTTACAAAGTGTGCAAGATTTTTAGACCTATTGTTGCCAGGAAAATTAATGCAAAACTAAGGTAATCTTTTTTGTTCTTATTTTGTAGCTAAAAATGATGAATATACAGACTATGTTGCTACACGTTGGTACCGTGCTCCAGAGCTTCTGGTTGGTGATGTTTATTACAGCTTTCCAGTGGATGTGTGGGCTATTGGATGTGTGTTTGCAGAGCTCATTACTGGTCAGCCACTATGGCCTGGGAGATCTGATCTAGATCAGTTGTACTTGATCAGAAAGACACTAGGTATGTTTGCTATCAAATAATGTTATTTATTATCAGTTCTTTACCTTTTGTTTGTAAAAATAGACATAGAAAAATTATGCTCTTCTGAATACAAGTAAGTAACACGAGTGCAAAGTTGTAAAACGAGTACAAATTTCAAATAGCACATGTTGGCAATTTTCATCCGTTGTGACTGTCTGTGATATGTTGTTGATGTAAATTACTAACAAGTAACAAAATGATTTCACGTGCAATTTGGTGTAATAAGCAGTTGTAAATTTTTAAAAGACTACAAATAGTTTTAGCTCTGCTCGTGCTAACTTGTGTTTGAAAAATTTACTCATGCTTATTAACACCAAATTGCACTTGAACTCATGTTGTTACCTATACAAATAATTCAGTATATTTGGTCTATCAATTTTCCCTTTGGTAGATACCGACATGTATTATGGGAGAGTACCTTTTTTTAAAATCCCATGTTTCATGTGTATCCCCGTCAGGTGATCTAACCGAGAATCAAAAGAAGATTTTCAAAGCAAATCAGTTTTATCGTGGATTAGCTATTCCAGAACCTCAAGAAACGGTAGGTGGAGTACTCAAACTTGGACGTAGTCACACAAGCCAAGGACTTTACTCTCTCTCTCTACCTCCATGAAAAAAAGAAATGCAGACAATTTTTAGGAAAATTAAGGCTTCCATGTTGTGATCAATTCCTTAATGACTAAGTTTACTGAGATTCAAGGAGGTCAACTCTTCAGTATGTGTTTGAAGAAACTGCTTGCTTCATTTGTTTGCCTTTTTGGAGCTACATGATAATTTAGTTTTACCAACTGAGTTGATAGTGCAAATTGGTCACCGTAAAGAGTTTCTAAACCTGACGTTTCGAGCCGCTGGCAAACACTCGAAACTTCAGCCTTAAGAGATCTTTACTGTGGCCAATTTACATTATCAACTCAGCTGGGAAAACCAAATTATCTAGTTATTTCCCCCCCTTCATCACCAACCGACGCAGCACCACAGTTGCATCAGAAACTTATTCCCTCTTTTTTTCCCAGAGTTATTTTTCGTGTTGTTTTAACTCGTCCCCTTTTGTTTGTTGTTGTCTTTTCCCTCTTCAGGATCCTTTAGAGTCTAAATTCAAACAACCTCAAGCTTTGAGTTTTATGAAGGTAGGGAATGAAAATAATGAAATGTTGTGACTGTGCTTTAGAACGCAATTCTATTGACTCGTCATGCGGCTGCCTTGTACGTGTATTATCAATCAATATCTATTTTAGTCACGGAAGTCGCATGGAATCGCGTAGTAGTAGTGATCGCAGTACGTCACACGATCTAACATGGAGGCGCGCACAAAATGCCGATTTTAACACAGCCGATATCTCTGTCGACTTTCTTTTACAATATAGACTCCTTTCTCATTCATTCCAAGATTATATTTTACAATTTAGCGACGGTTTGTGTCTATAGTAGAAGTTTTGTACTAGTTTCTTTTTATTTCAGTGTTGTTTTGCAATGGAACCGAGCCTCAGATATTCCTGCGACCAACTCCAGAAGCACGAATATTTCAACGATTACGAACCAATGAAGGCGCCTCCTCCGGTCAAAACGAGAAAAACGCGGGTAAGAAGCAAATCAATGCCTAAAAAAAAAGAGCAAAGACAAAGTCATCCCAGCGACCAATCAGAACAATGGTTTGCATCATCATTAACCAATGAGAACTCAAAGTAAAAACAAGCAAACTACTTGAAGCGCGGGAAAACGCGAATGACCAAGTCGCGATAGTTTTTAATTTTGTATCTGATTGTTTGAGAAGATGACGCGAGTTTAGCTGGACTAGTCACAGAGCAAAGTCGAGTAAAGCCAAACCAACGTCGGATTTCTTTAGACGTTCAGATGAATTTTTTTCAGATGAAAATTGCTCCAAAGCTTGGCGTACTCTGAGAGTAAAGTTCCCCTCCTCATTTGTAGGCGTCAATTTAAGGCCAAGTGGCCATCTTTTGAATGAAGCTCTCTCTCTCTTAAACAGAAGCTCTCAAGTATATCGAATTGGAAAGATAGTTGAAATGCTCCGCATGACCAAAAGAAAACCGCATCTTGTAACCTCGATTGTGTCCTATTATAGTGCTAGCGTTCACTGGTCACAGGAAGACTAGCTTGCAGTTCTAAACAGTTGCAGAATGATTTCGGTATAGCTCATGCGGGTGATACAAATTACTCCAAGAGGCATACCACATACATTGTAAGCAATCTTAGTGGGATTCTCATGCTCCATACTTTCATCATATTTCAGCCACGAAATAAACCTCAGCTGGATAATGACCCGCCATCACATCACTTACCCCAACTCGCTACTGACTCGCCCGCGCCAGACAGAACAGGTGAGTTATCAACATGTTTCTATTTCATACAACGCTAATGTTAATGTTGGCGTCCGATGGAACACTGAGATTGGCCAACCTGTACCAGGTCCCTTAGGGGACAAGCATTTTGTGCGCCTTCGATCTTTGTTGTTGTTGTGAGAGCGAGGTGCAGTGTCACGAAAAAACTTCAAATTTGTTTCTGTAATGATTTTTTTGTTTCCTTTCCCGTGAGCAGTTTTGTAAGAACCTGTACCTTAACCAAACCGAACAACCATTCCGTCTTGAACAATCTTCGTCACTATTATTTCATCGACTCGTAGATTTATACATAAACAATTGAATTACAGTCTATGCGTGATCCTCAAAATGGGCTTAGCCCTCACAAATTTTCACGCGATGTAACTCTCGAACACAATCAAATTGTGAATTAGTTTCCGTAGCACTCCTTTTTCCGCCCTTTTTCTTGACGTGTTTGGCCGTATTGAACCCGACAACTTATTCAAAATTCGGTTTTGCTTCCTCTTCAGACAAAGGCAAAGACAAAACGAAACTGAGCAAGTTGGACCACCTTCCTTCCATCTAGCCATCACATTTTTTAACAGTAATATCAATTATTATTAATGACAATAAATAGTAATGTATTCATAGTGTATGTGTAGCATACACTCAGGGTTTTTCGGGGCGTTTTTTAGCGGGGAAGAAGGGGGGATGTATCGATGCATATGTTCCCCTTTGTTGACAAAATAAAGGGGAGGGGGGAAAATAGGTAATTTACTGTAATAACATAAACTAGGATTTTCTCGTAAACCCTTAAAACGCAATTTCGGTTAAGTTTCCGCCGTTCTTGTTGATGTCACTGAACGCTCTCTAAAGTAGACGCTTCTTTTCAGTGTTGCGCGATATCCTAAGGAACCGCTGTACAGGAGACTAATTGCTTACTCGAAGGCAATTTCTGAACGCAGTATTTGCGCTAATATGTTACATCATACCTTTACTTGTTTCGCAGATATTAAGCTATGGAAATGACATGCACACTGCAAAATATGTACGCGCGGTCGTTAAGGGCAATTAATAACGAAATATTTGATGCTATCAAGTCTTTTTCTCTGTATTTATAGCTATGTTAAATTATTGGTAAGGGGTCTGTAACTAGGATAATGCCACCAATGTGGTGCAGTTTATCAAAATTTTTGGGTAAGGATCTGTACAATGTAAGGGGTTGAACCTTAGGTCCAATTTTCTGACTATGCATTTTCTTCCGAATTTTTGTGAAAAACGGGCTCAGTTCTGTTTTTTGTTTTTTTGTTTTGGTGGTTTATAGCCTTAATTGAATATTAACTCAATTCTGAGAACTTCCTGTTAGCTGAAACATTTCATATGGAGCCGACATGGAGAATTTGTTCACCTATCAAGAGTTTCTCTTGTTGGCGACCATTTGTTTTTAATCTCATGAAATAAATGTTGGATTCAGTAATGATACTGTAAAGAGAAAGTAGACGCCAATCAGTCCTATGGGTTAAAGGTTTTACAAGGATTTTTTCAAAGAGGAAGAGGGTCGCAGTTATGAATTCTATGAGCTTATCAAGTGATGTGACTCATATCAACCTCGTGTATTAACGGGCTCTTATCCACCTAGCCAGAAGGACTGGCCAATAGAATAACTAGCATTAGTATATACCACATAAGTGAAAAGTGCTTTTTGCGCACGCTGATGAGCTAGTTCGGAGGTAAATATCAAGTAGTATTCTCTTCCGAGCAGCCAATGAGACAAAACCGCGCGTCAAAAGATTAATAAACGACCATTCTACGGGATATTGGAAGAAATAAACCAATTTTTTTTTTTAATATCTGTGTGGTATATATTAAAAACAGTTATTATAAATGTTGACTAAGACACAATTCAACCGTAAGGGTTTTTCGAATTTGCGCGTTTTTAATGTCAAATTATGAAAGGAACAATGTAACGAGAACGGGGGAGTACGGGGTCAGTCTCATACTCAGATCGTTCGAGGCCAAGCGGTTGTACAATTCAGTTACATTGACACGGTAGGACTGGGTATGAGGGTTAGTACCGGAAAAACCCCGGATTGTTAAGCACGGGTGTTACTCAAGAGTTTCAAAAACGTCCTTTATTACACGAGTATTTCTTTATAAATATTCCGAGGGAATAAATATCTAGTTCAACAAAATATTAATTTTGGCATGTTATAACCAGGGCATTCACCATTGTCTGGGATAACACAGATATACAGAATACAGATATCTTTATGCTTTTCCAAGGGAAAAAAAAAGTACTAAACATTTGTTAATTTGTTCAACATGCAAGTCTTAATGAGACATTCCCGTAAGCCATTGCGCCCGAAGGAACGCGGGCTGCAAAACGAATTACATGAGCGCCATCATTTTGTCCTCCGCACTGCGCCCCCCACCCTCCCTTCCTCTCTCCCCTCTTTCCCTCCCCACCCCCACACTTCGTTGCCCACTCCCAACTTTTCTCCTTTCAATTAATTTAATCTGCTACATTGGTGTTCACCATGAAAAATGAGGATAAGTACCATGTGGTCTCGCCAAAATATGGCGGCAAAATCGCAGGGACTCTACAGTCCGAAAATTGCACCTTGTTCACAGGCCTCTATAAGAGTGCAATTCCGCTGAAAACAGACAGCGACATGTGCAAAAATTGCACAACCTGAAATTTGTATGATAGGTTACAGATTCGGTAAACCAAAACAAGAGATATAAAAATAAGGTTATCCATTAATGGTTCAATATTCAGGCATACGCCGACTGCAGGACTTTTCACGCCTCTAGCTCGAGGCCTGAGGCGATTCTTCAGCCTCTCCTCTGAAGGGTAGGTTAGGAGATGATTGGAGTTAGGAGAGGCTTGCTATTTCTTGGACTCTGTCTGTTCTTGTTCTCATCTTCGGTGACGCCAACTGAAGACCGACTTAGTAAGCTCAGATTTGACGGTGAGCGGGCTTCTCCCATTCCCTCTAAAATAGATAAATTTTTAAAAAAATGTGTCAGGTATACGTAAAAAAAAAACAAACAAACAAACAACAGCTACCAAAAAAAAAAAAAAAAGGAAAAACAGTCGGAAACAATAGGCTGCTTAAACACTCGTGCACGCCCTTCTAGCTTACCTCTTGCAGAGGACTGGCACTGTTCCTTCCATCTCCGCCTGTTATCAGCAAGAGGTGCCACCCAGGCCCTCTCCTTGCCTCCAAATCCTTCTATGCCAAGATCTGCCGCGGCCTGTGATGTCTTCGTTTCCAGTAACAAGTCCAGCATCTCGCTACACACGTCAAATGCTGGCATGACAACAAACTCAATAAAACCTGAAGAAACAGAATGAGGTGGAACTAACTTAATCTTGTAAAGTTTAAAATGCAAAGAGATCTGTCATTTCCAGTTAACCAAGTTTCATCAAGGTCCTTTCTCTAATTTCTAAGTTGTTTTGACTCCTTTGCAACCAAGATCTCATTGGTAGCTCTTCCTACTGTCTGCCATACAATTCCTATGATGCTAGTTCGGAGAATTTGGTATTGGATCAACTAATAAACCCCTAGGTGATATTTTCCTTTATTTCCATCACCTGTGTACTATATATTGTAAGGAGAAATTTGTCTTAATCGCTCATGTAAGTTAGCGGGTTTAGAGCTTCTCGCAAAAGATATATGACCAAATCGTGTTTAACCACAGTCCAAGCCTTACTACTTTTAACACTTATTTTTCGAATCTACTTAAGCTACAGTTTATCTCACAGTGTGAAGATCAAGTTGTCTCCTCGTGTTTAATGGCAAGGGACAAATGATTGATATTTTGCATGTGTTGCGTACCCAGTTGACTCTCAGGAATACAAGTGACGGAGCGATCGCACAGAGGAGAAATTGGCAATCCCATCTCAATTTCGCGATCTCCCTATGGTGTGGAAAAAGAACCCATCATTAATAGCGAGAATTATACCGTTTGTGTGCAATGGATGAATAAATGGGAGTTATTCTGCGTGTTTTGCTTGGGAAATACAAGCAAAAAACACAACATGTTAGGATTTATAACAGGTTGGAGTTTAAAAGCATTTCACTCACTTGACAGAAGAATTCTTCCATGATACGAGAAGTCCATTGTCGGTGTAGTTCCCAGTCCTTTGCCGGATTGCTAATGTCAGCCACATGAAGAATAAACTCTAGTGCCTGACTCTTTTCTACTTGACTGGAGAATGAAAAAGGAAATAAATTGTTAAGGTCTAGATTCTGATTTGACACATTTAAGTGGCAAAATATAAATTTATGGCAACCATGTTTACGCGTGAAAGAAGGCGTTAGATCAATCCTCACGTGGACCAATTCCTTTCACAGACTGAAGGATTCTAGAATTACCCCAAAATTTACAAGACGACGAGATGGCTTACCTTCCTAGGACTGTGAGAGTGGCTTTCATGGCTCTGAGTTGTTCGAAATGCGATGACATGTCGGTCGCTAATACCATATCCACGACTAGGGTACGTAAGTCACTGAAAAAGTCATTCATAACGTTAATTTGGAAGTCAGAAGTGGATAGGTATGGTATTCGTCAAGTTAAGTATGGAGTTTGAGACATATCAACCTTGTATCCTTCCAGCGAAGTATTATTGAGCGCTTTCCGAATGAGTGTCGCAATCAGAAGAAAAGAAAATACAGTGAGCCAATGAGAATCCAAACTAGGAACAAGCAAACCACGTAAAGCGCGGGAAAACGAGGCGACCGAGTCGTGATTGCTGTTAGTTTTTCATTTGATTGGTTAAGTGAGTGACACGAGCCGAGTTTCTGCACCAGTCACAGAGCAAAGTAAAGCAAGGTCAATGTAATCCAAAATACTTTCGACACTTCGTAGAAAATTGCTCTAATGTGAGATGGTGGGTTCACGGTTTGGTATTGATTGTGATACCCAAGTGGTTTTGAGCAACGAACAGTTACACTGCGTAATCACCATTGGTCAATAATACTACGGATCGAAAAAGATCAACAAAGCAGTAGTCGAGGTACGAACCTGTACTGTTCTGATGTCAAACCCGCAAGGATGTCTAGTTCTCGCTAAGAAAGGATGAAAACAAACCATTCATTAACCCTTTCCACCCTAACATCAGTATGCACATTCTCCATACTGTTCTCTATACATTTCTTGAGGTGCTGACAAGGAGAATTTATTTAACAATCAAGAGCTTCTGTAGTTGGTGATCATTTGCTTTATTCTCGTGACCACAACGTGTGATATAAGGGTAATGTTGTTAGGAGAAATCAGATGCTAATCAATCTCAGGAGACAAAGTGTTAAACATGTATGCTATGAATAGTTTTTCGTTGAAAGGGTACATCCACAATTGACGAAGGTGTCACTCATCGCGCATTCTTAATGACCGATGTCGTTTGAATACAGGTAAAGCCTAAAGGCAACAATCATTTTTTTCCCTTTTTTTTGAGGGGGGGAGGTTTTTTTGTGTGTGTGTGTGCGTATTTTCAGTCGTATCCAGAAGAGTTGTCGTTCATAGGCACACCGGCCAGAAAAGAGCACGAACAAGACGCAAAAGTAGATAGGCGGCGTATTCAAGGACCGATCATTATTGTCGACGACGGATTTTCCCCCCGCCACCTCACCCCCTCGTCCCCCCTGAGACACCATGTCCATTGATCATGATAATAAACTCACCGATTTTAAAGATTTCCCACCCCCACCCTCTTCCGGGGCACTAAGCAATGATTGGTTCCTTGATCGAAAGGAATAGAAGTGATTGATAAACTCACCGATTTCAAAAGCGTAAATGCACAGCATAAATGGTGATTTTCCAACACACAGCGATCATTGTACAGCAGTGCGAGGTCGGATCTTAAAAGCAATTAAGTGAGAAAGATAAAGATCAGGAAAATCACGTTATTTACCAAATGTAAACCAAAACACAATGGCTTATAGCCTTCAAGCACGTCTCAAATATTAGCGTTGCAAGACGCGCGTTTCTCCGCCCGCGGGAAAATTGGACGGAGAGGAGTCGGGGAGAGGTATGCTAGGGGTCTAGCGCAAAAAATAAGGGCCCGATAGATCCCTTGCAGACCTATCGAACGCGTCCCTCAAGGCCTCGTATTTTCCCGCGGCCGAAGTACTATTGCCTATTCACAGGCTAAATGCCTAACTGAAAAAGAACCGAGTATGAATGCAATAGCGGATCCACACGAGATACCTGGCGTTAACGTGAAAGTTGTTCGTAGTTCCGGTATGATCCACGTCGTGTATAATGGCAGAGAGTAATAATCCAAATATTTCTAAGTCACTCATACAGTGCTGCGAAAAATAATCAATGAAATTTTAAAAGTTCTGAATTCCTTTATCAATAAAGTAAGTAAAGTCTGACAAAAGGCCCATCCAGCTAGAGCTTATCCAGATTTCTAACGCATGAATCGACTAGGAGTATTACTACTTCCCCCGGATGGGATGCCAGTTTATCACAAGGTTACTCCCCCAACATTTTCTCAGACTTCCCTGACAATTCATCGGTACCAATTTAAACTCCCGGGGGAGAAAGACACTTTGAAAGTAACGTGTTTTGCCCAAAACCACAACATCTTGACCCGGCTAGGTCTAAACCGGGACCACACTCTCGACCCAGACTGCCAGCGCACCAACCATCAGGCTGCTTCATATCCCACAATTCCTTTATTAGCTCAGTGAAATAAAAGGGCATAAAAGAAAAAAAAAAGATAGTTCAATCAGTTGCTTTGCACGTCCTTTAACGAGAAGGAGCACGGCGTTACTTGAATTATCATCAGTCTATTGCGAGACAGGAGATTATTCGTATCGTCTCGGGTCTGAAGCGTGACAAGTAAAGTACACAGGAAGTGTGACGTGACTTACCATGAGTCCCACACGTGACAGGAAATAATGCACCGAATGCGCTACGTCGGCTGCGTGAAACTCGTTGTGATAACGATTCCCAGGTCTCTTATATGCATCTTCAATGGCTACCAGAAAACGATCCAGTGTTGAAGATGTTATCTTTAAGAAAGAAGAGGCTTTGTGAAAAGGGGATAGGTCGAATGCCAGAGGCTGAAAACTGTTTACAATAACCTACTGTCGACTGTTACGAAAGAAATAGCCCGTTACTTCCAAGAACAGCAAGAAGCAGTGAAAAGCGTTGCTACTCCTTCTGACAGGGATATTGCTTCATCCCATATAGCTTCCCCCAACCCTTTCCCCACCTGTATTTTGTTAGACGACATCCTTTTGATAAGGATTTCGGTGCGCTAACCAGTAGACAACCGAACTTTCTTCTCTCACAAAAGTAAATATGTCAACTTTTCCTAGAAAATCCTTTGCATTTACATATAATACTGTCAGTGATGCTGCAGTACAACAATGTGGGGCTCACTATTCAAAAGAAGCTGGCACCAAACAACCTGCTGGGTTTTTCCGGATAATTTAGTCATTAGTTCGACGTCGCTGTGAACTTTTTGCCTATTCAGAACACATAGAAAACTGTAGGATGGGCGGGGCGGGGCTGGGCGGAGTTGCTGCCATTTTGGGAGCTTATTAAGAAAACGAAAAAAAAAAAAGGCGCGAACAGGGAGATTTTACATTTACATGTATCGGGTCGGTAAAATCGTTAAGATATCACACCAAGCAGAAAAAGAACATGATCAAGAAGAACATGATAGGTTTTAAATTTTAAATTTAAAAAAGTTTTACAGGAGAAGTTACCTCACCTTAAATTTTGCTAGGAGATCATAGCGAGTGAATAATTCGTGGCCCAGGTAACGGAGAGGATTTCCAGAGGTAAGGTCGCTAAATGAGAACGGATCAAACGTCCACTTGTCTAAATTCTGAAAAGGAGAAAGAAAGAGAAAGAAAATATATAGGGATATAAAATGAGAATGGGGCGCGTTTCGATTGAGATATGTGCTAAGTAATCGAACCTTTGATCAGAAAAAAAAGTGATTATAATGAAGGCTTTCAAAAACGTGTAAATCCTGTTTAATTCAGGTCCGCCCGAGAAAAGACCACATCGAAACAGACTGATATCCCACTGCATACTTCTATTACCCTATGGGCCTAACCTGAGGTTGCGAGAAACGGAAGGGGAATAGAAGATGGTAGAGTTTATATTGATGAGAACAACACTAACTTTACATTTGAACCTTAATTTTCATCTTATAATTTTGCATACTAACCTTAAAATATTGTTGAACCTCCTCTGGAACTTGAAATTTCGATTTCACTGCCATATTTTGATAAATTCTATCAGGAATGAGACACGACAAAAGTTTTCCATTAGTTTTAGCCTCAGGTTTCCTACTCGCTGTGATGTCTCAATTTATCCCGCCAAAAAAAAAAGAAAAAAAAACTTTGCATTGAATAGAAACGTCGCGGCTGTATTTCGAAACGCTCAGAGAGGTTTAAGAGATCAACTGGAACAGTCAGTCAGTTTTCATAAAACTTCGTAGTCAATTTTACCGAGAAAAGAAGAAGAAAAAAAAACCTTGTGTTTGTATCCTGCGCTCCATATTGTGGATGTGAGGCTTTCTACCAAAAAGATTTGAAGTCAGCTTCTAATTTTTATGGCCAAACCGACTCGTTTCGAGGTAATCTTTGCGAGTGATAGCTCAGTGTTTTCTCGTGATAACTTGATTATCGATGCCATCTTTCATTTTGACAGCAGCGGGAGGTTGAAGAAAGAAGGAAATTTGTAGGGGATGGGCCAACAGAAATTAGTTCCCCTTCCCCCTTCCAACCACTTTAATACTAGATCAAACATGCCAGTCAAATAAACGCGCTCATAAGACATCTGCATTGCAGAATAGTTTCGACGCATCAAACCATCAGGCAGTCAGAAGAGTACTGCACACGAATGCAGCAGATTTGCATGATCGTCAAACTGAGAACGAGTCGTACCCGAACAAAAACACGTTTGACCGTCCGCAAAATTTAACCAGTGGCTTTAGAAGCAAAACGTACCTTTTCACGTAAAGACTTGCTTTTACTGCCTGTACTACGCTACGAAACGTATGCCTTCTGGCCAAGCTCTTTCTGCGTAGGCCAGGAGTGCTTCGCGCAAACGTCGTAGCGATCCACTCCCGCACCTCCTCATTGACGTCATCAGAATAGAGGCTACTCTCTAGTTCTTCGTCAAGCTCGCTCAAAGCACTCGTGGACCCCCTGAAAAGTAGTTACACAAGAGTTAATTCAGGAGGAGAGAGCTAAGCGGTAGTTCCCCCGTGACTCCGTCATCCCAATAATGATGTGCTTGCCAATGCATAACATTTCTAAACTCTTCTATCGCTGAAAGTAAAGAGCCACACTCCTCAGTTCTAAAATAATGGCAATTGACACATATTCTCCATAACAATAGAAAGGACTCTTTTCGCGCAAGGTTTAAAGTTGTGTTGTTCAAAACCTACAAAAGCCAGCAAAAACTCCCTTAAGCACGACAAACCCTCTCCCCTCTTGTGCGCTTCTCTTCATCAATAACGTAATGGAGAGTGACGATGGTTTCGAAAATACTCCTGGAAGTCTGGGGTCGAGAAGGCGGGGAGAAAGGCGGCTTATCTCTCTCCTGACCCTCTTGAAAATCTTATTTCGTAAGCAAGCATAAATATTGTCTTGTTCTTGTTGTCACAACGAAGGACAAAACATTTTGATTCATACCTGTAATCTCTTAATGGCGTCGCTGCTACCGATGCTTTGTCCAACATGGCGACAGCGATTCCTAATTCCTGTTTCATATCTGCAGCTGATAAACCCTTTCCGGTATCCAACTGATCCATAATTTCACGCAATCTAAATGATCCGCAAAAGAAAGAAATGACATTTTGGTCAGATTTTATACTTATTTTCTATATCATGACTTAAATTATTCATGTATTTTGATTGGTTGTTTCCTATGAACTATCGGAGGACAAACGCACACAATAACATTCTGTTTTTTAATCATATGAAACAAATAGATTCCATAGAGAAAGATGTTTTTTCGTCTTGTCACGAGCGTGAGACAAAGAAAAAATTCTGATTTCCTATGAGGAATAGAACCTCAGATCTTCGGATTCCACATGGGGACTAAGCATTTTTTCTTTGTTCCACGCTCGTGACAAGACGAAAAAACATCTTTCTCTATTTCTTTACCGAGCTCAAAACTTACCATGTCTCTTATTTCTATCTACTAATAGATTCCACGTTGCCGCGACTCTGTTCAGTGATATATCACAGAGGATGTCAATATGTGGCACGAACATCAGAGACACACTTGGCTGTGTCTCGTATGCTTTTTTTTTTTTTTTTTTTTTTTCCTTACCACATTTTCACTTCGTTTGTGATCTATTACTGAACAGACGCACGACAGAAGCACAAATGTATCTTTTTTTAACTCAAAGGGCCGGTTATTTAAACAAAGTTTAGCTTTTGTTTACAAAACCGCGTTCTCAGCCATCTTCAATTCAGCCGAACCGATTATCTGAACATTTATTTCTAGGAGCTGTGTCACGGGGGTCGAAGGCTAACAATGCAAAGACATTTATTTAATTAAGTCAACCCTCTTAAAAAGTATCCCTGAGGCCCAATGCATGCGTAAAGTCGCAGTTTGGGCTAGACCTAGTGTAAATAACCGGCCCAGAGTCTTGAAAACCACCATATTTTAGCAAGAAAGGCAGGTGGTTAAGTTGACTATCAACAACGACTCCTCTACAAGTAGTAATAATTTACGGAATAAAAAAAAATTAGTTTCAAAGTTTAAAGCACATACTTAACTGGCCAATGCCATTTTGGATACGTCAAAAGCAAATTCAAGCCTGCAAACTTGGCCCACAGCGAAGAAAGAATATTATGCGCCAAAAAATGTCATTACTTGGTTCAAATGTCATCACACATAAAGAGAAACTAAAGATCTTACGATTCAACTATTTTTAGCAACTTCGGCATTCGACCATTACTCGATCCTCATAGTGATATCGGACATAACGCACATCACTTACACATGAGAATTTACGAAAATTGCTAAAACACAACTATTTTCTGGCCGATAAATCTTGGCTTCTGTTGCTTTGACTTTTTTTGAATCCTCCTTTGAAGGTAAAACTGAGGTTTGCTGTAATTCAGGTTATTTAGTAGTTAAAACGTGTTTGATTGATTGGCTCAATATAAATGTAAATATATTTCAATCAACACAAACTATCTGGTTTGAATATCTATTTTATTTTCATATTCTCGTTTATGTGATTGCGCGTGAAAAATAAACGCGTTGCATTCTTCAAATCTATGATGACATGTCGTGGTTAGGAAAAGGCAAATGCGGCGTTTTTGTTATCGAAAAAAACGTTGGGTTTTCTCGAGAAAGTACTGCAGAATTCCGATACATCCTTTTGAAGTTACTTTGACCTAGATTACTATTAACTGCCTAAAAATGTGACATATCACTGACTAAAGGTGTATTCACTTAATGTAAACGCTTCTTAATAAGAAACAGGACCATAAGGAATTTCGTTAGCGTTTGAAGAGACGAGTTACTCATGGATTTCAGATGCTACTGCACGAGTCCCGAATCCTGCAAACGAAGCATTTCCAATCTCAACAGAAGAAATTGAGGACTGAACGACATGAAATGAACGACAGAGAAAACGATACGAGCTAGCAGTTTTTGAGGGTGCCGAACCGTAGCAGTCATTTTTTTTACGCACGATAATTGTTCCCTCGGAATGCAGCAGGTTAAGGATAAGAAAGAACACACACCGTGGATTTTCTTGCAACGGATTTAAATTAGCTCTAAGCTTTTAAGAAATGGATAGTTTTAAGTCATAATATTCATAGCTATTGTTGCCTAGAGGGCCCATTAGAAAGACAGAAGAGGAAATAAGGAATTCAATCTAAAAAGTAGAAATTCCCAGAAGCGCGAATGACATGTATAGAGAGTCACTACTGAGTTTTAACATACACCATCTTCAAGAAAACAAGATCGAACACCGCGTTCAGCAGAACACGGACAACCTCATTAAATTTCACTTAGCGTATTCGCTTCACAAGATTGAGTATAACACAACCTATGCAGCAAGGCAACCACTTACGGAGCACCTTCTTTTGTCAAAACACAACATAAGGGATCTAGTTACCACAATCAGCCTACCAAGGGCCTCTTGAAACAAGTCCGGTACCCCGCTGTCTAACCCGGCTCATAGGACGAGTCTTGTCTTCTGTTCAAAGGATAAATTTCATCTCGCCTCCCCAAGGTATCAGTTAAGCCTGGTTTCTGTGCCAATAAGTAGTGATGCTCGGTTTCCGAGGTAAACAAGCTGTGACCTTTCAAGTTTCATCCAATAACAACAGTAAGGTTCTAGCAAGCGAGATTGTCCAGCTTGGTAAACGAAATATCGGTCCCGATAGCAGAACCAACCGAGCGACTCAAATGGACACTTCAAATTTTTTACAAAGGAATGAAAGCGGTTGGCTGCGATCTCGGAAACCTAACCTGTTTAGTTGACAGGCACTTAGAAAAAGACCTGAAAAATTAGCATTCTTAGTCATCCAAATCGACGCGATACTGTCAAGTTTATCTACATTGAACGCTGAAATAAAAGTTACGCTACAAGGCTGACCAAGATGAATTGCCAATTCAAAATATTACCGTACCGAGCTGTAATCGAGACATTGTGTACGACTAGGTCATAAATGATCTTCCGACATTTCATCGTTAAGATTACTGTATATTTCTTTACCTGAAGAGGCTTTTCCTTCGGTTGAAATGTACGCAATTGAGCGCCTCGAAGATAGTTTCTGAATGTTGTTACGAAGATGTATTTACTTTGAAAGTAAACTTTTTTTATGACGATTATTCGTTTGACGTAACCTTTGGTGTCTATGTTCATTCTTTCTTTATTTATGCCAGATTGGCTTTCGCTTCTCAAGAAAAGAAGCTGTTGACAAAGGTTTGTTGACACAACAGCGATACATTGAATCAATACGTGACGTGCGTTGTGTGCTTTGGCGCGAAAGAGGGTCTGACCTACGCCACGGTGTAGCTTGCTTTGTTGTGTTCGTTGTTTGAAATCTGTTTCAATCTTCTCCATCTGTAGCTACCCTTGTTCCCTTTTAGTTTATTATAAGCAGCAATGTGATTTCCTATCTCAAGGAGGCAATATGGTGTGGAGATATTTGAGTTGAAGAGTGGCTCAAATTGCTCTCGTCATCTATAGACATCAATTATTTAACAGGTGTAACCTCAACACTATGCGTCGGCCTCCTTAAATATTTTATCGAAAAAAAAAAAAATAGAAAAAAAAAAGCCAAATCATTTCTGGCCATGTTAAAACTATTATTTTCAACATCTTAAGTGACCATAGCGATAACAATTTCTGAGGACCACACACAAAAAAGTCTTTTAGTATCAATCTATCAAAGATATACAATAGCCATTTTGAGCTACCTTGAACAAAAACAAACACACTTTATCTTCTCTTATACCACTAATGAACGCAGAAAAATACCACTTCTTCAATAAAAAACATTTGTTTCAGCCGTAAAAATGGGAATCCTTAGAGGATTCTACGCTGAATTTGCAAAAATATATATATATTAAAACATTTGAGGCAGTTCGTCGCGGCTATTCGAAAATCTAACTTAACAAATATGTTTTTTGTGAAGAGGACAGGGACAGGCTCATGCTTCCCTAATCAACATGAAACAAATCAAGTTATCTTTTTAATTTCGTAAAAACCAATACCGAAGAAATAACAAGAGCCAAGCAGCACAACAGTTCATATCGCGAGCAGCCCACGAGAATTTAGAGTAAAAACATCCAACTTCCTTCAAGGCGGGAAAATTTGAACCACCGAGTCACGTCTGATTGGTTGATAGGCCAGTGCGAATTTTTTTAGACCAATCACGGAGTGAGTTGGAGCCAGAGCGGTGCCCTCCCAGATTCTTTTTACATTCACGAGATAATTGGCTTGATTGCGAAATTTCCATAAAATATATTTTTTAATATTTTGACCTCGTGTGTTCACACTTTACACTCCAACATCAATTAGCTTATTCTCTTCGCTATACATTTCCTTAGGTGCTGACGAGGAGAATTTGTTTAACAATCTAGAGCATCTTTAGTTGGTGATCATTTCCTTTATTCTCATGACCTAAATGTGTAATGTATATTGTAAGGAGAAATTAGATGCTAGTCCCTCTTAGGGATCAACGAGTTAAACTTTGCGCCTATTACCTTGACACGGCGAGAACTGAAGCTTTTTCTGAAGAATAGCTGGTAGGATCGTGCGTCGAGTAACCATCACAGTTATTACACACTTCGTTGTCATTGCAGTTGGATTCGCATGCGCAGTCCACTGGTACTGACGTCACGTGAATATGCGGCTGTACTGTATCTGCTAAACACGAGAAGCCAGGAAAAAATAAAAGCTAATCAGTGTTTTAATAAGAAATTAAAAGGCACAACGTACTCATAAAACAGAGTAAAAGTGGTCTGCACACCATAAAAAAATTCAAATGCAATATATTTAAAGCCGAAGAAACAATTATTTACAAAGCATTTCCAGAACCCTCTCAGAATTAGCAGTGGGACTTGATAAGGATTACACGCATCATGTAAAGCTCCGTTTTCTTTTGTGTTATGTTTTATCTTATTTTATCTCATTTTAACTCATTTTTTGGCACCTTTGTTAATGGTCGTAACTTAAAGAGCTCTTAAGATCTGGTTTGCGTATCCTTGGCAAATCTCCATTTTAAGTGCACTTTCCTGGCGCCACAAATTGTAAGCAACATACATTAATGACGAAGAAATACGGGAAACAATCAAGGAAGGTCGCTGAACTTGACCTTAACTGAAAATATGCGCCTCGGAAAATATATTTCCCATTCTCCTTGAAAGTAGAAACTCCTTAAAATGAGTGGAGTTATGGAAAATATTAAGTGATCTAACAGAGAGGAAAAGATGGATACTTAACACACGCACTTTCAAGCGCGCCAGGTTGCCATAGATACATTGAATGCAACTGGCGCTATTGAAGAGCCCTAGCCTGGAGACATATATTTCGCTTGCTTGCCCGGTATCTACGCTGTACAAAAAGGCTTCTGCATTAAAATAAGCCTCTAATCGCTTGCAGCCGGTATTTAGTGGTTTGAAACCGGACTACAGGAATTACATAACGCTTCTTTTTTGACACATGTTTGTCATTACAACTTGGTCTGGTCTCGCCTACATTTCCCCACACTAGAGATGCAGAACTCTGTGTTTGATAACGATAAAATGAAGAATATGCATTGAAAAGATAATAGATAAAAACCAAACACGTTGATCGTAAATTCTCAAATAGCATGTAGTATATTTCGCAAGAGTGGAAAAAATGGATACGGTATCTCAAAGCTTAGATATTGTTTCATATCGTAAAGATATGTTCTAATATTTTACTTTTCGACATTATTTTTGTTTTCTCAACGAGCCAGATTTCTGTAATTAATAATCATATTCAGATGCAATTAAAAGCTCTTTTGCGAAGACGCCATTTCAGAGTTCTTCATGCATCGAGTGTTGTGATCGATGTTATCTCTCCCCACTAGATCAAAAAGATTTTAACCATTTATGTGATGAGAATTTGAAGAGCATCAGTCAATCGATGTTTTCTAGTCCCAAACTTATCTATAAAATATATTCCTTGGCCAGTTTAAAATATTCAACTTTAAGACAGATTTTGCGGCTTCACTGGGATGTTGATAATTCTATAAGATTTAAAACATATTTGTTTGAAATTTCAACGACCGCTAGAAATTTCGCGTACTGGCAAATGAAAAAAACTGTTGTATGAAGTGGGTATCAGTCAAGCGAGCCTACAAAAAAAAATAATTTATTAAGTTCACCAAATGTTCAGAGTCTAAAGTAATTAAGGCCACTTTATGCAAATTCAGATTAAAACAAATTGACTTATACAGCCGACAAAAAGCAAAACTACTATCGCGTAGTGAAACTTCGGTCCGTTATAAAAAACGCCTTGAAGATGGAGCGAAGTCTGTGATATCAGATCTTCATGAAATAATGACAACGTGAGGCAAGATTTTCACTTCCATATGATTAAAAAAAAAAACCTATTGAAAGACATTGTTCACCTTGGTTTGAAACGTTTCATATCAAAAAGATGTGGGTTAATTTTAGCCCCTGAGCTGATCAAATGATATCTTAAGGCAGAACCAGGCGGAGTATTGCAATTCGTCAGGAAAGAAATTGTAATATTCCAAAAATGGAAAAGAACGGCTCACGCTTTCTTCATGGTTGCATCGTTCTCTGGTATTTACATTTACCTGCGCAAATACTAAAAGTATATAACGTATGTAACAATTTGCTGAATGCTAATCTAAAAATCTTTAAAACACCGAAGAAAGTCGACAATTTCACTACTTTGCTAGGCGGGAGGCCAAAACATTAACTATAAAATCCAAATGAATCTTTGCAAAAACAGAATCGTTTAAAACAACGTCAGTTCGACTTCCCTTTCACCTGTGTGTCATTAAAATCAACAATTTCTATTTAATGTTTTTGGTGAATGTACGTCAGAGAAAATTTTCCAAAATACGAATTATGCACGGCCTGATTGTAGAAAATTTGTTTCAGGAAATAACAACAAACAGTGGTTAACCGACTCTTCCACTTACTTGCAATATTATTTGTCAGAACTAAACTCGATCTTCTAGCGGGTCATTTATCTGTTTATAAACTTACCGAATTTGACGCGTTTCTTCTGTCCAGCTGGTTTCACCAAGATACGAACTTTGCGGCTTCGAGAAATCGAGGATTTCATTGCGTTTCGACGTGCGCCGGAATCACTTGTAAACCGTCAAGGTTCAGAAGAAATCCTTGCAACGACAACAAATTGCGCGCGGTGGCCGATTTGTAAAGTCAAAACGCTACATTAATGTGATCGGGATGATTTTCCTAAGATGTGGGTTCAAGATTTCTGGCAATGGCGCCCTTTTGTCTACAAAAGCGCGATTGCGGAACATGCTTGCGGAGAACTTGCCTTCGCGCGTAGCGAATCGCATGCACCGGCCGAATCGCTGATCACTAAAGTTCTTGTAATTAGCGGATTGTTTGCCCGGCAAAGATCTAATTAGCATGGTCTTCTTTATGCATCAGTTTCCTTCTTCAAAAGATGTAAAATTTGAAAAAGATGTCGCGCACTTTTTTTGGGGTTAAAAATTCTTAATAAGAAAAAAATGTACAAATGTCCTCACGGAAGCGTAGTTAAGTGGCGAATGCGCGTTTTCTTTTCTTTTTTTTCCTAAGCTCTTTCGAAACCTTTTTGTTCAGCGTTTTGTTGGTAGATAATGCAAAAAGCTTAACCGAAGAAATAAGTAGATTGACAAGTGCAGGTGAATAATTGAAGATTGAAGAAATATACATGTGTGTGTCGCCCGTGATCTATGCGTACGGACGCCTCTTATGTTTAAGCTATTTCGATCGCGTCCCGGTTTTGCGAGTGATAAGATGAACATCAAACTTCTTTAGCAAGACATGAAAAATACAACACTAATGAATAAAAGAAATTTTCGTTGCATAAAATATTTTGAATGCAAATGTTAAGCGCATCTAAAGAGCGGCTGACTTTTAGGAGCTTGCGACAAATTTCAAATCGCCAGTCCATTGAACGCGAGTTAGAATCGTAAATCTTTTAGTGCTCCTTTCGAGAGAACAACAGCAATCTTTGAAAAAAATAATAACAATAATGATAACCGGGTTTAAAAATTGGGTGGGAAGTTGTAATGCGTGCATTCGTTTGAAAGACAATACATTTTTCATGTATTTATAAATAAACTGGCTTCGGCGCCTGCCAGTGGAGTGACAGCTTTGTAAAATGAACAAGAAATCACATTGAAAACATGGCCTTACCTGAGGAATCATCTGCTCGATTTTGGAGGCTGTACTTGCTGTTTTGGTCAGTTCTCTGAGCTTTTGTACAAGTGGATCCCATTTAGACCAGTGGATCAAAGCTCGGACTTCGTAACCAGCATCATTTTAAATTCACAGTGAGTGCGTGCCAAGATTTCAACTACACCATCTGCCTGCTCTCGCGCGCAGCAAAACACGGGAAAAGATTTGCTCGCTTTTCCCGCTTGCTTAGGGTTCGTGCGGCAATTTTTTTAATTCTAGAGCGATAACCACTTCCAATTAAGGCGTTTTGACGCGCGGTTCTAAGCAACGGTTTACGTTTAAAATAATTATTCGCGTTTTCACTCGCGAGTTGAGTTACCCACATAAGACCTAAACCTCGGCGTGATATTTCAGCTGACCTGGTATGACTCTTCTACAAAAGACCACAATTACGAGATGAATTGTTAATTAAGTTGCTATTACGCCATTTCAAAGAACGATATATTGCACTCCACCACAATAATATTACAATTTCTTGCACCTCTTCAACTGCGTTTCACATAAAATCCATCGAACTCAGAAGTTGCTTACGGTATTACGAAAAAAAGTCAGTTTGCGTTCAGTTGACGAAAATCTGGTCATTCGCTACACCGATGCGATAAAACTCGCAGCTACGCAATTAAATTCGTCAAAATTAACCCACGATGGAACATCGGCAAAACCCGTGGCAAATTGCAAACGCGTTCGTACCAAACAACAAAAAATTTGCAAATTAATGTATATTTTAGGCGGTAGTATGCAAACGGAGACGAAAAAAATCAAAACAAAACGAAAACAAAAAGGGAGTAACCCTTTAAAGCAAATATGTCAGCCGTAAAACCGCATTTGAATTTGAAACTTGATTTGCGGTAACATAGCTTACACTTAGTTTAGAAAACCAGCAAATATATAACATTTTCATTGAATGCAAATGTTAATCACTTCTTAGAAGTTGTTAAATGACAACGTCTGTCATACAATTTTTGTCCATTAGAATGAAATGATTGCGTTAAAGCACTGAAGAAATAACGTTTTGGAGAAAATTAGTCCAGTGGAGCAAATATTCAGCAAACGTAAAATTGGATGAGGAGCAAGATTTTATCATGATGTCGAATTCCATTTGCGAAAGATTACACTTTTACACTATGATTTAGCCTGGAGATTCTTTTTTTTTTCCGTTACATATATAAGCAAATTTGACGAAAGCGAAGATTTGCTACAGTCTATTTCTTAAATAATGCAACGGAGTAATTTAAATGATCACCACTTTTGGATTTTTAAAATACAATATGCACTTATCAAGTTTTTCGCAATGCGGTTTTTTTTTTATTTCCTACCCTGAATTTTGCTTGTCATCAATATTAATCAGAAAAACCCAAAGCAAATTCATTTTGGAAGCGCGCATAGGAATTTTGAGAAAATACTTACAGTTAACTCCTCAAAGAATTCTTGGCTGTGCACGTGTTTGCAACGTGCCTTACCAATGTAAAGTTTTCTTCTAGTGTTTAATTTAAGAATTATTCCCTCCGGTATCACAAAAGTAATTGCGTACAAATTGTGACGTAAATCCGCCTTTTGTTAAACTGTTTGACACTCGCTATCATTTCAGTAGCCAGTCGTGGGGGTAAAGCCAATCTGCGTGTAACTTACAATCTGACACTAATTCATGTTTTCACCTAGCGCATCGTTCTGTTGTGAATTTATTAACATTTCTTTTAACTATCGCCGTTGTTTATGTTTTTTGTATTTTTTGAGTTGAATGTACTCTTTGTTGAGCAGCAAACATACAACTCAAGGCGAATTTCAATATTTCATTAACTGCGTCAAATTCAGCCTTCATTGACAGAAACTACTTAATCTTTTCGATACTTTTTTCCATCATATTACGCAGAGTGACAAACCCACGCTACATGTCGTGCAAAGAAATCTCGTGGCTTTAGTTCTAAAAAATTAAAACGTACAGCTTTTAATCGGGGTGAGCGTAAGCAGTACCTCTTCTTTGTCTGCAATTTCTATGGCTAACCAAAGCAGTTAAACACCGATTAAATCAAGAAGGATTAACGGTACTAATTATCAAAAGAATCCAAAGAGCGAGCCATTTGCAAGGAATTCAAGCCCTGCCGACGGCTCGTCTTTCTTGCATGTATTTAAGTGTGCCTGTTAACCTGAATAAGGCCAAAATGGCCAAAGTGATCTCTGTTAATTGCTCAGTTGATAAAGCATTCGAACACAAAATCGGAAGATTTGAGGTTCGAATTCTCTCGGGGATATCAAAGTTTACAGTGCCCCTTGCTCGCGACAAATGAAAAACAACTTGCTTTCTGTAAATCTGTTATTTGAAATTTTGCGGTAGTTAAAAGGTGATAGTCGACTAGCAACTCATCGATTTGGCAGATCAATATCATTCTCGGTTTGTAATACTAAGCGTTGATTCCTTCAACAGACAAATGTGTTTCACAACACCTACATTAGTAAAGTATTATTTTGGCTAACAGGTTTACAAACTCAAAAAACAAATTATTCTAACTTTACTAAGCACTTAACATCTACAGCCTTTTTATCGCCTTAATCTGGTGTTCTAGCTTAGCATAGGCTAACTTTACCTCAACATCCAGATTTTCCAAATGATATTCCTATAAGAGATAGATGGAAACGCACAGACAGCACTTCAGCAGCTTGTTATCACGGTAACAGATAACTACCCAGCTTTCCTTGCGGTCCAATGACTTCGCTGGTAGCTCCCAGATCTACATGATTGTTACAATCCCTGTCAACATTTTGGCGGCTAAATCAGGGAGGGGAGGGTAACTGCTATTCTCTATAAGTGAACAAGGCGCTCCATGTACTTTTACGTCAAAGCTAACCAGGAATCAGTCATTAAAAAATACAATAGTAACGCCAATAAATATAAAAATAATTTTAATAGCAATAATAACAATAATGATATTAACAAGAAGAACAAGAAGAAGAACAAGAACTGATTTGATGACAAAATGACGAACGGACTGACGAGCAGAAGAACAAACGAACGGACGAACCAACCAACAAACTAACTGACAAACCGACGAGCACACGAACTGACGACCCGACGAACGAACTAAATAACCGACAAGTACACGAACCGTACGAGTTCACGAACGCACGAATTCACTAAAGAACAGACGGACGGAAGCACGCGCGAATACTTTAATATCTCCGAGTTATGTCTATCTAATTAAATTCCAAATACGGCGCCAAATTCGACCCAGTTACTATATGGATAATGATGAATTTATAGAGCGCATTTTCCACATGAATATGCTCGAATACGCTTTACAGTAATTTTCGGGGACTTAAGCCACACTGCATTGAGCAGTTAACAACTTTTCGAAAGGGAATTTGCAGGTCTCCCCAACTTACGAAATTTTTGAAACAACACCAGATCCCAACAACGGGAGCTACGTTCCATGCTCTGTGACAGAAGTGCGTGGGTTCTTTGACGTTCCCTGCTAAGTAGTGGAGAGAAGATGCAGGAGATGGGACCTTTTACGTCCTTATCCGAAAAGACTAAAATATCTTACCATTTGCAGATGTCATAGCAAAGGCAACACGTTCTCCTCAGTTATTTTAAAACTTTAAGTGTTGGTCCGGTCTTGGGCTTAAACCCACGACCTTCCGCACGGCAGTCCGGCGCTCTACAACACGAGGGACCTTACGATTCGATAACGGCGAAAACAACGGGAGACATTTTTTCTTCCGGTAGTGTATTGCGCATGAGTAGACTTCTGGTCGGTAGTTCGTAGCGACTCTGCCATTACGGGTACTAGATTCTACCGCTTTATCTCAAACGTGTCATTCTTTAAATTTTAAAGTGTAATCTTTTTCATTCAAATAAATTATCATGGTTGTGCTTTAGTTGCAAGGACTTTATTGGCTCACTTGAATTCCTGACTACGTCCAACATTTCTATATTCACAATTTCTTATAAACAAATTTGAAGGCGCTGACATTCAATAGTTTACTGTTTATGATAGTTTATAAAATTCAAGATTTATTTTTTGACTATATCGTTGTGAATGTTAAATAATGTTTTAGCAATGCGATGGTTTCAATTCTATTTTTAAGACGTTTCATCAACCATAATTGTACGTATGTCTTATTACTTTAAAGGCCTTGAAAGGCAGGTCACCATTCAAGAAACAAAAATGGCGTCCGCTCTCTCCTTCACAAAAATCTTAATCACAATTTTGGCGGGGACGCCAACGGCATAGCTCACCTCGACCCAGACTTCTTACGTTGCCGCTGCCGTTGTCGTTGCTGTAGCCGTTGTTCAAAGCAAGGTCTCTTTGGGCTAACCAGGCGCCAGGTGGTGAAAGTCACCGGAATATTAGGCAACCATAGTTCCAAGATTGGCTGATGCAAAAGCAGTATACTCCTCGAGTGATTCTGGGTGTTCCAAAATGTATTCACCACTGGATCTTTATCGATCTCTATCTCCTGACAGAAAAAGGACTATGTCTGTTCGCCATTTTGAGGTTGATTTGAGAAAATGCGTAAAAGTAAACGTTTCTTATATGCTAAGTACATTTTCCATGTATTATTCAACATCGGAAGACGTCCATATGCATACAGCTTAGGGTTGCCTTTCCAATGTCTACAGCATTACCAATTATATTATACACTTGGTAGGATCGCGAGGTCGCGCGCGCACGAAGAATTTGAATCATTCATTGTGTAAATGCAAAAAGCGCGCGAGACTACAGTAACATCATTGTTTCCTTCACAACCGTCTGAAAGGATGGTCAAGCGGTGTGCTGTATTTCCCCGAATCTATCACTGAGAATTGAAAACGTTCGACGCAGATTTATCACCTTCTACCGCTCCTGAACTTGAGCACAGCTGTTCATTTCGTTTTAAAACCACACTCCAGAATACCAAACATTCACGAGAAAAGAAAACAATTCATAATCGTAATTTGAAACTTAACTACCACATCAGTAGCAAAATAGTTGTACCTGACATCCAAAAACACTGGTGGGGCGTAAAAGAATAGAAATGGACAATTGTAAAGGCATTTTTTTAAATTCAACTCTTTACAATACTTCATGTTCGTAAGTTAGATAATCATCTTTACATTTTCTTGTAGTTTTAGATTAAACTCTTTAGTGTCTCGTTCAAGGAAACAGCTCAAGGAGTCAGTTAGAACTCCGGCAAAGTGATACGACTCGAACTAGAAGACTGAAGGTATTTCTCTAGCACCTTATTGTAACAGTTAACGACGTTATCTGTGTAAATCTAAAGAACGAGTAGATCCGGACTAGTGAGAAAATGGAAGCATACGACTTAAATACTAATTGATAAAGATTCAATTTTCGTTCACTCGTCTACCTTGTACCTTGTCACAGATTGTCATCGTATGAACTACTGCTAAAGCTTGGTCATCTTGAAAGTCTCTTCTTCGATTTCTGATTTAGATCTCCATATGATTCCAAATGTAGCAGTGATTATTCACGCATTTAACTTCACTACTCGCGATCGCAAGTTCGCCACAGCTTTCCTTTGTAACCGCGCGTGAAAACCGAGCAGCTCCAGTATTTTCCACTTCCCGCCCTGCAGTGGGCGCGTTCTATGGCTTTTGATTTCTGTCACGTCATAGACAGGAATTTTTTCTTACAGTCTCATTCATCGGAAACCAGAAATAGAGCGTTTACCTCATTAGAAGCGATAATTGAAGCTATGTTTCTTTCTGAGCTTTACCATCTCAATGGTGGAAAAGCTGTGTAGTTGCGACGCACGAAACAGCACATGGTTAGGTAGCAGGTAAAGGTGTGAATGACTACTCATTTCGGAAATTTAGCCCTACACATTAGACTGAAACAGACGCTCTAGAACAGACGTCAAAGCAGACGAAAACAACTCAGTAACTAAAATTTTTTGTTTATTTACACCATTATAGTATCCATAAAGTGACACAACTATGTCTATAAACACACTATTCAACATCTCTTCGACACATCACTCTTTTAAGTAAGGAGATGTAACCTCTGATTCTGTCTGTATCAAGTTCGTTGTTTCAACTAACAGTACCCGCAGTCGGAGTCTGAGTGCCAGCAACGGGTGGGAGTGGAAGGGCCGCAGGGAGTGATGGGCCACCCACATCTTGCTGCGTCAGGAATGTGCTGTCTCCCATTGCTTTCTGTGTCTGCTCGGAAGGTAGAGCTTTTGAATGGGAATCTGGAGGCGTTGGCTCAAGTGCTGGTGCCTTAGGTCTAGCGAAAGAAGAAGGAAACACTCAGAGATGAACTAAATTCTTGAACCCTGTTCAAGAATTTGACGCACGCAAAAAAACTGCTCACTAAGAAGACATGCAAAAATATACACTTGACGTAAGATGGTGTAAACAACACAAGCCGATGTCTGCGAGTACCGCAATATTTTCCGTAAGCGAGGGAAAATAAAAGGAAAGGGCAGAATGTTGACAAACGAAAAAAACCTTTTTCCACTTCAACAGTCGAACCTAAAGGATGAAAAGCGCGGCCATGTCGTTGCTTCGCTTTCCGTCCGTATTTTGCACTGCTCAACAATGTGATACCGTCGCATATCTTGCGTGTTCTGTTGCGCTAATATAGTAAAATGACGTATTAATGGAAAACAAAGTTGGGTATTGTTTGATTACTCTCGTACGTCATGTTACCCTCCCGTTGGGTAGTAGAGATAGTGATACATAACGGAAACGTTACATAGATACCAGCGATACCATAGTCTACGTGTAGCCGCACCCTCCCCCACAGCCCGTTTCACCTTAGGGGGGAGGGTAAGGCTACGCGTCGGCTAACGATACCATCGAATAATGGCAAACACCGTACCTTCTCTTTTCTTTGAAACCATTCATTTTCGCAAACAACATCCTTAAAATCCGCTCGCGTTGTTCCCAGGTTAGCTCAGACATGTCAACTTTTCCTTGGACCCCAGTCCACCGCTCGGCCTCCTTCAGGTCATCAAACACATTGTTTGTACTGCTGTCTAATGGGCGGAAGGTTCTGACGCGCGGGAAATCACTGTGGCCAGCGTGAGCTTCGAGCATGCGTTGTTGGTAGGCATTTTGGGCATCTTTTCGATATTGTATTCTAAAAAGAAAGAATGGCTGAAAATGAGAAAAGGATTTGAAACAAACTACGTTCAGTCTTTTCGAGGTACTATCACAGTATCTTTTAAGCGGAAACCCAGTCTCCACCAAAATAAGGCGATGTTTGTGCCCTAAATTTCAGACAACATCCTTCTAAACAACATTGCTTTCTTTCTTTGTCATTTTTTTTATTTTTCGTTTCTCTTTAACCATCTGTGTTGCGACCTTTTCTGCTTTTAAGGAATTAATAAAAAAAAAATTTTGACAGAACTAACTTCGTACTTTTGCCCTGGCGTGTGCAATTACGGACTTTGTTTCATGTTTTTTTTGTTGTTCACTTTAAGGCGCGCGCTCATTAGTTAATTCAAATGTTTGAAATTTTAATGATATAATTAACAATTGGTTCATACGTCAGCGTGCGTTCATCGAGATATGAAGCACGCAGGAAGTTTGGAGCACGAAAGATGCGTAAGAGTTGCTCGAGGCGTAGCTTCTTGAGTGATCTCCAAACTTCCCAAGGGCTTCATATCTCGATGAACGTACAGATGACGTATGAACCAATTGTTTTAGAACATTTTCAACCTGATGGAAATTTTTTCTCGAGGGATTTGTTTGCTGACGTCATGAGCGTGCACAATAGGAATAGGAAGCACGCTCGCGCAATTGAATTTGATTAGACAAATTTACTAGCTATGTTATAATATGTTTTGTCGCGCGTACGAAAACGAGTAGATTTGAAATTTTTTAAGCCGAACTGGACTTCTAATGGTCCTCCGACATTTAGAGAGATTTTCTAATCGATTTTACGGATTTTGAGGGCTGTCGGGAAAACCGTTAGAACAATCTGAGAAAGCTGAAATTAACATAATAAAGACTTTTCTGAAGCGTTTTTTCCAAAAAAAAATTTTTTGGCTTATCAACATAGATCATGGCCACTCACTACGATATTATACTGATTGCATTCAACACAGAATCTTCTGCAGATTTTGGCGCGTTTTGAACTTTTCCCCTATTATGTAAAGCTGATTTTACCCTTAAAACATTTACGCAACGATTCTTGCCTTCCTTATTTTCAAATGTTCAAGAGAGGAAAGCATAAAGAATTGACGGTTCTATTCAAATAATTTTCGAAATGCTGATGCAACTTTCTGAGTAACCACAAGGGTCACGACATTTCCATCAACATGTTGCCTCATCTCAGTACCTGTTTCTGATAATTTCATTTTTGACGTATTCCAGTGAGTCCAAGAAAAACTGTTCGACTTCCGTTCGCTACAAAAGAAAAAAAAACAGATCAAAATTAAGTTTAACGATGCCGCTGAACTCAAACCCGTTTTAGATATAAAATAATTAATACGTTGAGCAGTTGAACATGTCCGAACCATCTCACCTGATCTAATATAGTTTTCGCCAGTCTTTTGACACGATTCATCTCTTTTGTTTTAAGTTCTACTATTCTCTGTAGCCTCGAAATTTCAGCTCTGAAACGAAAGTGGACATGATATCAAAACATGAATATGAATAATTTACTGGTTTGAAGATTTGAAAACAAGGCAAAACAAAAACAAGGCAAAACAAACACAAGGCAAAACAAACACAAGGCAAAACAAAAACAAGGCAAAACAAAAACACGGCAAAACAAAAACAAGGCAAAACAAAAACAAGGCAAAACAAAAACAAGACAAAACAAAAACACGGCAAAACAAAAACAAGGCAAAACAAACACAAGGCAAAACAAACACAAGGCAAAACAAAAACAAGGCAAAACAAAAACAAGGCAAAACAAAAACAAGGCAAAACAAAAACAAGGCAAAACAAAAACAAGGCAAAACAAAAACAAGGCAAAACAAAAACAAGGCAAAACAAAAACAAGGCAAAACAAAAACAAGGCAAAACAAAAACAAGGCAAAACAAAAACAAGGCAAAACAAAAACAAGGTAAAACAAAAACAAGGCAAAACAAAAACAAGGCAAAACAAAAACAAGGCAAAACAAAAACAAAAACCAACGAAACAAAATACAGCTAAAAAAGACCGAATAAAAGAAATACCCTTAGCTTCAATCTTCACGTCTTTAAGGCAGTGCGGAAACTTAAAACAATTTCCCCTTAATCTACAGAACCGTATCAAATCTTACACTGACTTCTTACCTACTACTTCTGGTTTCATCCTCTGACTTCTGCACCAAGGACGCTCGTTCTGCCTCAAATTCACGCACCACGTGACTGAGAGATTTTTCCAATGTCTTCACCTTCTCTTGGAGCTAAGTTTGAGGATCGAAAGAGAAAGTCATTCTACAGAAAATGGTCGAACGTACATTAAATAGATTATGAAAGGGATAGGAGCATTCACACAGACCCATGATTATTTACGACCCATTAAAGGACACATTGTGATAAAATTAACCGTAAATTAAAAGAGCGGGATTGATATGTTTCGGAAGTCTTCTCTTGAAGCTAGAAAATCGAGCGACTACTCGGCACGAATGACAAACCAAAGACTGCCGGGGTGAGTTTCTCTTTACCCAAATCCCATCATGCTCTGAGCACACAGTTTTTCGAAGCGTTTTTGCCTGTCAAACAATTTTGCACGTTACCGATTTTTTTCCAAACAGCATTTGTAATGAAAAACAAACTTGGCCCAACGTGAGAACCATCGATACGATCAGTTCATCTTTACAGCACTCTTTCGATAAAATTTTGTACACTTTCCACCCCAAAAAGTTGGCAAGTACAAAGTTAAAAAGAATTCTGAATTTAAGATGTAAATATACACTGTCCGTAGTCAACGTGGAAAAACGACGCAAGAGAACTGGGAAACCTTCATACCTCCTCAATTTGCTTTTTCTGTTGCTTGCTTTCAACAATTTTCTCTTGCACGATCATACCATTAAGCTCCTGTGATGAACAAAATTTAATGAAAGGTAAGTATTACATAACATGTCTTCAGATTCTCAGTACTGATTAGAGCCAAACCCATAGAAACTGAGAGGATATTTCGTATATCAAACATACAAAGAAAACATTATGAGGACAAGATTACCACAAACACATACAAAGGACGAAAAAAAATTACCGTCAATATATAGAACTGCTTATTTATGACAATTATCCCCTAAAATATGATTCTACGTAATTTTATTTCTACCATTTTTTAAAAGTATGAGGATTCGCTTCGCGCGCTCCGCTATAATTCAACGTTAAAGACACTCAAATTTTCCGTAAAAAAAATTGCTTTTTCCTCCATTCACCCTTATGCTAAATCTTACACTATCTGTATTTCCGCGCTTGGAAAACACAGTGAGCTTTGCTGCGTAAGTTCAAACGCTCGACTTTCTCCGCGATTTCTTGTCGTGCAAAATATATTCGGCTCAGAATTCCGACTTTTAATTAAAGAAACGGAAATCTCACATTTTGCGTAGATAAAGCTGACTCAACATCACTATGCCTAATGGTTTATCAAACATACCTTCTCAGATAAAAGACTGCTAGTCTTTGTACTCAAGGCTTCTTTTTCCTTTAAAAAAATGCAATATAAACAAAATTATCTTGGACGTCAAGAACAGGAAAAACACAAACATGTGAAACATATGGCATACATGTATACGTTTATTATTAGGATTGTCATAATTTGACACCAAAAAAGGCCTTAATGACAATTTTTTTTACACAAATTAATATTATAGACCAACCTTCTTTAGTTCTTGTCCTTCCTTAATGTGGAAATCCAAGGCAGCATTTAAACGCACATTCTCTTTGTATACGGATCGTGTTGTTTCATCAAGATTACTAAGAATTCAAACATAAGAATGGCTTAAACCTAGTTGTAAGTATTATCAATAGTAGTACGATGGAACTACGACTTCTAGAACAGCTCACAAGATGTAATGTTTCCCGAAATCAACGCAAATTTTGAAAGACTTTCATTAAATTCTTAAGGTCCTTGAGGATCTTGACGGATCCTTGCACAGATCTTGCAAAAATTCTTAAAAAGACCCTTGTAAGATACTGATTAAATTCTAGGCGATCCTTACAAAGATCTTCTTAAGAACCTTGAAAGGATGCTTTTTAAGATTTCTGAACGACTCTTGTTTTTTCCTTGACGATCTCGAAGAATCCTTTTGCGAATCCTAACTAATCCTTAAGGGCCTTTTAAGAATCCTTTAAAGATACTTGTTTTTAAAGATTTTGGCGGGTCTTCGACAATCCTAAAAGATCCCCTACGAACCTGTGAGGTTTTACACCAGGGTTTCCATGGTGTGGATTTTCGTTATCATAAAGTGATATTTTTTTCTCGATTTTTTTAGTAAAGTATGTTTCCTTGTTGAAGACTTTCTATTTCCCCTCATACTAAATTGTTAGTTCCTCTCTCCTGTGTCACTAATTTCTGTCTCCATCTTCATTAATCTAAGTCACATATACACTATAGGTACATGTAGTGTTTATCACTGGGATTGTTATGAACCAAACTCCACAATCTTCAGTCTTATAATTTTTTATTTCAAATAACATCATGGCTCTTATTTAAAATTTTAATCAAGTGAGGACCTTGGACCATGTATTCCTGGACTTTGCAAAAAAATTAAATTCCTGTTTATTGTTATTATTATTATTATCATTATTATTATTATTATTATTATCATTATTATTATTATTATTATTATTATTATTATTATTATTATTATTATTATTATTATCATTATCATTATCATTATTATTATTATTTTACCTTTTAAAGATCATACAATTTCTAACAGTAACTTTATCATGACTTTATCCAACCAAAGGAGGTCAAATACACCTCCTCTACCTACAATTAGTCCATGTGTCCTTGGAAATAAATGTTTTTACCTGATGGCCTCTGAATGAGCTCTCTCTGCAAGTTCTGCAATCTTTTTACTTGCTTCTTGCTGTAATCGAACTTTTTCTTCAAAAAACTTGTGTTCCATTTGTTGCAAAGTGTCCTTGTGGTGTCTCTCAGTAGCAAACATGCTCTCCTTTATCTAATTACGAGAGAAATAAATTTTTTTTTGATTGAGAACTTCTGCTCCAAAAACCTCATTAATTTTTTCACCATAAAATGAATATTTGGGGTTATCCTTTAACCCCCATGAGTGACCAAGACAGAATTTCTCCTTACAATATCAATACAATATCAAACAGACAGGTGATGAGAATAAAAAGAAAAATATAAGTTTGAGGATTTTCTAGTTGATCCAGTATCAAATTCTCAGAAGTAGCATCTTAAGAATTCTATGGCAGACAGTGAGAAGAATTACTAAAGAGATCTTGGACAGTACAGGCTTATGACACTTGTCCCATTTCAAGATTCCAAAGAGATATTGTGCAGACAATTCAACTACAGATTGTGCCCAGAATTCAAATTTAACCTGACAAAGAGCCTTTTCACAAAAGCAGACAAAACAAGAATTTTCCCGACAAAATAAAAAACAAATTTTGTCCAGGAAAATTTTCGTTTCAGCTGTTGCATCTGTGTTAGAAAATTTCAAATTTGTCAAATCCTGCCAGCACCTGATCTGTTCATAAGACCAACCAGCATAGTTTGGCAAAGGATTCCACCTCCAATTTCCAGGATTTATCCTGAGTTGTTCTAAAGTTTTAGAATCCCAGAGTTTTGCAGCAAAGACAATTTTTGCCTTAGTTTCTAGTACACTGATGTCATTTCAATACGCACTGGTTTTAGCTTTTACAACAAATGATTGACAAGTTTATTATGGTTTTGTTTATTTAGTCCATTTTGTCCAGTTTTAATACCTAGGACAAGTTTTGTCAACGTGGATTTGAAGATTTGTCCACTTTAGCCAAAATTTGTTAAGTAATGACAAAACAAGAATTTTCCCGCACAAGCAGACAAAACAAGACTTTTCCTGACTAAATCAAAGACAAATTTTGTCAAGAAAAATTTTTGTTTCAGCTGTTGCATGTCAAATTCAGCCAGCACTTGAGTGTTCATAAGACTAACCAGCATAGTTTGGCAAAGGATTCCACCTCCAATTTCCAGGATTAATCCTAAAAGTTGTTTTAAAATTTTAGAATCCCAGAGTTTTGCAACAAAAGACAATTTTTGCCATAGTTTCTAGTACACTAATGTTTTTTCAATTAAGCATTGTTATAGCTTTTACAACAAATGATTGACAAGTTTATATGGTTTTGTTTATTTACTCCATTTTGTCCAGTTTTAATACCAAGAACAAGTTTTGTCAGCTGTGGATTTGAAGATGTCCACTTCAGCCAAAATTTGTTAAGTCATGACAAACCATCTGCACTTGTTAAATGTTGGTGATGAAAAAAGATTTGTCTAAATAAACAACTTTTTTGCTGGTGCAGAAAGGCCAAGAGTCACACTTATATTTCCACTTTTTGGCAATCAGTTGATCAATTAGGAACTACAGGGACACACATGCCTTAATCAAGTAATGTTTTTTTGCCCAAATTGAGGTGCCAACTGTTTCAAGACAGCATATGGGGGATTTGCATGTGGAGCAAGGTAACTGACCTACTTGACATGTAAAAGAGGATGTTATACATAATTGGAAAAGACATTTTAAATTGTTAAGTCTCGTTCAATAATTAAAAATTAGCCAGTGAGAAGCTATTAAACTGTTGTACAATGTACATCACCCTTTCTAGTAGTTGCAATAAAAACCAAACACAGGATCTTTAAAGGATGAGATCTGTTGATGGATTTCTGTCCTTAAGATACAACAGTACCAAGAGTAAATTACATTTTCACATCTTTAAAGACAGAGGAAAAAAGCATGTACCTCATCTAGTTCCCGCTGCATCTGGGCTCTCTTCCGTCTGAATTCCTTCACAAGTTTTAGCTCAGATTGCATCAGTTTCACCTAACAGGATGTTCAAAACTTATTAAAACTCATGTATATACATGTAGTTTAAATGTATGTTGTAGTTTTTAATGACTCGAGGCTAAATTGGTTTGAAAGTACTCTGATTTTCCCCTGTTTCAGCACTATGTGACAAACAAAGGGGAAAACCTTAACTTTATTTTGGAAAACAATACTTAGTACATGTAAACAACTGAAAAATATATATATTTTTAAATGAAAAGTAAAAAGTTAAAAAAAAATTCACCTCATTGGTCTTCTCTGCCAGAGATTCCTGCAGTTGGTGAATCTGCTGTGAATATTCGTCAACCTACAGTGTAAGAGTGTCATAAACAAAATTAATTTTTTTCTCAGAAGCAATATATTTGTAGTTAATAGTAACAGTTGGGTGGTAACCAATGTGTCACTTTACAAGTTCTAACAGCAAATCTACAATAATACAAATGAAGTCTTTATACATGTACTGTACACTGTATGTGCCTCATGGAGCAGAAAAGGATGTAATGGTAACATTGTACATTGCATACCAATATCACTGTACTGAAATGATGCTTTTGTTTCATTCTTGTAGTCATTATATTGCTTTGGTCCAGAAAGAAAATTAGTTTAAGTGGTTTGAGACTGTTGTGTCTCAGTCAGCTCCATACATAGCACTTTTTGGATCACACTGACAAGTTTCTAGATGACAGTATTTTTTTTTTTTTTTTCTCTTCAAGCCAAAATACATTGTATATTACTCACAAGAGCTTGCCGTTCTTTTCTTGCCTCCCTCTTTACTTCCTTTAGAGCCTGCTGAAGCTTGGAAACCTGAAATTATAGCATTGAGACTCTGCTTGTAAATCATAGCCATTATGTTACTAAATTTAGTGAACAATTAGTGATAAGAAGAATGTGTTTAATTGCGCATGAAATAAATTAAAACTACATCAATCTTTAGCCTTTTCCTTAACAGAACATCAACTTAAAATTATGGCAGGAATTTTGATTCTGACAGCTGCATTTGATGTCCAATTTATTGAATGTCAGAGCAATACATTTTGTCCTGGAGGAAAAAAAATTAAAGCAATTTGCTAAAGATGGCCTGTTATGAGACTACGTCATCTTTGCCATAAAACTTAATAACCAGTTGGTAGAACATGGTCACAGTGTTTTTGTAACAAAATTGTTTTTTTTATTATTGTGTTTTTGTTTTTTGGTTGTTTGTAAATGTTTTTATCACACTGTCTGGACAGAAGCTATCAATTTAATACCTGATCATCTTTCTTGCTGTCTTCTTGTTTTAGATAAGATATAACATCCAGTGTGTCCTTCTCAGTGCTTGCCATTTGCATTTGTAAAATATCATTTTCATACACCAAGCGCTTGGCATTTTCTCTGTTTTAAAAAATAATTTTTAATTCAAATGCGTACATTTTTAAAATAAAAGATATCTACCTAAAGAACATGCTAATTGTTAATTAAGTCAAGGCTGTGCTCTAAGAAAAATTGAAGGGCTGAGGAGGAGATAGGGGATTTGAAGATGCAGCAATTACAGCAACCCTATAAATTCACAATATAACTGTCTCTCAATCCAAAAAGGTTATCAGGCAAACTCAGAGCCATTTAACTCTTGCAAATATCAGGGGTGGACAATGTACAGAAATAAATGACAGGGATGGGCAAAGATGCCTTTGAGATGCATATAGTAGCCTGGGGTTGAGGGTTCTCTTCATTGACAATCACTGGCCCTGAAGTAAAAACTTGATATCAAAGGTCCTTAAAAAGCTTTCTGTTGTTTCCTGAAAAATTTTGAATGAAAAAATTTTCTACATCCAAAATACCCTTTGAGGAGCAGGGGATTTTGGCAAACCCTTATAAATTCACATACATTCTGACAAAGGGCTAATGCTCAAAAAGCCAAATTTAGAATTTCTTTATAGACTGGCCAATAAGAATTATCAACTCAGTTGTTAAAACCAAATTATTGTGTAAAATTACCCACATCAATACAGCATATGTCCAAAGTACACCACAAACTTTGCAAAAAAACTATTCATATATCATACAAACACTATCAAAAGGTAATGGAAACATCACTGGTAAGTTTTACCTGTATTCTTGTCGAGATTTTTCCACAGCTTCCAATTTAGTTTCCCACAGTTTGGCATTAGCCATAGCATCTTTGAGAACTGATTCCTTCTTGGACTTCTTTCCTTCTTTTTTACCTTTCTTCCTGTCAATTAACCAAACATACCCAAGTTCATAATTCCTTACATGTAATCCACCATAATATAGTTTCTCACTTACATGTAATTCTAACTTGATCTCATAGCGAAAATTTAATTTATACCGTGCTTGTATCCATTGACATACTTTGATATAACTTAAGTACTCAGTTCATGTAGAAGACTCTTTATGGTTCATTCAATCAAAACAAATTTTTATCATGTCCAATAGTGTCAAACATTAGGCTGACGTTTCGAGCGTTGGCCCTTCGTCAGATTGGCTAACGAATCGGTTTGACGAATCGCTCTGACGAAGGGCTAACGCTCGAAACGTCAGCCTTTGAATTCTTTACAGTGGCCAATTTACGTTTTCAACTCAGTTGATAGCACTAAATTACCCTGCTATACTCTCCCCGACGCAGCAACACAGTTTCTTTAGAAGTTTACCCCTTTATCATACTGTAATTCCTCTTTACATGTTTTGATCTCAGATCGATTGAAAGTGTACTAGCGTTAAGTTTCATAAAAAAAAACTCAAAGAAACTTATGTGCCTCTCGTGCCATATTAATGACAAACGCAAGTGTACTAAGTACAAGAAGTAAGGCACTGTTTTCCCAGTTCCAATCGTCTCAGGGCTAGAGCTGACAATCGAATAAGCAAAAGCGTAAATCTGTTGTGATTTATGGCAACAAAACGTACCCTCCTTTCTTTCCTTTTCCTCCTTTCGCTTTCTTGGCTTTTTTCGGCATTTTGTTCCTCGAATATAGGACGACTTTTCCACACAAACTATCTTCGATCTCACTGAGTTACTTTCTCAAAATGGCTGACTCTCTTTAGTGTACTCGTTTCTAGGCAACCTTTGTTTACGCTCTGACGCATGACCAAACCTTCTTCCTCAGGGTAGGGTGGGTATACTTTTTACAAACCTCGTCACCTAAACTACCCCTCCCATAGTAATCAAAATTTATTTTTGTCTCGTTGTGAATCTTGGAAAGAGAGAGTCCTGGGAACTAGTGGCGGTCAACTCTAAAAACAGTAACATTACGTATTTTAATATGGCGAATTGAAAGCATTTCAAAATGGGTTAGTATATTTAGCGATGATCCGTGGTCATACTTTAGAGTTTGTACGATTTGGAAACAGCTGAATACTCTACTTTTTTTCCTTTTTCCAATCATGCTTGGTTCAGGGTTTAGCAAGCAGAAACTTAAGGTGAATTTAAAGCTGGCCATTAACCGACTCAAACTTCTGGAAAAGAAAAAGAGTGAGTTTGTATCCTTGGCGTTTTCCTTGACATTTCGCAAGTTCATACTCTCTTTGCAATTATTAAGTTTTTTCCAGTGTTTTTGGAGATGCTTTTATCCCATCGCAATCTAATTTAAAATGACTCTATGCAATGGAAGAGAATCTAACTGAACAATATTCTAGACCTCGTACATACATAATAGAACGCATTGAGGTCCAGAGTAATTTTTCTGTGTTCTCTTACAGCGGAATTGGCACTGAAAGCAAGGAAAGAAATCGCTGATTATATAAACAATGGAAAAGAGGAAAGAGCGAGAATTAGAGTGAGTAAACTTAACACATTGCCACACAAATGAATTCAATTTCTCTGAGAATGTTTAATTTATTTAATTTTCCAATGACATAAGATTTTGGATCAAGAGTTCCATCCACATTCTTGGTTTTGTTAGAGCGTTCATAAGTGAATATATAATCTTCACTTGGTAAAATTTCCGTATAGCCCCATCCGACATTATGCATTCAGTTCTTGGATAGAGAAAACAATAGCAAAAAAAATACATTGCCATTGGGAAAACAGATTTGTTCTACAATAGTATGGGACTATGCTGAAACCTAACCTCTGTACTTTTGCTAATGTCATCAAATCGGCTAATGACTGTCATTTGATGTATCAAATGTACTGTGCAGTGGAGAAGAATTTATATCTTCTTAATTTCACTTAACAGTAACCAGTTAGCTATTGAACAGTAGAAATTTCTTTAGATTTATTGTGCTAGTCTTATTCTCATGGCAAATCAAAATCAATGGGCCTTTCTCTTTGAAGACCATCATTGTCAATTGGGATATACACTGTCTAGAGATATTCTTTTTGAAATGTTGACAAAATAACCACCATTAGATCCTGATTGATCCTGAAAAACATATTTATTGGCAGACATCCTATACCGCAGTTCAGATTGACCAAAGTAATATCCTTTAGGCATTACTAGAATACTTAAACAGAAGTGGACATTATTTAAAGTTTTAATTTAAAATCTTTTAAATCTGAATTTGCTAATAACATGGTACTGAACCACTGTTACCCATCCTGTAACCCTTTCATACCCAAGTTCTTATTAGTAATTCTCCTTACTGTCTGACGTACAATTCCTCCAATGCTAGGTGTAAGAATTTGGTATTGGATCAACTAATAATCCCTCAATTGATATTTGTCTTTTTTCTTCTCACTTGTCTGCTTAATATTCTATTGATTTTGTTAAGAGAAATTCTGTCTTGGTCATTCATGGGAGTTATAGGGTTAAGATCCTAAAGTAATTCTCTTGACCTTGGATGTAATTATTAAAAATACTGCAAAGATCTCAAGAAACATGTAGGGTAAAATTATAAAAAAATGTTCCAAGATCAACAATGTTTTGTACATGTTTGTTGAACCACTAACTAGACATGCAAATGCATACACAATAAGTGTTCATATAACAATGGCTTCCCTCGTGAGTAAAGGAGCAAACCTCTGACAAACCTCAGACTCAGAAATTATTTGTCAAGACAAACTTCATGTGGACTTCATTTGAACTTCGTAACCTTGAACCTTTCTTTACTGAACTAAAAAACTTACCATCTCTCTTAATTTATTTTACAAACGTGATGCTATTGACATTGCTGATCCTAGAAGTGTGCAGGACCAGTGTTATATGAACTTTGTAATAGACCTCACTCACCGTAGAGTCTCTGTGGCTCGGTGGTAGAGCATCGGAGTGCGTTATCCAAAGGTCTGAGGTTCATTTCTTCGTGGGGACTCAGAATGTTTACTTTGTCCTACGCTCATGACAAGATGAAAAACATCTTTTTTATTTCTTTACCGAGCTCAAAAACTGATCATCTCTCTTATTCTATTTTACAAACTGGATGTGTCTGTAAAAAATTCATTTGATGGTATTCATGGCTGTATGTTTCCAAGGTGGAGCATATTATCCGAGAAGACTATTTAGTTGAAGCAATGGAGATGTTAGAATTGTTCTGTGATCTTCTGTTGGCCAGATTTGGTTTAATTGAGACCCAACAGTGAGTACAAAATGCTTGTTATTACACGCACTAAAAGAGCTAGTAATGAAGAGTTTAGGTTACAAATTAAAGCTTATTTTGATACGATAACATACTGTGAACAGTTGCAAGTTCAAAACCCTGAATAACTAACAACCCTGAATGTGCATAACACTATTAGATCATTTATGGGGTGTTCATGGTAATAAGTTCATGTGCAGGTGTGTTTATTCACAGCCTCTTTATAACCCAGTAATTTATGCCTGCATTAAGTTCCAAAAGTATTTTGTCACAGATATGATTGAGTATTTGTCACCAAGGATTTCAGTCGAAGCTGAATACCCACACACTATTGTGGTCACTTGTGAGACCTCCTTACCACTCCCTCTGTTTAGGTACACACCAATTAAGGCTTGAATGCTTATGTACCATTTCTTTAGTTATCATTACCCAAAATGAATTATGAAGTTTAATTTAATACTTTTTCTTTGATTGATAATGTTAGATTCTGTGATGAAGGAATGGTCGAGGCAGTCACAACCTTAATCTGGGCAGCACCACGGCTTCAGTCAGATGTTCAGGAGTTACGAGTGGTAAGCCCCGTGATGTCACATGAATGATCTAACATTAGGGATCACAAATTATTTTCTTGTATGGTACTATATAACACTGATGCAAACCTGTAAATCTAAAATCTTAAGATATTTGAATTTGGATAACATGTCTGCCCTTTCTCTCCTAATTGCCCACTTTTGTCCAGAAATGCATGCAGTCACGAAAATAATAGATTTGAGGAAATTTTGTCAAAGTGAATGAATTTCCATGAGTTTGAAGATTTTGGTGAATTTTCACCATTTTCACCATTTTTATTTATTGCAGTGACTGTTTTGCCTCAATTTCTCGAAGACTCACATTAAAATTCAATATCACTGAGATGGATGCACAACATTTAAAAAGAAAATAAAATAAAATTACTGTATTATTAATAATTATTACTAACAATAATGATGATGACTGAAGAAAGAGTTACAGTGGTAGTGAAGGACAACATTTTGTATTCTTGGATAAAATTAATTTATAAATTAATTGTTTGCATCATTTGCCAATTATCATTCAATTGATTTAATTTATTAATTTTTGTCATTTCATGCAGATCTCTGACCAGCTAGGACTGAAATATGGCAAAAAGTTTGGACATGAAGCCGCGATCAATGCCAATAGTACAGTGAATCAAAGAGTGAGTGTTAACTTGACTGTAATTTGACATTATTCCTGATAGCTTTTACACTCTAAGTTTATTTATACTGGATTTTAACTAATTTCCTTTCAAAATGGTAACTGGACATTTCGCACAAAAGACTTTTCGCACAAGTCTTTTAGCACAAGTTTTGGACTGTTCGCACAATTCTTAGTGGTCATTTCGCACAATAATCATAAGTGAGAAACATCAATATAATAGGTATACTGATTGATACTGATAAGACATTTCACCCTCACAAGATCCAATGGCGAGAACGTAGACATTTATGTAATAACTTCAACTAGATCAAAATGCTTGTGAACACGATCACTATTCTTACTTGAAGAAAGGAAAGGTACAAATCTCTCTCTCCATGAAAATGTAAAGAACTCCCTATTCAAATGACTACCTCTATAAATTTTCCTTTGCTGCACGAAAAACCTTTTAGTGTTTACAGTATCATCCACTACAAAGTTAACATGCAAACATCATGACCCACGCTAAGGACACCATGTTGATTTCGAAAGTAATTGTCACCAGTCTTCCCTCCTTGTAAAGGTTGCCTTCAAATAGCATGTTTTATCGATCTGTAAGAGTTTCAAATAAAGCTATTGAAAACTTGCTTCTTATATCTTCGTTATATAATGAAAATTAGGCATACTGGTAATACGTACAGCAAAAACAGTTGAACGTTAATAACTCAATATTCAGAGAGTGATTCACATCGAATGTCGGCATGTGCAGGTGTCGTGATTTGACAACTTGAATGTGTCAGTGTAGGTAGTAACTAGAAAGACAAGCTCGATCTGTAATCATTTTAAAGATCGTAAAGTTTAATACATCTACCAAGTAGTAACCTTTCAAATTATTCAAATAACAATTACCTGAGTGATGGAGAGTTCAGTATCGATCGATAAGCGTCATATTATATATTTACACAGAAATTTTGTAAATAGGTCTTTTCTCCTTTCAAATACAAAGTGAAAAAGTTTGCAGGTTTTTTACTTTGACTTCAGAGGAGGGAGGATTGGTGACAATTACTTTCGAAATCAACATGGTGTCCTTAGCGTTGGTTCATCGTGTTTGTATGTTTGTAGTGGATGATGTACTGTCAAAACTAAAAGGTTTTTCGTTTAACAAAGGAAAAGTAAAAGAAGTAATCGTTTGAATAGGGAGTTCTTTACATTTTCATAGAGAGAAAGATTTGTTCCTTTCTTCAAGTAAGAATAGTGATCGTGTTCACAAGCGTTTCGATTTAGTTGAAGTTATTATGTAAATAAATGTCTACGTTCTCACCGTTGGACCTTATTGAAGGTGACATGTGAAGGTGAAATGTTTTATCAGTATCAATTAGTATACCTTTTATATTGATGTTTCTCACTTATAATTATTGTGCAAAATGACCACTAAGAATTGTGCGAACGGTCCAAAACTTGAGCTACAAGACTTGTGCGAAAAGTCTTTTGTGCAAAATGTCCTGTATTGCTTAAACCATATTAAATAAAAGATAAACATGAAAAATCGCTCACTAAATTATAGAGTGGCTTTAAACTATGACAGATTGTTATCCAGATAAAAAAGAAAGATATTTACTAGACACAGTACACTAGCTGAAAACTACAGATACCTATTGATTCCAGGAACGGTGTGGAGTGGATGTCTGTTCAGTGTGTAATGTCATCATGTGGTTGTGCACACCTTGCTGTTTTTGGAATGAGATTAAGTCCAATGTATTATCAGTTCTGGTATCAGTGTACATTGTTCAACCCTATTTATGTGATATCAATCTTTTAACTGCACTAATCATTCAAGTAATGCATGGTATGGGCACAGCATTTGTTTTAATTGGTTATTATCATGAAGTAACACTTCAACTGATAATATCAGTCATGAAGTTTTTGGAATGGTGTTCCTGCTCTAGGTTGAGATAACTGAAGTCTGAAGTCTGTAGCTGTCTAAAATCTGCAAATAAACAACAAGTTTCACTGGACACAGGTGTTCCATATAACTATATAGTTCTACCATCATAAAAGGTTTTAAATCTAAAACATTTTTCTCTGAACTTTCTTTTATCTGTAGCTCATCCTGAAACTTGATCCTAGACCACCACCAAAGACACTAGTGGAAAATTATTTGATAGAGATTGCTCGCAGTCATGGTGTACAGTTTGAACCTGATCCATCAATGATAGGAGTAAGTAGATACTTGCAATAGCTCCAATGTGATGAATTCCTGTTAAACAAGGAAAAGGTTAAGTATGGACTGGAGCCAAGTGGCTCATTCAGCAGGAGCTTTTTTCTGTTAATTCAGCATTATGCCATTTGCATTATGCTATGCCCCCTAGGATGGGATACCACACCATGCAAGTAGCCGTGCCACTAGCCATGCAATTAGCTTATGCCACTAGCCATGTAGTTAGCTTATGCTAGTAGCCATGCAATTAGTTACACAACTAGCTAAATTGAATGCCCCAATCCATGCTACTAACATCATACCACTCACCCTGGATGGGAGTCCATACCTGGGCTAGTGAATCATGATTGAGTGATTGTGGCACAAGTTAAACATCACATTAATAATTATTGAAATCTTTTTCAATAGGAAGCTCAGATACCTCCTGATGACGACGTCAAGCCAAGGCCACCTAGTGGAGGAGGTTCTAGCGGTGGAGGAGGTCACATTGGATTTGAGGGCTATGGAGCAGGCTTTAATGGGCCTAGTATTCCACCCATGACAGGAGGTAACATGGGATATGCAGCATACCCTCCACCAACACATGTAAGTCATTGTTACACCATAACTGCGTACATGTAAATTTAGCTTACATGTAGCGGCCTGATATACAAGTCACTAAAAACACAGACAGAGGAAGACTAGTCACTCTTAATTTTGGTATTGGGTTATAAAAAGTTGTTGAAAATGAGAGAACCCCTGAGGGTTGCAAGTGCAGCCTTTTTTCATTTTTGTTTCTGTGCTATGCAATTCTGCAACACATAAAAGACACTTAGTGCAATATTACATGGTGTACTGTAGCCCTTTCACCCCCATGATCTCATTCTCCATACTGTCATACAACTCTTATGATCATGTTAGTTCAGAGAATTTGGTATTGGATCAACTTATTTCATTTCATCACTTATCTGCTTGATGTTGTCTTGATATGGTAATGAGAAATTCTGTCTTGGAATGAAAGGGTTAATATTGCCCATAGCACTTGTTTTTAGAGGACGAAACTTTGTTGGGGCCTCCAGTCTAAATATGGTTGTTATGATTGATATTGATGGTAAGCACTTTTGGAGGTTTTCACCATAAGATGGGTAACATCTTAAGGCATAGTACTCAGTCATGCAACTGAGGAAAGATAGGCACTCAAAATATCACAACATTTACAAAATAATTTGATACAATTTGTTAAATTTTAAAATGATAATATTAACATGGCTGCATCCTTTTTACTCCACAGGGAAATGTCCCACCCTACCCCTCTGGTCCGCCAGATGTACCACCCAGTTATCCCTCAGAAAAAAAGCTACCCCCCTACCCTGGGGGCCCTTTTAACAACCACAATGCTGCACCCTCTCCACCAGGTATGACTATTGACAATGTTGGTTTCTTGTAATGTTTAGTTAGATGACCTTCTAAAACTTGGCATTTCTCTTCAGTTTTGCAATTAGTATAAATCACATTACACTTGTGTACTTAGTTGCCAAGCCTTTAATTTGGAGTGAGGCACAAGGTGACCTAATGTTGTGACAAAGACCAGTATCTAGTTACCATGATAACAAAGTAATTTACTTTTGAGAAAGAGCAACATTTGTATTGTAACAGAGTCCTATTTGCCTTGCTCTTGTTCAAAGACTCGGCGACTAAGCACACGATTATTATTTTGGCTATTCTGACTTGCCCCTGATTTTGTAGGGGTACATTGTATGCCCTTGCCTCTAGAACTCTTGTAATTGTTCAACATGCTGCTTTTTTTCATAATATCAGGAGCAATTGCCACACAAGGAAATGATAACAGAAGGGCAAAATTATTTGCTAGAGGGTGTTTTCTTTGACACAAAATTCTCTTAATCTCTTACATCCAATGTCAGTGTTCATTTCTCCATAATGTTCTCTATACAATTCCTTTGGTACTGACAAAAGGAATTTGTTTAACAGTCAAGAGCTCCTTTAGTGAATGATCATTTCTTTTTTTATTCTCATGACCTCAATGTTTGATTCAGCACTCACACATGGCCTCTTTTTTCAGCTCCTCATCAGCCTCCTGCTCCCAGTGCACCACGCCCTTCATCAGGCCCCAGTTTCCCAGACCTTCCTGCAGTACCTACAGATTTACCAAACTTGCCTGACAGTATTCCAGGGGGGAACAGTGCTGGTGGTGAAGATGTAGACTTTGATGATCTTACTAGGAGATTCGAAGATCTTAAGAAGAAGAAGTAGACTTTGCAAAAAATTTCTGTTCATGAATATTGTGAAATGTAATCAAGCTCATGCTGTCTTTAAATACAATTTTGTAGTCACTGGTAAATCTGCCGTTTGTATCAGTAATTTTATGCCACTCTCTCAGGATGGGTGTTGGAGCAATTTTCACTTGGTGTACAAAATTCTTTTCCAACCATTTGATTGGTCTACAAAATTTATATCATCCACTCAACCAATCAGATGTAAAATGACTATATATGTAAAACCAATCAGGGCTTAGTTAATCCTGTAGCCAAGGTTTTTGAGTTGTGTTGAATTCTAGGTCCAATGTTATTATATTTGCCTTTATCCGATTACCTTTTGTGGTTTTTTTGTTGAGACATCACATTAATGAATCAAAGAGCACTCCTTTCTGGCCCCCATCCATGTTGTTGTACATTTGGCTCTGGTTTTTCAAAGGTCAGGTAATGCTATTTACTGGATAAATTTCCATCCACTGGATAATGCTGTATGTTTTGCTATCTCTTATCTGCTGGATGGCAATTTTTCTGTTGGATAGTGTTATCTGCCCTTTTTACAACTGGGCTCTGTTCAGTAATATATCACAGATGAGGTCAAAATGTGGTGAAAACTAAACAAATGGCGCATGAGGCCCGGTCAAGTGTGTCACTGAAGTACTTACCACATATTGAAGTCTTCTGTGATCTATTCTTATACAGACTAACAGCGACATGGAATTTATTTGTTTTTTATGATGACAAAGCAAAAGTTTGTTAATGGCGAGGCCATCCATGCATCTGTTCTCCAATAAATCATGAACCATGAGCAAGAACCAATCAAAATACTTGCATAATTCAGCTTATTATATAATTTCAAATAATGCACAGAGTATGTATCTTTTCAGGGAGGTATGTCACACTGAATTTCACAGATTACCAGATGTGATTAAGAATATAATTTTTTTTCTAGTCTGTTTACTTTTGTTGTTGGTGGTGTTTTTCTTTCTTTTTTTTTTTTTATTAATTTTCTGTCATTAGTATTGTTATTATTATGATTATAATTATTATTATTATCAATATCATTGTCATTATTGTTTTTATTATGATTTCCATTATCAATTGTTTTGGCATAAGGAGAAAACTCAGTATAGTTGGTTTTTTGATGTTGTTTTGCAGTTTTTTTAAGTGCACTAATTGGCAATTCATAATGGTAATCATTGTTAAATGTTGATGTAAAAGAGCAGTTGACTTGTATCAACTGTTTTAAAGCTTTGATTCCTCTGATATGGCTTATATTCACTGATAAGTTTTGACTACTGTACGTACATATATTGTGGCAATTAATTTTTAAAAATACTCTTATTTTTAATTTGATCTGCCTTTCTACTATAAGTGCAAACAAAAATTGCTGTTGACAGAAGGTACTACTGAATAAAACAGCCAGGTAACTTAAAAAATTTACAAACTATAGTCTGTCTTTCATCCAGCTATTTGCACAAGACTAACGTACTTGTATGTTCATTTGAAGCTAATTTAAAAAAGGTTATTGCTCTATGCACAGTGCATAGCTTATTAACCCATTACACCCTAACATCAGTAAGCATATTCTCCATACTGTTCTCTATATATTTCCTAACGTACTGACAAGGAGAATTTGCTTAACAATCAAGAGTTTCTTTAGCTGGTGATGACCTTATTGTTTGATGTAACAGTGATACTGTAAGGAAACATTGTAAGCTAGTGACACTAAGGGGCCTTATAAGTTAAAAGATGTAGCCCCTGTAAATAAATGTTTATGGATAATACATTTAGGCACATTTATTTATTTTTTGTTTTTGCTTGTTGTTGTTGGTTTGTTTTGTTATTTTAGTTCCTTTTTAGCTTGCCAAAGCAATTAAAAATTTTACCTGCCTATAGAAAAGGCTTCAGAAAGTGACTTAAAGCTTTCACATCTCAAAACATCTAAAGAGATGAAAAAAATGCTACATTCCTGATAGCCAATTTTTTTAAAAGTATAAATAAACTGGACATAACCTTTTTTTATTTTCCAGTGAAACCAGGGTACTGATGATTTTGAAATTTTTGAAAGGATGTTTCCGAGTGAATTTTTTAAATAACTTTATTGCAAAATGTTATTTATATTTAACACTGAAACTTATTTTCTAATCATTCATTACAACAAACAGAAAATAACTTTTAAGTCTTACTTATTCAATGCATTCTTAATTTGTCTCGCTTTGTAGTATGGAATAAAACGCAAGACTATTTTTCAAAACAGTTTAGAACTAACAAATAAGCTTAATTGGAAAGTCAGTAGCCACCTCTAATTATGACATAATTACCCAGTAGATGCCCATTTTTAAAAACAGTTGTCACCTTCCTTCTTGTGCTTGTTGATTACTTATACATGTGAGATTATGCAATCATAAATTGTTCTTGAATTAATGCTTCATTAAAGATAGATTTTCTTAGATTGAAATACCCGCACTTAATCTATCCTGACCAATCAATTAAGAAACATGGATGGGCAAGAGGCGAGGGATGGAGAAGATTAAAACGGCTTAAGATTGACGAACTTGCAAGACCTGGGCTGATTACTTCAAGTCAAAAGGTTTTTTTCTCTAAGAGTAATTGTAAGTCTAGATATTATAGCTAAGAGTTCTTGCTGACAAGTGATAAAACAGCATTAAAAATAAAACAAACCACCGGTAAGGAGCGGCTCAATAAGCAAAGTTCACTTTTGAAAAAGTCTATTCCAAAATATACACCTTTTTCTGATCATGGCTAGTGACAAGAATACGCCCGTCTGGTGCTTTTGTTATTGCCATAGGCTTAGGTAAACGAGTGATACTTTTTCCGGTGAAGCGACCGTCTAAAGAAAACTGCTGAACTCGTTTATTTTCAGTGTCACATACTAGAAGATTATCGGAGCTATCTACAAGCAAACCACGCGGCCTTCGAAATTGTCCATGTCGATCCCCTCGTTCGCCAAACTTGTATAAGAATGTTCCTGACAGGTCAAAAGCTTTTATGCAGTGGTTGCTTGTATCAGATACGAGAAACATATTTTTGTGAAAAATGCAGCAGGTTGGCCATGCAAGTTTCTCTGGGCCTTTGTCTCCAAATGTAAAAATAGATCTTCCTTCCTTTGACATCACCTGTATCCTATGATTGCTACTCTCGGTTACAACAATGCGCTCTTCATCATCCATAGTAACGTATACTGGATTAGTTAGCTCTCCTTTTTCTTCACCGAATTTTCCAAAACTTTTCACCACAGTTCCTGTCTGAATATTTAGTTGTAGTATTTTGCAATTGGTGAAGTCTGAAATAAGGACCTCGTTGTCATTTAAAAACGAAATGCCAACAGGGTGCTGAAATAATCCTTTGTTACTACCCTTGCCTTCAATTTTTCTCAAACAGATGCCATTTTTGTCAAAGACATAAACACAGTGGCCATTGTTATCCGTCACAACTATCTGGCCTTCTGTATTCACAGCAATTCCAAATAACCCTCTAAGCTTGTCCCCCGGAAAGAGCTTTAACTTCAACTCGCCGACCACAACAAGTTCACGTTCTTTTACCTGCACAGTCATGGGACAGGGCGGTAGTTTATCGCCATTAATCTTCACTTCAATGTTGTAGGCCCCGGGTACTTTGGGAGTAAAGTTCAGCCTAACATTTCCGTCATATTCCTCATCAACAGTCACGTTTGCCACATCTTTGGCGGGTGTTACGAGGAATTCGACTTGATCTTCAGGGTAGTCACTCATCTCTCCTCCAGATGTCCGTGGGCACAACGTAAACTTTGCCTGTTCATTAACCTGAAAATTTTGATTCAGTCCTTCGAGGGTTGATTTGCCTACGATTGCCGGCTTCTTGGAGACTTGAATAGAACCCAGTTTAAAGTTGTGTTGCGATGCGGCGGTAAATTTGACAAATGTAGCCTGGCGATGTTTTGGAACCTCTACTCCACAAAGCTCTTCAAGTTTTAAGTTGTTTTTGTTCTGTATGATATCCGCAGCTGATCTCCGTTGCACCAAATTCTCCGCAAATTCAGCCGCTTGGCTCATCTGTTTTACCTTAGAGATTAGTTCTTGTTTAGCCGAGTTGATTCGCTCCATTCTCCTCCTACGCGTCATTTCTAAAGACTCTAGGAGCTGTTTTTCTTGTTGTCGCGTTATTCTGATCACGTGTTCAGTTGCATCCGACACTTCCTTTTTAGCCCTTGCGATAGACAATTCCACATCCTCTGATAATTCCTCTAATTTTCTTAACTCTGCTCGAAATAAGTTTGCCTTTTCTTTGATGGTTTCGACAGTCAACATAATGTTTTTCTTATCCTCTTGTACTGCATTTTCAAGCACGTCAAACGCATGACCTCGGTGGTCTTCAGCGACGCAAATTGGACAAATACACGCCTCACACCAGGAGCAGTAATATCGTACTCTTTCTTCCGTATGTTGCGGGCAAGTCTCTTCCGCTTCAAAGACACCTAACAGACTTTTGTGTAAAAAGCTGTTAGGCAAACCGTCGAAGCGATTGCCTTCCGGTAAATCGATTTCTGCCTGACACTCGGGACATCTGAATTTCCCTTGTCTCTGGCTCACTCTGGCATGTCTCTCTAAACACTCACAGCAAAATGTGTGAAGACATGATATAGTTTTAGGTTGGGTGTAAGTATCGAGACAAATCGAGCAAGTAACTTGCTGCTTGAGATTCTTATAGAGAGGATCCATGACGATCGCCTTAAACTGCAGTAAACTAATTCGTTTTTCAAGCGACAAGGCCTGACAAAACACGTATATGAAATCGGAGATATTATTTCAGTTTCTGAGAACACAGCACAAAGTCCATCGCAACTGAGCTCCTCTGGCCAATGAATGAGTTGCCAGGAATCGGCTCCCTCTGCTATGCGCAAGGGGTTCTGGGATCGCCGCGGGGCAAACAACGCAAATTGCTACCAAGAAATGTATGACAACAGTCGTTGTAACCCTTTACACCCTAACATCAGTATGCATATTCTCCATACTGGTCTCTATACATTTCAAAATGTGCTGGCAAGGAGAATTTGTTTAACAATCAATAGTTTCTTCAGTTAATTATCCTTTCCTTTATTTTTATGACATTGATGATCGGTTCATGTGTGATATTGAAAGGAGAAATTAGATGCTGATCGCTCTCAGGGATTAAAGGGTTAAGGATCACTCCTACCCGGATCACTCCTACCCGGACGTTTGTATAACTCAATCGTTTCACAATAAGACCGCAAATATTTTGGTGAGATTGTTCTTCTTAGTTCTTAGACTGTCATCGATGTGCAGTTGGAGGAGTCCGAGGAAGAAATGTTTAATTCCCTGTAGCTTTACAAAAGGATGGGCAGCGCATAAAAAGATTCAAACGAACCGGCTTTGTTTCAGATTCCTAGAAAACAGAATAAAGTCAGCCGTCAACTTATTTATAATTAAGGCTGTCACTTCATGGCTCGGTTGACCTCTATTGCAGCTTCAGACTGTTTATCTATTGCGAAATGACTGAAGTGAATTTACAGTTGTCTTTCTAAGATATTTACTGTTTGAAAATTCGCCGTTGGATAAACGAAGACGGAATTCACGGATTTTACCTGAAGGGAAATTTTTTGGAGCCTCATGAGAGGGAAAGATTTAGATGAGAAATGTAAAGATTCTAAAAAAAGCGCAAAACGCGCGCAAAAGATCAATATTACAACTCTTAACTTTCATCACTGCCAAGCTGTTTCAGTTACAGTTATAATCGGTAGAATCTGGGTTCGAGAAAGGCCTTCATAGTTCTTTAAAATGTGATCAATGTCTCCTTCCCTCCTCTTGCCCTTCTTCGTGTTTTCTCAGTTATTCCGTCGTCAGTGGCAATCCTTTCTCGCACGAAAGGAAAGTTGACTGACAACAACGTCATTAGCTGAGATTCGCGATTCGCATTCCTCTGACGAGACATTCGACTGTGTTTCTCATCTATTTTATTCGAAGGTTGTCCTCGGTTTAGTCATTCCCAGAGATCTTTGAAAGCACAGATATCTAAACGCTTGTGGCTTTGAGGACATCAGTGACTGAATACAGAAAATAAATAGTTTTCTTTTGAAAAACCTTAAAGCTGCTTTTACGACTATATTTAGATTTCCGAGAAAACAGAACGGAAATCTGTCAGGACTTGACTGATCACATTCAATAGATTAGTTGACCTCTTCAGTTTGTGACTTACAACTGTTTATCTGTCACCTTGAAACTTATTTTTTGAACATATTCCTCTCAATATCCTAGAATTTGATTAATTGTCGAATCATTTTAATGATGCGACAATTAAAAAAGGGTCTTAAAGCCAGATACAAAACCGGAAGTTATTTTCTAATCATTCATGACAACAAACTGTAAATAAGTTTTAAGTCTCATTTATTCAATGCATTTCTAATTTGTCTCGCCTAATTATATAGAAAAAAACCTAAGACTATTTTTCAAAACAGTTTTAAGCTAACACTTGAGCTTAGTTTTTAAAAACAGTTGTCACCTTACTTCTTGTGCTCGTTGATTACTTATTCATGTGAAATCATGCAATCATAAATTGTTCTTGAATTTAAGTGTCATTAAAGATACATTTTCTAAGCTTAAAAAAAGCGGACTCAATCTATCCTGACCAATAAATGATTACAAAAAGCAGCACATGGTCTTAACGTTTTCCTGCTATATATTCTCAACATAAAAAGAAAGTCAAATTTTTAGTTTTGTGGTTTTTCTGATGTACTGGACATTTCTGAGGACTCGCCGTTAAATTTCTTGGTCATCATTATTCAAATCGCTACCGACGACGATATACAGAAATGCCTCGGCTAATTACTTCTAGTCTAGAGGTTTTTGTCCCTAAGAGTAATTGTAAGTCAAGATATCATCGCTAAGAGTTCTTCCAGACAAGTGATAAAACAGCATTAAAGACAAAACAAAATACAGGTAAGGAGCGGCTCAAGAAGCAAAGTTCACTTTTGAAAAAGTCTATTTCAAAATATACACTTTTTTGTCATTATGGCTAGTAACAAAAATACGCCCGTCTGGTGTTTTTGGTATCACTTTAGGCTTAGATAAACAAGCGATAATTTTGCCGGTGAAGCGACCGTCTAAAGAAAACTGCTAAACTCCGTTATTCCCAGAATCACATACTAGGAGATTATTGGAGCTGTCTGCAAGCAAATCATACGGCGTTGTAAATTGCCCATCTTGATTCCCTTCTTTGCCGAACTTGTATAGGAATGTTCCTGACTTATCAAAAGCTTTGATGCAGTGGTTGCCTCCATCAGACACGAGAAACATGTTTTTGTTAAGAATGCAGCAGTTTGGATATTGGAGTTTCTCTCGGCTATTGTCTCCAAATGTAAAAATAGATTCTCCTTCCTTCGACATCACCTGAATCCTATTATTTCCCCACTCACAACAATGCGTTCTTTATCATCCACAGTAACGCCTACTGGATTATTTAGCTCTCCGTTTTCTTTACCGAATTTTCCAAAACTTTTCACTACAGTTCCTTTCCTGTCTGAAAATAAAGTCGTTGTATTCCCCTTCCCCCCTTCTGCTATTTCCGCAATCTGCAATTAGGACTTCGTTGTCATTTAAAAACGAAATGCGTTCAGACGGATGAAATTGTCCTGTATTGCTACCCTCGCCTCCAGTTTTTCTCAAACGGTTGCCATTTTGTCAAAGACATAGACATAGTGGCCAAATGTATCTGTCACAACTATCTGGCCTTCTGTATTTACAGTTATTTCACTTAACCGTTCAATCATGTCCCCTTGAAAGAGCTTTAACTTCAACTCGCCGACCACAACAAGTTCACGTTCTTTTACCTGCACAGTCATGGGACAGGTCGGTAGTTTATCGCCATCAATCCTCACTTCAACGCTGTGGGCCCCAGGTACTTTGGGTGTAAACTTCAGCCTAACATTTCCGTCATATTTCTCATCAACAGTCACGTTTGTCACATCTTTGGCGGGTGTTATTAGTAATTCGACTTGATCTTCGCGATCAGCGAAGTCACTTATCTCTCCTCCAGATGTCCGTGAGCACAATGCAAACTTTGCTTCTACACCAGCCTGAAAAGTTTCCTCCAGTCCTTCCAGAGTTGATTTAGCTGCGATTGCCGGCCTCTCGGTGACTTGAACAAAACCCAGTTTAAAGTTGTGTTGAGATGCAGCGGCAAATTTGACAAATGTAGCCCGGTGATGTTTTGGAAGTTCAACTCCATGAAGCTCTTCAAGTTTCTGCCTCAATTTGTGTTTGTTCTGTATGATATCCGCAGCTGATCTTCGCTGCACCAGATTCTCCGCAACTTCAGCTGCTTGGTTATTTTTTTTTATTAGAGATTTCAGTTCTTGTTTAGCCGAGTTGATTCGTTCCATTCTCCTCCTACGCGTCATTTCTAGAGACTCTAAAAAGCTGTTTTTCTTGTCGTCGCGTCTTTGTGATCACGTGTTCAGTTGCCTCCGACACTTCTTGTTTAGCGATTGCAATAATCATTTCCACATCCTCTGATGTTTTCTCTAATTTTCTTAACTCTGCTCGAAACAAGTTTGCCTTTTCCTTGATGGTCTGGACAGTCGACATGATGTTTTTCTTATGCTCTTGCACTGCTTTTCCAAGCACGTCAAACGCATGGCCTCGGTGGTCTTCGGTGACGCAAATTGGACAAATACACGCCTCACACGAGGAGCAGTAATATCGCAGTCTTTCTTCCGTATGCTGCGAGCAAGTGACCTGTTGTTGCCTCGGTATGGCTTGGCGATCTTCCGCTTCAAGGACACCTAACAGACTTTTGTGAAAAAAAGCTTTTGGGCAAACGGTCGAAGCGATTTCCTTGCGGTAAATCGATTTCTGCCTGACACTCGGGGCATCTGAATTTCCATTGTCTCTGGCTCACTCTTGTATGTCTCTCTAAACACCCGCAGCAAAATGTATGAAGACATGATATAGTTTTAGGCTCGGTGTAGGTATCGAGACAAATCGAGCAAGTAACTTGTTTCTTGAGACTCTTCAAGAGAGGATTCATGATGATCACCTTAAACTGTAGCAAACTGATTCGTTTTTCAAGTGACGAGCCCTTTCAAAACACTTCTACGAAATAACAGCTACTATTTCAGTTTCCAAGAAAATAGCACAAAATCCATGACAGCTGACTTCCTCTAGCCAATCGCATTTCAGAACTTAGACGCATTCCTTTGTCAGTGACAACCCCTTCTGCCAGAAAATTTGGCTGACAAGAACGTCATCAGCTGAAACCGAAATAATAATTCGTGATTTGCATCTCTTTGGCCAGACATTCGACTATATTTCTCATCTGTCTTACTTGAAGTTTATATCCTCGGCTTAGTCATTCCCAGAGATCTTTGAAAACACAGATATCTTAACGTTTATGGTTTTGAAGACACAATTCATTGAAAACAGAAAATCAATAGTTTTCTTTTAGAAAACCATAAAGCTACTTTTTACGACCATACCTAGACTTCTGAGAGAGCAGAACGGAAATCTGTCATGACTTTACTGGTCACTTTAATTGGATAGATTTGTCGACCTCTTCAGTTTGTGACTTATAACTGCATCTGTTTACTTCAATTTACTCGTTTTAGTGGATGATGGAAATTATAGCTAACAACTAATAGTTTTAATAAACAGTTATTGTCGAAACGAAACGCCATCACGTTACGTAAATCGACAATTGCTAATCAAACATCCACGGACAGTTTGAATTATTTGTTATTTGTTGTAAGTGTTGTAGCATTTGTTATTGAATAGGGTATGTTGTTCAACAACATCGGTAATCGTGAGGGAAGGAGAATTCAAAGTCATGCAGCAAGGCACGCCAGCTAATTCATGCAAATTAGTCATATGTCGCTTGTTTATTTCGCTTCCCGTTTCGCTCGCACTTTGTTCGCAAGAAATCAGGACGGGGGAGGGGAAGGTGGGGTGGAAAAAGGAAAGAGGTAAAAAACAATTCCTTTTTCATCCCTTCTGATATATTTGTTGATTCATTTATTTATTGCCTTATCTTTACGTCATTTTCTTTGTGGTAAGGGCAAATACAGAAGAGATGGAAAAAGCACTACATTTACTCGTTAAAACTTCCCTTTTTTTCTTTTATTTCTAAAAATTATATCTTACGATGACAGTAGTGCTCGAAAGAACAAAATACAAACTTTGGTCATGTGATTCCGGCAAAGAGTGATCCATCAAACCATTGTTGCAGGAATAAGAAAAGCTTCTTAGGTCTGCAATACGTGCAAGAGCTGTGATTGTTGTGGCGAATGGGATTCATAACGATTAAAAACCAACCTTGTAAACTTGCTTCTTCCACGAGATGAGTGTCAAGTTCGCTGAGCAATCAGGGACAAGTACTGAGAAGTCTTTATGAGGGTTTATATGAGAGTAAAATCGCTGCAGTCTAGCCGATTACGCGTATGAAAAATTTTAAATGGTGCAAAAAAAAATGTTCAAATCTGTGAGGGTTAATCTTACAACGCTAATGACTCTTCACTGCCACAGTTTATCCCTGTTTTTGTCGCATGAAGAATTATGCAGTTTAGTTGCCTCAGTTGCGGTTTCCTGATGGCCAATTATAGTTAGACTATAAATGAACACGACATAAACTTTTTTTTTTTTTTTTTATTTTCCAGGAAAACCAATTGTTAATGTGATGTTTCCCTCTGAATTTTGTAAATAACTTTATTCAAAATGTAATTTATATTTGAAACTGGAAGTTATTTTCTAATCATTCATAACAAAAAATTGGAAATAAATCTCATTTATTCAACCTAAGACCATTTTTCAAAACAGATTAGGGCTAACACTTAAGCTTACTTAGAAACCACCTCTAATTACGACCTTACAACTCGGTAGATGCTCAATTTTTAACACAGTTGTCACCTTACGTCTTGTGCTTGTTGATTACTTATACATGTGAAATTATGTAGCCATAAATTGTTCTTGAATTAAAGCTTCATTAAAGATACATTTTCTTAGATTGAAATACCTGCAGTTAATCTATGCTGGCTAATCAACGACTGCAAAAAGCAGCACATGGTCTTGACGTTTTCCAGCTATATATTCTCAGGCTATAAAAAAAGTCAAATTTGTCGAATGTTTCAATACACCAGGCAGTTTTACTACTCCCTTACTCATTTTTGAGGACTTGTTGTTAAATTTCGTGGAGTAGATTATTCAAATTGCAGCGATACCTTGACCTTAAAGAAAATAAACAAAACTTTAGATCGGAGAAAAAACAATTGATAAAGAACTTAATAAAATAGATTAAGACGGCTTGAAACTGACGAGCTTGAAAGACCTGGGCTAATTACTTCAAGTCAAAAGGTTTTTGTTTCCAAGTGGAATTGTAAGTCTTGATATTATCGCCAAGACTTTTTCCAGACAAATGATGAAACAGCATCAAAATGAAACAAATCACAGGCAAGGAGCGGCTCGAGAAGCAAACTTGAGTTCACTTTTGAGAGAGTCTATTTTAAAATGTACACCTTTTTCTCATCATGGCTGGTAACAAGAATACGCCCGTCTGGTGCTGTTAACATCGCCGTAACATTAGATAAACGAATGGTGCTTTTGCCGGTGAAGCGACCGTCTAAAGAAAACTGCTGAACTCGGTTGTTGCCAGAGTCACATACTAGAAGATTATCGGAGCTGTCTACAAGCAAACCATACGGCCAGTTAAATTGTCCATCTTGATTCCCTTTTTTGCCAAACTTGTATAAGAATGTTCCTGACTGATCAAAAGCTTTTATGCAGTGGTTGCCTGTATCGGATACGAGAAACCTGTTTTGGTAAAGAATGCAGCAGGTTGGCCATAAAAGTTTCTCTGGGCCTTTGTCTCCAAATGTGAAAATAGATTCCCCATCCTTTGACATCACCTGTATCCTATTATTGTCCCACTCGGTTACAACAATGCGTTCTTTATCATCCACAGTAACGTCTAATGGCCTGCCAAACTCTCCTTTTTCTCTGCCTCTTTTTCCAAAACTTTTGACCACGGTTCCTGTCTGAATATTAAGTCGTTGTATTCTGCAATTTCCTGAGTCTGCAATCAGGACTTCGTTGTCATTAAAAAACGAAATGCCATTAGGGTACTGAAATTGTCCTGTATTGCTACCCTCGCCTCTACTTTTTCTCAAACAGTTGCCATTGTTGTCAAAGACATAAACACAGTGGCCAAAGTTATCTGTTACAACTATCTGGCCTTCTGTATTCACAGCAACTCCAAATAACCGTTCAAGAGTGTTCCCTTTAAAGAGCTTTAACTTCAACTCACCGACCACAACAAGTTCACGTTCTTTTACCTGCACAGTCATGGGACGGGTCGATAGTTTATCGCCATTAATCTTCACCTCAATGCTATAGGCGCCAGCTACTTTGGGAGTAAACTTCAATGCAAGATTGCCGTCCTCTTTCTCTTCGACAATCACGTCTGTAATATCCTTGACGGGTTTAACCAGCAATTCAACTCGACTTTTAAGATCAGCCTGGTTACTCATCTCATCTCCAGATTTCTTTGGATATAACGTAAACTCTGCTTCTACACCAGCCTGGAAAGTTTGATCCAGTCCTTCTAAAGTTGATTTAGCTGCCTTTGCTGCGTCTTCAGTGACTTCAATGAAACCCAGTTTCAAGTCCTTGTCTTCAGTGACTTCAATGAAACCCAGTTTCAAGTCCTTGTGAGATGCTGCAGTGAATTTAATGAATGTCGTCTGCTGATGTTTTGGAACTTCAACTCGCAGAAGCTCTTCAAATTTGGTCCTTAAAGTTTCTTTGTTCTGCATAATATCCGAGCTTGAGGTTCCCTGCACTAGATTTTCCGCAAACTGAGCTGCTTGGCTCATTTGTTTTACTAAGGATTCCACTTCCTGTTTAGCCGAGTTAATTTTATGGAGTCTCGACGCGCGTGTTTCCTCGAGGGACTCCAACGCCTCTCGCTCGCGCTCTCGAATATCTGCGATCATTTCCTCAGCTGCTTGCTTGACGCTTCGCTTAGCCGTTTCCATATTGCTTTCCAGCTTCGAAATGGTTTCTTTAAACTGCTTAATGACTTCACGGAGCTTGTTTTCCAATTTCTTGATCAATTTAGCGCCCGACATGATGTTATCCTTTTCCTCGTGTGCTATTTTGTCGAGCACAACAACTTTGTGGTTTTGATGATCCGTGACTATGCAAATTTGACAAATGCAAACTTGACACTGCGAGCAAAAGAACCGTGTAATTTCTCTCTCGTGGAACTGCCGAGAACAAAACGGTTGTCGCTTTAACAATGCTTCGTAATCTTCTGTTTTGAAGTCTTGAACCGGTGTGACTTTGTGTCCTTGAAAAGACTTCTTGAGCACTTCATGTGCGTTGAAACAATCAGGGCACATGAATCGTTCGCAGTCGAAGCAGTAGTACATCTGGGGGTTGGTTACGCTGCATTGAAAACAGGTAAAGCTACTTGCCGCACCACCCTGTCGAACAGCGAGAAGATTCAATAAACTCTTATGGAAAAAGCTGTTAGGCAAACGGTCGAAGCGATTTCCATCTGGTAAATCGATCACTGCCTGACACTCGGGGCATCGAAATTTTCCCTTTTTCTGGCTCACTCTTACATGTTTCTCCAAACATTCACAGCAAAAGGTATGAAGACATGATATAGTTTTGGGCTCGGTGTAGGTATGGAGACAAATCGAGCAAGTAACTTGCTTCTTGAGATTCTTAGGGAGAGAATTCATGACTAACGCCTTAAACTGTTGTAAACTGATCCGTTTTTCAGCGACGAGCCCTGTTAAGACACTTGAATATATGATTTAACAGACTAGACACTATAATACAATCAGTTTGCAATAAAAACGGCTCAAATTCATGACAACTGACTTCTTCTGGCCAATCGCATTCCAGAACTTAGACTAAGTTATTCCGTTGTCAGTGGCAACCCCTTCTCCCATGAAAGGAAATTTGGCTGGCAACAACGTTACCAGCTGAGACCGAAATAATAATTCGTAATTTGCATTCCTCCGGCGAGACATTCGACTAAAGTTCTCAAGTCTCTCCTCGGTTTAGTCATTCTCAGAGATCTTTGAAAACACAGATATCTAAACGCTTTTGGTTTTGAAGACATCATTCATTGAAAACAGAAAATAAATAGTTTTCTTTTGAAAAACCATCAATCTACTTTTTACGACTATATTTAGATTTCCGAGAAAGCAGAACGGACATCTGTCATGACCTCAGAGATCACATTCAATATATTACTTGACCTCTTCAATTTACTCGTTGTAGTTGACGATGGAAATCAAACTTAATAGTTTTAATCGTAATGGACGGAGTTATTATCGAAACGAATCGCGTCACGTTACGAAAATCGACAATTGCTACTTAGGGTGAGATTATCAAACATGCACGGACAGTTTGAATGAATTTCTTTATTTATTGTAAGCACTGTCGCTTTTGTTATTGAATAGAGTATGTTACTTAACAACATCGGTAATCGTGAGCGACTGGGAATCCAAATTTTTATATCTTCAGGTCATGCAGCAAGGCACGCTAGCTAATTTATGCAAATCAGCCGCATGTCGCTTGGTTATTATGCTTCCCTTTCGCTCGCACTTTGTTCGTGAGAAATCAGGAGAGAGGGATGGGGGTGAGCCGGGGAGAAGGGGGGGGGAGGGGGGGGGAGGGGGGGTGGAAGAAGGGAAGAGATAAATAAGAACTATTTTTTATCATTTTTGATTCATTTATTAAATGATTCATATATTGCCTCATCTTCGACTCAGTTTATCTGCAGTAAAGGCAAATATAGAAGAGATGGAAAAAGCACTACATTTACTCCATGGGCACTTCATGTGCGTTGAAACAATCAGGGTCCATGAATCGTTCGCAGTCGAAGCAGTATTACATCTGGGGATTGGTTACGCTGCATTGATAACAAGTAAAGCTATACTCGCCGCACCACCCTGTCGAACAGCGCGATTCAATGAACTCTTATGGAAAAAACTGTTAGGCAAACGGTCGAAGCGATTTCCATCTGGTAAATCGATCACTGCCTAACACTCGGGGCATCGAAATTTTCCCTTTTTCTGGCTCACTCTTACATGTTTCTCCAAACACTCACAGAAAAACGTGTGAAGACATGATATAGTTTTGGGCTCGGTGTAGGTATCGAAGCAAATCGAACAAGTAACTTGTTTCTTCAGCGGCTCCGTCAGTATCGACAATAAGTACAAATGACATACGTAAGCGACGCGCGAAGTTGAACGAAGAAGATTCCTAGAAAACAGAACAAAGTCCGTTTCAGCTGCTTGTCCGTAGCCAGTCACGATCATAAGCCCAGTTGAGCCTCTGTAACGTTTTATTGTTTTTCTGATATGAGTTTTGACTTATTGTCTAAAAATTTTCTTTTTGGACAGTCTGCAAAAATGGTCAAGGTTGACAAGTTTTAAATTGAAAGCTACGATATCAAAATATATGTTGAAAACTAGTGTGGGATATTTAAAAGCAGACTACCTTTTTGATGACCAATTGACTTTAAAAGTTCCTCAGGATTATCTGTAAGTTTTTCTTCCTGTTAGTGCTAAACATGAGCCCTTTCAACAGTGTCGCTGAATCTTGAGGTTTAGGTGATATTTTCTGCTTGACTTAAGATTGTTTACCGAAAACGCAGTTTGAATGAATGGGTGGTAAACTTTGTTTTAATAACCGGCTACATGAAGTGTGAAATGAAATATATGTCGGAAAAATTGAAGTGAGCAGGTTAGTAGATCTATAATTTACAGTGCCGCTTTTTCATTATTATTATTATTGTTATTATTATTATTATTATTATTATTATTATTATTATTATTATTATTATCATTATTATTATTATCGATTACGATACGACCAGACGTGATTAGATGTCAAAGATTTTGCTCAACTTCTTTAAACTAACTCTTTCAACGGCTCTTGTTAAAATTCTGTATCCTTAACAATTCTTATACACTTGTGTTGTCTATGTTCTTACTAAAAGAGGATACTTTTTTCTATCTTCGTTCCTACCTTTTTGGAGTTAACCTTCAGAGGAACACTCATATTTCTAGGTTCTTCCTGCTTAAGAGCAGTTTGTGGTGTCGAAAAAAATGCCATTACCTTCTCCTGATTCAGTGTTAAATACTTAAGGGACAAGATTACTCGAAAAATCGCATATTTTTGTAACTTGTAACTAAATTTTTGTAACTTTAGCAGACACTTGGGAGCCTGGGTAAGCAACTACAATTATGTCTTTTAACATGAACGTCGTCAGTTTTCTAGGCTTTCTATCAGGTAATTTTTCAACTTTGCTGCATTTCGATCAAGTTAACCTTCTAATTTTGACGACGCAAACAGTTTTATCTGGCGTGTAGGGAAACCGTATCCGAGTGGGCGTGTTTTGACTCCATGATTATGGAATTCGAAGACATTTGCTTTATTACTACTATTTAATAGTGTAGTTTGATCGTCCGGGTGAGTGTAGTCCTGAGAAGGACCGTTGTCGGTAGTGGTGACTGACGTTTCGACAACCTGAGTTTCGACAACCTTACTGGCTTTAAGACTCAAGTGGCGTAGGTCAGTCGTGATTGGTTGGTTTTGAACCTGGTTTCCCAATGCGACCTATTGTTTTCCTTCCGTGGTTTTCCGACATACCAACTGTCCAAGTACCGAATACTACAACCGCTCACCGAAAAATCCAAACGAAAACAACAATCCAGCGAGGACTTCATTAACGCCACTAAGACTGTACAGATACCTGACGACTACAAACTAGTGTCATTTGATGTGAAATCGCTTTTTACAAGTATTCCACTTCAACTGGCACTACAATGTTCTGAGACTGCTATCCTGGAATCTACTGACCCTCTACCGCTACCGAAAGAGGGCATTATGGACTTACTAAACCTTTGCCTGACATCAACTTACTTTCAGCACAATGGTAAACACTACAAACAGTTACACGGTACAGCTATGGGGTCTCCAGTTTATGCTGTTGTAGCAAAAATTGTGAAGCAGAACATCGAGGAAAGCGCACTTTCGACTTGCCGACAGACTATACCACTTTGGTTGCTTTACGTCGACGACACTTTCACCGCCGTACGACACGACAAAATAGACGCATTCCACCACTACCTTAACGAACAAAACACTGAGATGCAGTTTACTTGAGAGGTCGAAGAAAATGGTAAACTACCTTTTCTAGACTGCCTAGTAAGCCGTGACGACAACTCACTACGGACAACGGTTTACAGGAACCGAAGCATACCGACAGATTACTGGACGAGTCATCCTACAACCCGACATTACACAAAGCCACTACTATCAGGACTCTTACCCGACGAGCGCAACTAGTATGCAATACGACAGACAGCTTATCCGACGAGAACAAGTACCTTCACCGTGTTTTTTCAAAGAACAACTACAACGAAGAATTAATCCAAGTAATTCATCTATTTGAAGTGGCGTTTCTGTGTTTTCTGACATCTTAGAACTGGTACCAGGTACGTATAACTGAACCATAAACAAATTGGGAACGCAACGCACGTGACAAAAGGGCTTCAAAGCTTACTATATGGTTGTAAATCAAAAACATTCAAGACGAAAAATTTTCGTCATGACAAAATAGCGTATCTATCAATAAGCACTTCATTTAGGTTTTACTCTTCAGTTTTGAACAAGAGATCCAATTATCCAGCAATGCGCATGCGTTTCTGATGGTCTAGTGGAAGAAATGGGACGACAATTATTTCCAATCAAGGTATATTTATTTGTTTATACGTCACTCTTTTTTATCTGTTGATAAATTTATTTGTATATTTTCTATTGCTTTATTGTTATGCCTTTTTCCTAAAGGAAGGCTAAATATTACCAAGACATGAGAAAAAAAAAAAAACCTGCTACATTTACTCGTCAAAGCTTTCCATTTTTTTTTTCCAAAAATTGTATCTCACGATGAAAGTAGTGCTCGAAAGAACAAAAATGCGAACCTTTCCGGTAAAGTGATTCTGGCAAAGAGTGATCCATCAAACCATTGTTGCAGGATTAAGAAAAGCTTCTTAGGTCTGTTGTGGCACATACGATTCACAACGTTTAAAAACCAACCTTGAGAACTCGCCTCTTCCACCGAATGAGTGTCAGGTTCGCTGAGTAATCAGGGACGTACTGAGAACTCTTCAAGCAAGTCTTTATGGGCATGAAATCAAAGCAGTCTATTTCAAAATGTACACTTTTTTCTCTTCACAGCTAATAACAAGAATGCACCCGTCTGGTGCTTTTGTCATTGTCGTAGGACTAGTTAAACAAGTGATACTACTGCCTATGAAGCGACCATCTAAAGAAAACTGCTGAACTCGCTTATTGCCAATGTCACATACTAGAAGATTGGAGCTGTCTACAAGCAAACCACGCGGCGTTTTAAACTGTCCATCTTGATTCCCTTGTTTGCCAAACTTGTATAAGAATGTTCCTGTTTGATCAAAAGCTTTGATGCAGTGGTTACTTGCATCAGATACGAGAAACATGTTTTTGTGAAGAATGCAACAGTTTGGATGATGGAGTTTCTCTGGGCCTTTGTCTCCAAATGTGAAAATAGACTCTCCTTCCTTTGACATCACCTGTATCCTACCATTGCCATACTCGGTTACAACAATTCGTTCTCTATCATTCACAGTAACGTCTCTTGGCCAGCCAAACTCTCCTTTTCCTCTGCCTTCTTGTCCAAAACTTTTCACAACAGTTCCTGTCTGAATATTAAGTCGTTGTATTCTGCAATTGCCTGAGTCTGCAATCAGGACTTCGTTGTCATTTAAAAACGAAATGCCATCAGGGTACTGAAATTGTCCTGTATTGCTACCCTTGCTTCCAATCGTTGTCAAACAGTTGCCATTTTTGTCAAAGACATAAACACAGTTGCTAAAGTTATCTGTGGCAACTATCTGGCCTTCTGTATTCACAGCAATTCCATATAACCATTCCAGCGAGTCCCTTGGGGAGAGCTTTAACTTCAACCCACCGACCACAACAAGTTCACGTTCTTTTACCTGCACTGTCATGGGACAGGTCGGTAGTTTATCGTCATTAATCTTCACTACAATGCTGTAGGCCCCAGGTACTTTGGGTGTAAACTTCAGGCTAACATTTCCGTCGTTTTCCTCACCAACAGTCACGTTTGTCACATCTCTGGCGGGTTTTATTAGCAATTCGACTTGATCTTTGAGATCGACGTAAACACCCATCTCCAGATGTCCCTGAGCACAATCTAAACTTTGCTTCTACACCAGCTTGAAAAGTTTGATCCAGTCCTTCTAGAGTTGATTTAGCTGCGATATACGGCTTCTCGGAGACTTGAATATAACCCAGTTTAAAGTTGTCTTGCGATGCGGCGGTAAATTTGACAAATGTAGCCTGGCGATGTTTTGGAACTTCAACTCCACGAAGCTCTTCAAGTTTCTGCCTCGATTTGTTTTTGTCCTGTATGACATCCACAGTTGATCTTTGTACAAGATTCTCCCCAAGTTCAACTGCTTGGTTCATTTGTTTTACCAGAGATTCAAGTTCTTGTTTAGCTGAGTTAACTCGCTTTAGTCTCTTCCTACGTGTCATTTCTAAGGTTTCTAAAAGTTTCTTTTCTTGCTGTCGCGTCTTTGTGATCACGTGTTCAGTTGCCTCCGACACTTCTTGTTTAGCGATTGCGATAATCATTTCCACATCCTCTGATGTTTTCTCTAATTTTCTTAACTCTCCGCGAAACAAGTTTGCTTTTTCCTTGATGATCTCGACAGTCGACAGGATCTTTTTCTTCTCTTCTTGCACTGCTTTTTTAAGCACATCAAACGCATGGCCTCGGTGGTCTTCCGCAACGCAAATCGGACATATATACACTTTACACGAGGAGCAGTAATATCGTACTCTTTCTTCCGTATGTTGCGAGCAAGTCTCCTGTTGTTTCCTCGGAATGGCATGGCGATCTTCCGCTTCAAGGACACCCAGCAGACTTTTATGAAAAAAGGCGTTAGGCAAAAGGTCGAAGAGATTTCCTTGCGGTAAATCGATTTCTACCTGACACTCGGGGCATCGGAATTTCCCTTGTCTCTGGCTCACTCTTGCATGTGTCTCTAAACACTCACAGCAAAATGTGTGAAGACATGATATAGTTTTGGGTTCGGTGTAGGTATCGAGACAAATGGAGCAGGTGAGTTGTTTCTTGAGGTTCTTCGCGAGAGGATTCATGACGATCGCCTTAAACTGTAGTTAATTGATGTGTTATTAAGGCAACGAGCCCTGTGAAAACACTCATACGAATTCCGAGAAAAATTAGCACAAAGTCTATGACAGCTGACTTCCTTTAGCCAATTGCATTTCAGGACTTAGCTGGCCCTTTTGTAATGATAAAAATACGTTGTTGTCTGAGATGAAGCCTCGATTTTAGACAACTAAACTTAGCTTAATTAAAGTTGCTTGAAATAAAAGCAATTATAGACAGCTAGGAATTTGACTAAATGGGATTTGGAAAAACGCAGCAAACGAGGTTTCGTGTACGAGATTTATTATAGAACGAAATTAAGTTATTCTAGTGGTTTGACATTGTCACGGACAACAGTTGTTTTAAGGGCCACTCTCACTCAGAAGTTTGTACAACTCAATCGTTTCACAGTAAGACTGCAAATCTTATGGTGAGATTGTTCTTCTCGAGGCTGTCGTCGATGGGCATTTGGAGGAGTGCGAGGAAGAAATGTTAAATTGCCTGTAGCTTATCAAAAGGATGGGCAGTGCGTAAAAACGTTCAAACAAACCGACTTTGTTTTAGATTCCTAGAAAACAGAACAAAGTCAGCCGTCAACTACTTTATTGCTTAGGCTGTCACTTCTTGGCTCCGTTGACCTCTTTAAAGTTAGACTGTTTATCTATTGCGAAATGATTGAAGTGACTTTACAGTTGTCTTGCTAAGAGACTTAAAATTTTTGAAAATCTGCCGTTGGATAAAGGATGAAAGAATTCATGGATTTAAACTGAAGGGTAAACTTCGGTACCTCACAAGAGGGAAAGATTTAAATGAGAAACGTAAAGATTCTAAAAAAGCACAAAACGTTCGTAACGGATTCATTTTACAAATCTTTTAGCCTTTATCACGGCAAAGCGGTTTCAGTTACAGTTACAGTTACAATCGGGAGGATCTAGGAACGAGATTAGGCCTTTATAGTTCTTTAAAATGTAATCAATGCCTCCTTCCCTCCTCTTCCCTTTCCTCGTGTTTTTCTCAGTTATTCCGTCGTCAGTGGCAACCCCTTCTCGCACGAAAAGAAATTTGACTGACAACAACGTCATTAGCTGAGACCGACATAATAATTCGTGATTCACATTCCTCTGGCGAAACATTGGACTGTATTTCTCATCTATCTTATTAGGAGGTTGTCCTCGGTTTAGTCATTCCCAGAGATCTTTGAAAGCACAGATATCTAAACGCTTATGGTTTTGAGGACATCAGTGACTGAAAACAGAGAATAAATAGTTTTATTTTGAAAAACCTTGAAGCTGCTTTTTACACTTAAGCTTAGTTAGAAAATCAGTTATCCCCTCTAATTATGACGTAATTACGCAAAAGATGCCCATTTTTTAAAAACCGTCAGTTGTTACCTTACTTCTCGTGCTTGTTGATTACTTCTACATGTGAAATTGTGCAATCAAAAATTGTTCTTGAATTAAAGCCTAATTTAACATAGGTTTTCTTTGATTGAAAACTTCAGCCTTAAGTAATCCTGACCAATCAATGATTGCAAAAGGCAGCACATGGTCTTAACGTTTTCCAGCTACATCTTCTCAGCTTATGAGAAAAACGTCGAGTTTGTCAAATGTTTCCATACAGCATGTAGTTTTCTGTCACACGAGGTAATTTTGAGAACTCTCTGTCAAATTTCTTGGTCTAGACTATTCAAATCGCTACCAAAAAGTAGCGATTTGAAAAAGCTTATTTCAAAATGTACACCTTTTTTTCAAGACTGCTAGTAGCAAGAATACGCCCATCTGGTGCTCTTTTTATCACCGAAGGCTCTTTTAAACGAGTGATACTTTTGCTTATGAAGCGATCGTCTAAAGAAACTGTTGAATAAGGTTATTGCCAGAGTCACATACTAAAAGATTGTTGGAGCTGTCTACAAACAAACCATACAGCGTTTTAAATTCTCCATCTTGATAATCTTCTTTGCCAAACTTGTATAGGAATGTTCCTAAATGATCAAAAGCTTTCATACAGTGGTTACCTCCTTTCTCTGGGCCTTTGTCTCCAAATGTAAAAATACACTCTCCCTCCTTTGACATCAACTGTATTCTTTTATTGCCCCACTCGGTTACAACAAGTATCATCTGCAGTAGCGTCTACTGGATAACTTAGCTCTCCTTTTTTTCTGCCTTTTTTCCCAAAACTTTTCACTACAATTCCTGCCTGAATATTAAGTCTTTGTATTCTATTACTGCAGTAATCTACAATTAGGACTTCGTTGTCATTTAAAAACGAAATGCCATCGGGGTACTGAAATTGTTCTGTATTGCCACCCTTGCCTCCAGTTTTTTAAAAAGGTTACCATTTTTGTCAAAAACATAAAGAAAGTGGCCTAAGTTATCTGTCACAACTATCTGGCCTTCTGTACTCACAGCAATTCCAGGGAACAGTTGAGGTGTGTCCCATGGAAAGAGCTTTAGCTTCAATTCACCGACCACAACAAGTTCACGTTCTTTTACCTGCACAGTCATGGGACAGGTCTGTAGTTTATCGCCATTAATCTTCACTTCAATGGTGTACATCTGTACAATGCTGTACAGACCCCAGGTACATTGGGAGTGAAGTTCAGCCTAACATTTCCGTCATATTCCTCATCAACAGTCACGTTTGTCACATGTTTGGCGGGTGTTACGTGAAATTCGACTTGATCCTCAGCGTAGTCACTCATCTCTCCTCCAGATGTCCGTGGGTATAACATAAACTTTGCTTGTACACCAATCTGAAAAGTTTGATCCAGTCCTGTACTGCGGTGATTAATAGCTGTCGGACAGCTTTGTTTTTAGAAATTGTTAGTCCCTCGTTTGAGTGTTGTTGTTAATAGCGGATCAAGAAGTCATGGATTTTAACTGAAGGGAAAGCTTCGGGGCCCTATGGGTGGAAAAAATTTAGATGAGGAACGACAACTTGTTTTTTACTTTCTTGTGGCGAGACATTCGACTATCTTTCCCATCTATCTTATAAGGAGTCCGTCTTGGATCAGTCATTCCCAGAGAACTTTTAAAGTGCAGACAAGACGCTAATGTTTTTGAGGAAATCGTTCAGATACGGTAAACAGAAAATGAATTATTTTCTTTTGAAAAACTCGAAAGCTGTTTTTAAAGACTATTTAGATTTCCGAGAAAACCGAACGGAAATCTACTATAACCTCTTCTATTTGTGACATGCAACTATTTATCTCTTGCCTCCTTTTTTTTTTTTTTTTTTTTTTTTAACATATGCTTTTCAATATCCTAGAATTTGTTTAATTGTCGAATCATTAAATGTTTATATGAAAACAAACTCATCACAGGTTTATGCATCCGACGTTCATCTCCACAAACAAAAATTGCCAGGGGTATATTCCTTTCAACCAAAAGAGGATCATCCTCTCTGGTCTTAATCAAGACAAGCCTGGCAGACGTAGCTTGATGCTACTCTGGTTTAAAGATTTAATGAATCTAACCGAAGAAGTTACCATTCACAGACCAAATGTTGCGACACTCCTGTCTAGTACCTTCATCAAATGGCAAATGGCTAGACAAAAACCTTCTTCCGTAACTGCCAAAAACCAGTTACAACTAGTAACACTCTTGATGAAAGGGAGCCAGCGACTGGTTTTGCTGTTATTCCTTACATTCAGGGTGTTGCAGAACCCATCAACAGAATTTTGAATAGTCACAACGTTAAAGTTGAAGAATGAGGAATGAATGAGGAATGAGGAATGAGGAATGAGGAATGGAGAATGGAGAATGAGGAATGACGAATGCCTACAAGGAGAAAAGACAAATTAAAACTGTTTAAGAGGTGGGAATTTTGAAAACTCACAGTCACGTATTCAACTTAGTGTCCGCCATTTTGACACGCGAGTGTTCAGGAGCAATTAAACTTACCTAACAACTGCTTTGGGGGATTACTTTTGTAAGTAAATTCATCTGTTTCTTGGAGAAACTGTTTGCAAAGCATTCAAAAGCCTAAATTTTG